GTCAGTTGAATACGAGATTCCTTCATCAAGTAATTTTGATTAAGAGAATTGATCACTTATAAATATCGTCATAAAACATACTAATGCTATTCCTGAAAATTGTTTCTTACCAAATTCGAATATTTAGCCTTTTTTATTCAAGTGAAAGACTGATCTCTAAAGATGAAACATAATTACTGGGCATAAGTAGGGCGTGATATATTTGCCACAACACTTTATATCACGTGACATAAGCTTCCATGTGACTTCATGTGGTTCTGTCGGTTACAAAATACCACTGAAAGTTTTCAACTGAAGAATAGGCCACTTGCACTGAGAGGTCACGTGACCAATGCTTCCTTTCAACAATGAGTTGGAATCTTGCTGATGCCAAAAATGAACAGAGCACATAAAAATTATCTTACACCCGAAATTTGAGAGGAAACGCATTTAAGGGAGATATTTTTTAGCACTTTGATTTTTCAACAATTTAGTATGATTTGTATTGGCCGCCATGTTGGAGGGCATACTCTTGCCCTCCAACATGGCGGCCAAACCTAGTTTTTGCTTATATCTTGTTAAACATTTGATAGTTACCCTCAGATACGCTGTAAACGTTACCACATCATCTTTTCAACATTTTTCTTGAAGTTTAAGTGAAAAATTTGTGTTCAGAGAGAGGTAATTCATGTTTTTAAAAATCACATTTTGGTCACGTGACCAGATACGAACTTACTTATTTCAAGAAAATGGTGCGGGTTTGAAAAACCAAATCACCATTATTTTGTTTAAGATATGACCCTAGCTCCAATTGTTTTCCGTATAACTTTCATTTTCATAAAAACGATGTCACATGACCTCTTAGTGCAAATGGCCTATTCATAAATGGAAGCAATTTATTGCGGGATTGTTTTATTGGTTATACAATTCTAAATTTTGATAGATATAATTTGTAAAATGTTCACACACAAAACAATTGAATAAATAAGAACAAGAAAAGTATTTAAGAAATACAAAGGTTTATAAGAGTTGGTGAGTATCTCACTGTCAAAATAAATGCGAATAATTATCTCTCAGTTAATTCATACATTACATATGTATCTCGGATATAATGATTAAGTAGTTTTCAGCTCCTTAGATGTTCAAAAGATTCTGTTTCACGCCAATATTAGATGTAAGCATGGCTGATTATTATTATGTCAGTCTGAATGGACAGAGATAAATCAAGGCAAAAACTATCTAAACTTGTTTGAAAAGGGAAGTTGTGTTAGTGACCATCAAAATGCATGAATCATTTTCAGGCTTTTCCTGTTTGTTTTTTTCAAAGCTTTTCAAATTGGTAAAGAGATCATAATGCGATGCACTCGAAGTGGCTCTACAATGAAAAGCCTTTATCACATACAAGTTTAATTCTTTTCAAAATTAACGTTATAACCGTAGTTCATAAAAACTCTACATCTGGAATAAATGCCCTTTCCCCCATGAAGACAGATTGCTGTTCGTGTATTTGAGGACCTTTTAGGGGTGTAACTGTACAGACCTTCAGTGTATGTATAACAGAAAATGGTTTTATTGTCATAATTTAAGGAATACCAGCAGTCATCGTTGGCTTGGTGGCTGCTATTCGTCCTTCTTCTTATGACATGGGGAAAAGTTTCTATAAGAACATTACATGCGGATCATTGAAAATTGCCGCGAAGATCGAAAGAACCAGGTACACTGACATTACATTGACAACCTTACTGTTACTGCAGTTCAATACCATTATAGTAGTAAATAATTTTCGGCCATCTCACTATTCTCAATCATCATCATTATCATGATCATCATCATCGTCACCAACATCATCGACATCGTCATAAATATCATGAACAACCACACCTCAAACACGACATGATCGTTATCATCCGGCGAGCATCATCATTTTAAAGGTTATTAGCTCGCTTTAAATTATTCCTGTGTTTACAGATGCTGGATAAACGGAAGTCAGTGGATTTACCAGGGTCCAGTTTTAGCAATTCTCTTGGTGAGCACCAATGATTTCACATGACATTCACGCAGCCCTTACCCAAGTTTGAGGGTGAAATTTGCATTATTGTTGGTTTTCACACGACGTCACTAAAATTCAAACTAAAAAAATATCGATCCTACCGGGATTTTACTTTCACGATGCATTAGAGCAGCTGAAAACTAATTTTCATACAAATTTTCGCTTCAAAAGGGTTCTTGGTTTTGTGATAGAGTACGCTTGAATTACTAAGCTTTTGCGTGACGTGGCATTTACATGACGGCCAAGAGAGCTGTCATTTGGGTTAAAAAAATGACTTATTTCAGGAAATTTTGCTATTGGAACAGTTCATGTATTAGAAAAAGTACTACTTTAATGTTTATGAGTTTCTCGAAGAATGAATTCACGCTTTTGTAGCAAAACTCGGTAACAGATGTTTCTGTTGGTTTCCGTCCGCTATGTTGGAGCTCATCCAGGTGAGCACCAGCATGGCGTCTCCATACAAATCTCTAAGTCTGGGTAAAACATTTCTTCGCATATCTCGTATACGAAATATTCCTCTGACCTGAATCTTGGCGAGGGTCTTTGTATATGTACCTCCTTTCATTTCCCAGATTCTGGACTTTATGTATTGAACGGTTTTGATTTTTATTTTGATCTATTTTGAATGGCGTGACACTGAAAACCAGTAATTAAGAATTAAACCCGTGGCCCTCAACTAACGAAAACACATTGTAGTTCAAATTGGAATTTGTGGGTTTTGGAACACAGAGGAAATTCGAAGTACCCGAAGGGAAACCTCTCGAAGAAAACAAAAACAACAATAACAACAACCAAATCAGCCTTCGTAAGGTGTCCAACCAGGGACTTAAAACCAGGCCTCATTGGTGGAAGAGAAGGCGGGGGGGGGACTCTCACAACTATACCAGCCCTAGTGCTCTTCCTCTTTGGACCATGAAGTCTAAGCTTACCACATATATATGCTGCATACTCAGAAGTAGATTGCCTAGACGGAGTTTCGAAAGCAGGTTTGGGTTCGAGGCATGACAGCCCCTTCAATATGTAGTTAAATTTTTACTTCTCGCAGATAACATGGATGAGGGTGCAATACAAATCGAGAAGTGTGTCATTTGGAAATGTTATTGCTCATTGAAACAAATTAAAATTCATCTTTTGACTCACAGCAGTTTACATTCAAGCTTACCCAGTGTTGTTTAATTACTGGTGACCTCCCCCTTCGGGATTTCATTTTAGCCCCTTTCACTGGCAGTTCAACGGCATTATTTTTTACATTGCAGATAAACTTGATTCTGTTCGTGGTCATTTTGAGAGTTGTATTTGGTAAAATATCCAGGAAATATGGCAAAAATAAAATAAGCGCTACAAGGTAAGTTCACTTGTACAACAATAAGAAGGCTCGATACTAAATTATTTCTACTATTCCTGTAGGTTAATTTACAACTACGAAAAATAGCTATTGAGAACACTTGATAGATTGCGCAATTTATAGTAACATGCTTTTAAAAAATCGTGAATGTCTCTTTATAGGAGAGGCATAAAAGTACTCTTGCCCTGCTTCCCCTTCTTGGGGTCACGTGGTTGTTGGGATTCTTTGTTGATTTCCACGATTCCTTGAAGTATGCTTTTATTTTGGTGAACTCTTTAATGGTAAGTACCGGTAAATCTCCATGGGTAACTTTGAATTATTGATGTATTTGTCCCTAGAGTAGACCACTTTCAGCTGCTCGTTAATTAGCAGTCTTTTTCTAGAGAAATAGAAGTATCATGACTTCTGATAACCGATAAGACTCAAGCTAGTGCTCAAGTGATAAAGAAATCAAGAACGCTTCTTTGCCAAAAACTAGCGAGGCTGACAGAGAATATTTGTTGAGAGTTTGAAAACAGAAGTCCCCTTGCCATACGTGCTGATTCAGTATTTGTTTTTTTTCATAGGGACTTGTTTTTTGCATCTTCCATTGTGTTTTGGATGACCAGGTAAGAGGCATGGTGAATTCTCAGCCGTTTGCTAGTTTTCCTATTGAACAGGTGAGCGACAATCAGTTAATGACAGTTGAATGCATGACCAACTACAGTGGAACCTTGATATGACGAACTCTACATAACGAAGCCCTCGGTATAACGAACAATTTTCTTTACCCCAGCAATAGTAACATGTATAAAAAAGAACCTTGATATAACGAAACATCGATAAAGAGAACAAATTTTGCCAGTCTCCTGGCCCTTCGTTGAATTGAGGTTACACTGTAAATATACATGTTCATCACTCAACTATTTCTATACCAGTTTAGAGAGGCTCTGCGAGCACGTAAAGCCCGTAGAAGAAAACAGTCACACCAGAAAACAGGAACAACGCCCGCCTCCAATCCCACGACACCAACTGCCGACAGAAACAGTCGCATTGACAAGTTTGTATTTTCTGGTAAGGAAGAGAGTATAAGGAAGAAAAAAAAATGAAAATGAAAGAAAGAGGAAAAAAATAAGACGAGAAATAATTAGAGAAATCAGTTGAATGATTTCATTTTTTATTTATCAATGCATTTTTACATGTAACGTTTTCTCTATAACTCGGTGAGTATAAACACACACGTAAACAAGAAAGAGTTAGTTGAGGCCTTTATGACAAGTACTGTTTTAAAAAGTTTCTCTAAAACATGCCTCAAAAGTGCCCAAAAATGAGGGAATAAGTTTCAAAGAAACTGCGGCGCTACCTCGATCGTTGGGGAGTAGAAAAAAAAATTAACTAAAAATAAAAAAACTAATTCAATAAAACCCTTAAGAAAAATATTCAAATGCTGAGATTCCGAGCTCTAGCAGCTCAGCCGAGAGCAAACAGACTTGAGTCGAGAGAGCTCGCATGTAGATCTCCGTTGAAAGAGAGACAACATAATAAAATTCGTTGCGTTTATTCAGCAGAAAACAGTAATGGAAAAGAGGATGTGATTAGAGTAATAAGCGAAGGACAAGATGAGTCCAGGATCTGAAATTGTGCCATGCTGTTCAACCCTCGATAGTGACAAGATTACAAGTATATTAGCAGTATAGATGACGTTTTAGCTAAAGAATGGTAGACTGGACTACGGTCTGTTAAATGGTTATCAAAATGTGTTTCATATTAGGTTTGACGAAGAAAAACTGATTCAGTATCCTTTTCAGGCAAACGGTTTGTGATTTAGGATTCTATTCATCTTAAAGCCGTGCTGAGTTTTTCTAGTTAATGCTAAAATTAATCACCAAAAACTACAGAATAAAGGCCTTCATTATTTTTGGTGTACATATCGAAAAGGTAATATTTAGACGTTTTCTTGTCAACTTGCTTTTGCAGTGTACGTCTGCTGTTCTGGGAGGGCCCACAGGGGCCCGCCTGCGCATATACATATACACTCCTTATATATTCTCCTTTTCGTGGAACTGCTAGAAGGGAGCCATTTCTTCTTGGCTACGAAACGCTCCTGAAATGGACCTTATTCAGGAAACAACAGCATGTGGAAGGAGATTATTGCATGAGCAAAAATACATGCAATTGTTATTGCCATACGCTATGCATATTAACGGACAGAACCTACACTTCAAAATACGTATTACAAACTTGCCTTGGCTTAACTAAAGCTGATACATAATAGTTATATGATTAGTCGCTTTCTATGCTATGATCGGATATGCTAATTTGTAATAAAAACCCAGGCGAAGTAATGTAACGAAAGATACTATGATTTTTGTGTTGTGGCCTTTCTGTAGCGAAGAAATAAGAAATAAACAACTGAAGGGTTAAAACCCAGGCAAGCAGGTAGCAATTTCCTTAGAAAAACATTGACACTAAATAAATGCAAATGATGTCGAAATGAGGCATTTTGTCTTAAGGACTTGAGTTTTACTAGAATCACTTTTGACTGGACCTCCCCTTGTCACGTGCTTATCATATGTCTCTTGTTTGCTGTCACTTAAACCCAAGGCGTGATCCATCACGTGGAAGATGTACTGCTGTTCCACGACACCATGAAATAAGGAGGCTCCAGGACTTTCTATACCTGAAGTAGTGCAACGACGCGTCGAGGTTTCTGAAGAATGAGTTACATCTTTACTCTATGGTCAAGAAAGTACGTTTTTAAAAGGAAATTTTTGTATAAAGGTATCATAGATGCTTTCTAAATTTTGTCATCGGCGTGAAAGGAAATTAAAGAAAAAACTTTTCAACAAATTAACTTATTTATCTGTCATTGTTCATTCATAACATCAGCTCAAAACACGATCCTGAGACTACAGATCGTAAGTCAGATTTTTAGAAACACTTTAGACGGCTAGTCCCCATTCTTGAATTAAAACTTAAGTGCTTTTTTTGTACACGTTCCATTGAATTGCTATTCATTTTCCTATTCATTACTTGCCATTCAAGTATTTTGCAGTGTGCAGCTCCTTTTCCATAACTCGTGCCCTAAATACTGCTGAAACCGAATATGAATAACATTCTGATGACTTTTCAAAGCCGGTTGGCAAAAGTCGATCCCGCAAATATCCACAAGGGGTGTTAAAAAATAACAAAATCTCCTGCTGCTTACAACATTAACGTACATCTTTGAATTTCAAAAAGCAACGCACCCATGCGCATTCTGTTTTTGACTAGGCGTTTCCCGTGGGTTCGCCTCGGATACGTCACCGAAATAAATTGACCGATAGGGACTGGAAAAAAACCGTACAGGGACTAGGCAAGTGTCCTATAGAGTACAAAATGTCCTTGAAAATTCTTTAAAAACTTCGCTGCTTGATGGCTTTTCAAAACAGGCCAAGCGCTCCGATCGGTCGTGATGAAAATTTCGTGTATTTTGAATTCCTCGAAGGACAATTTTCAAGAAGAAAAGCCTTCCTTTGTCATCTTGAAGAAAACTAAGCATTCGTTTGAAGCTTCTTTTCCCATCTGCGTGTTTTAGCGCTGTACTTTTAACCTTGAAATGCGAACTACTGGTCTAGTTTACCATCGCCGCGCCATTGAGCTCTCTCACTTTTGAGGATTTTTGTTTAGGTCTCACATTTTTGCTTGGACCACGTGATCCGAAACGCTTTGGCCGCGCGGAATAATGAGGCCTAGGAACTGACAAATAGGACGCGATGCTTTGTGTTTCCCGTGCGATGTAAACAGCAGGAAAATTTTAATTAAGCGCGCCTGATGGCACACTACTGTCTCGCTAGCGTGCTATTTCACTCACTGCTTATTGATTAGCGTGTCAGTGTATTCACCTTTTTACCCAAAATCCTGTGGAGGTTCACAATTGCTCTTGCATTATTCAAAGGTGAAAAAGAGCAGAATAAAAAAGCTCTGAGAAGTTTTCCCTCTGGAAAATTCCGAAAGATTCGAAAGACTTGAGAATGAGAAGAAACAAACAATCGGGTTAGGAAAGAAATGTGAATTTCTGAGCCATGTTGCCACAGCCAGTAACAACTTCCATTTATTCGAATAAGGTATGTTTTAACGGCCTTTATGACTCTATTAGCTGCAGCGAACCATCTGTTTAACAACGAAATACATTTAAGTGTGATTTTAAACATTTTTTTTTTGGTCAATTTCTGGTCCCTTTTTTACGTATAGAATGTGAAATGTTTTGAAATTATCATAATTTTCACTGACTCATATGCGAAAGACGAGTAGGCTTTTCAACAGTTCAAAGTCTTTTTTACTCCAGTCAATGATCATGTAGTTTGCCTTTTGTTGAAAACACATTCTCTGAAGTCTTGTGTACTTGAGTTGAGTTGAGGCAGTAGGTTCAAATTTCCGGCTACAACAGACAAACCTATTTTAAAGCCGGAACCAGCATCAAGCTGATCATGCCAGAATTTATTCCTCGTTTATGCATTTTAAGCTTTTAAGTTTTTCGTTCATGTTGACAGATGTATTCTTAACCTTACTCGGCAACGACCACAGCGTGTGCTTAGATATTTCATCATTAATGACAGTTATCTATATTTTGGGACTTTTTTAAATGTCATTTGGGCTCTAGTTTCTCAATATTTCAAAAATTGAAACAGCTAATGTTATCTGCTAACCACCCTACGCAGTTAACCACGACATGGGAAAAAAAAGGAAAAGACATTAAGGAGGTGAATTGCTATGAATAATGCAACTGATGCTTCTTCTAATTGTAGTGTCATCGTTTTATGAACTGTATTGAATTCTCATTCTATTCAATAGTGAACTATCGATGTTTTTTTTTTTTGTTTAAATGACAGACACACTCTGCACTCTATTTTTTGATTCATCGTCATTCATCCATTTGAACTTCCTGGATGTTTTAATATTAATTACTACTGTCAATTAAATTGTGTATTTTTGTCAACTAGTGCAACGTAATGTTGTTCAGAGAGCACGTATACTTTCTTGCTGTCTTACCGCAACTTGACAACAAATAATCACCTAGTACCTAAAAAAAGTTACTAAGACGGGAACAAGGAAATGGGGAAAAAGGAACGAGCACAGAGAAGGACAAATAAAAAATAAGATGAAAAGTGAACAAAGCTAACTTGAAATCTAGTGCTATGAGTAAATTCTTATATTATGCTCTGTTTTGTTCCTATTTGTGATTTCCCGTTTCTAGAGTGACGTTCCCATCAAAACTTACAACTGCCAAATAAATATGTTCTTATGGTTTAGAAAAAACTATTTTCGAAACTGAGAATCGAACTGAATGAGTGCATGCAACCTCGCGTTTCCTGTTTTTATTTCTCCTATTGTATGGAATATGTGTGAAAATCTTAATTATGAATCGGTATGTTTTAAAGAGCTACACAAAGACCAAGAATACTATTGACGGACAATATGCAGAGCGGGGGCAGCTGTAGTGTCAACTATTACTAGTTATATCCCTTAGTAGTATTAACCAATTTAGTGAATAGCACTTTTCGCGCATTTTGATTGGCTCCCGTTACTCGGAATATCCTTGGCTATTCACTGTTTTTTGCGACCGGAGCCAAGAAGGCGCCTCGCATTGAGACATTTTGCGGAAAAAGAAATTTGAGCTATAAATGAGGCAGTCGTACCAACAAAGACTTTTTGAAATGCAAAGATGTACGTTAATATTGTAAGTAGCAGGAGATTTTGGTTTTTTTTTTTTAACTTCCCTTGTGGATTTTTGCAGGATTGACTTTTGCCGACCGGCTTTGAAAAGTCATCAGAATGTTATTCATAGTCCTATGAAGATTGATACTGCTCCTTCAATCTCATCATTCCAACTGAGCTATCGGAGTTTGCCGCTCGCAAATTTTCAAAGTAAAAGCAATGTTGACCCTCTGTGTTGTAAACTTAGACCTCAAATCTTGAATAATTAGAAAAACCATACTTTCAAATAAAATTCATTAGTTGCGTATCAAAAAGTGCCCAGAAACGGAATCTAAAAGTAAAAATCCTATAAAATTCGCAGACATTCACAGAAGTGATGCGTGTATTAATGTGAGAAGCATTAAATTCAACTTGCATGCGTTGTCTCAGGATCGTGTTTTGATCTAATGTAATCAATCAAAGAATACACAACAATAGACAGAGAAATTATTTCTCAAAAAAATGTTTATTTAAAGGCCCATAAATTAATACTGAAAAGCAATTCTTGTAACAAAAATTTGGTTGCACTGAGTAAAATCGGCTGAGCACATGGCAAAAATTTTTCAACACAAATCTCAAATCAGGGCCCTCAAGCCGATCTCAAAATGTATAAAAGAAAAGCCTTCCTTTGACATCTTGAAGAAAACTAGGCATTCGTTTGAAGCTTCTTTTCCCATCTGTGTGTTAGCGGTGTATTTTTAACCCTGAAATACGAACCACTGGTCTTGTTAACAATCGCCGCCTCATTGAACTCTCTCACTTTTGAGGATTTTTGTCTCGGTCTCACATTTTCGCTTGGACCACGTGACCCGAAACGCTTTGGCCGCGCGGAATTATGAGGCCTAGGGACTAGGCAAATAGGACACAATGCTTTGTGTTTCCCGTGTGATGTAAACAAAAGAAAATTTTAATTAATTGCGCCTGATGGCACCCTACTCTCACGCTAGCCTATTATTTCGCTCACTGCCTGTCCCTGTACTCAACTTTTTACCCAAAATCCTGTGGAGGTTCACAATTGCTCTTGCATTATTCAAAGGTGAAAAAATAACAGAATAAAAAAGCTCTGAGAGGCTTTGCCTCTGGAAAATTCTGAAAGGTTTTGCCAAAGACTTTAGAGGAAGAAGAAACAAACAATCGGGTTAGGAAAGGGATGTGAATTTTTTGCCACAGCCAGTAACAACTTGCATTTACTCGAATAAGGTATGTTTTAGCGGCCTTTATGACTCTATTAGCTGCAGTGAACCATCTGTTTAACAATGAAATACATTTAACTGTGACTAACATTTTTTTGGTCAATTTCTGGTCCCTTTTTTACGTACACAATGTGAAATGTTTTGAAATTATCACAATTTTCACTGACTCATATGCGAAAGACGAGTAGACTTTTCCACAGTTCAAACTGTTCTTTCCTCCAGTGAATGACCATATAGTTTGCATTTTCAGTTGTTGAAAACACACTCTCTGAAGTCTTGTGTACTTGAGTTTTTCATTGTACTTTATATTAAACTTAACTTTTAAATTCGTATACGTAAAAACCGTTGGTAATCCTTACCCTCCTAACGATAAATTCAACTTTCTTCTAACTTATCATTTGAAATGACGCATTCTGGTATCTTATTAGTGAAACATGGTGTGATGGCCCATAATGGTTCAGTTTTGTCGACACTTTTTGAATAATATCATTCAGATATCAAAGGAGACAGAAGTATTGTGACTATACTGCGTGCATTTTATGTTTTATAGAAATAAAATGACCGACCAAAATTACTCTCAGTAGCCTCTATCAGATCATATTCGGTGACTCATGAGTACCTCGGTGAACGTTTCTGTTGCGACAGTAGGGCCATTTATACGAGGAAAAATAAGACGCGTCTTAAATAAGACGCGAACTGTACCATTTATACGAGCATGTCTTGTCTAATAAGACGCGTCTTAGCTAAGCCGCGTCTTATTTTAGACGAAATGTGCCGTTTATACGGAAAGTTCGCGTCTTATTTAAGACGCGTCTTATGTAAGACGCGTCTTATTTTTCCTCGTATAAATGGCCCTAGTAAGTTAGTGAGGCAGTAGGTTCAAATATCCTGCTACAACAGACAAACCTATTTTAAAGCCGGAACCAGCATCAAGCTGATCATGCCAGAATTTATTCCTCGTTTATGCATTTTAAGCTTTTAAGTTTTTCGTTCATGTTGACAGATGTATTCTTAACCTTACTCGGCAACGACCACAGCGTGTGCTTAGATATTTCATCATTAATGACAGTTATCTATATTTTGGGACTTTTTAAAATGTCATTTGGGCTCTAGTTGCTCAATATTTCAAACATTGAAACAACTAATGTTATCTGCCAAGCACCCTACGCAGTTAACCACGACATGGGAAAAAAAAAGGAAAAGACATTAAGGAGGTGAATTGCTATGAATAATGCAACTGCTGCTTCTTCTTATTGTAGTGTCATCGTTTTATGAACTGTATTGAATTCTCATTCTATTCAATAGTGAACTATCGATGTTTTTTTTTTTTGTTTAAATGACAGACACACTCTGCACTCTATTTTTTGATTCATCGTCATTCATCCATTTGAACTTGCTGGATGTTTTAATATTAATTACTACTGTCAATTAAATTGTGTATTTTTGTCAACTAGTGCAACGTAATGTTGTTCAGAGAGCACGTATACTTTCTTGCTGTCTTACCGCAACTTGACAACAAATAATCACCTAGTACCTAAAAGTTACTAAGACGGGAACAAGGAAATGGGGAAAAAGGAACGAGCACAGAGAAGGACAAATAAAAAATAAGATGAAAAGTGAACAAAGCTAACTTGAAATCTAGTGCTATGAGTAAATTCTTATATTATGCTCTGTTTTGTTCCTATTTGTGATTTCCCGTTTCTAGAGTGACGTTCCCATCAAAACTTACAACTGCCAAATAAATATGTTCTTATGGTTTAGAAAAAACTATTTTCGAAACTGAGAATCGAACTGAATGAGTGCATGCAACCTCGCGTTTCCTGTTTTTATTTCTCCTATTGTATGGAATATGTGTGAAAATCTTAATTATGAATCGGTATGTTTTAAAGAGCTACACAAAGACCAAGAATACTATTGACGGACAATATGCAGAGCGGGGGCAGCTGTAGTGTCAACTATTACTAGTTATATCCCTTAGTAGTATTAACCAATTTAGTGAATAGCACTTTTCGCGCATTTTGATTGGCTCCCGTTACTCGGAATATCCTTGGCTATTCACTGTTTTTTGCGACCGGAGCCAAGAAGGCGCCTCGCATTGAGACATTTTGCGGAAGAAGAAATTTGAGCTATAAATGAGGCAGTCGTACCAACAAAGACTTTTTGAAATGCAAAGATGTACGTTAATATTGTAAGTAGCAGGAGATTTTGGTTTTTTTTAACTTCCCTTGTGGATATTTGCAGGATTGACTTTTGCCGACCGGCTTTGAAAAGTCATCAGAATGTTATTCATAGTCCTATGAAGATTGATACTGCTCCTTCAATCTCATCATTCCAACTGAGCTATCGGAGTTTGCCGCTCGCAAATTTTCAAAGTAAAAACAATGTTGACCCTCTGTGTTGTAAACTTAGACCTCAAATCTTGAATAATTAGAAAAACCATACTTTCAAATAAAATTCATTAGTTGCGTATCAAAAAGTGCTCAGAAACGGAATCTAAAAGTAAAAATCCTATAAAATTCGCAGACATTCACAGAAGTGATGCGTGTATTAATGTGAGAAGCATTAAATTCAACTTGCATGCGTTGTCTCAGGATCGTGTTTTGATCTAATGTAATCAATCAAAGAATACACAACAATAGACAGAGAAATTATTTCTCAAAAAATGTTTATTTAAAGGCCCATAAATTAATACTGAAAAGCAATTCTTGTAACAAAAATTTGGTTGCACTGAGTAAAATCGGCTGAGCACATGGCAAAAATTTTTCAACACAAATCTCAAATCAGGGCCCTCAAGCCGATCTCAAAATGTATAAAAGAAAAGCCTTCCTTTGACATCTTGAAGAAAACTAGGCATTCGTTTGAAGCTTCTTTTCCCATCTGTGTGTTTTAGCGGTGTATTTTTAACCCTGAAATACGAACCACTGGTCTTGTTAACAATCGCCGCCTCATTGAACTCTCTCACTTTTGAGGATTTTTGTCTCGGTCTCACATTTTCGCTTGGACCACGTGACCCGAAACGCTTTGGCCGCGCGAAATTATGAGGCCTAGGGACTAGGCAAATAGGACACAATGCTTTGTGTCTCCCGTGTGATGTAAACAAAAGAAAATTTTAATTAATCGCGCCTGATGGCACCCTACTCTCACGCTAGCCTATTATTTCGCTCACTGCCTGTCCCTGTACTCACCTTTTTACCCAAAATCCTGTGGAGGTTCACAATTGCTCTTGCATTATTCAAAGGTGAAAAAATAGCAGAATAAAAAAGATCTGAGAGGCTTTGCCTCTGGAAAATTCTGAAAGGTTTTGCCAAAGACTTTAGAGGAAGAAGAAACAAACAATCGGGTTAGGAAAGGGATGTGAATTTTTTGCCACAGCCAGTAACAACTTGCATTTACTCGAATAAGGTATGTTTTAGCGGCCTTTATGACTCTATTAGCTGCAGTGAACCATCTGTTTAACAATGAAATACATTTAACTGTGACTAACATTTTTTTGGTCAATTTCTGGTCCCTTTTTACGTACACAATGTGAAATGTTTTGAAATTATCACAATTTTCACTGACTCATATGCGAAAGACGAGTAGACTTTTCCACAGTTCAAACTGTTCTTTCCTCCAGTGAATGACCATATAGTTTGCATTTTCAGTTGTTGAAAACACACTCTCTGAAGTCTTGTGTACTTGAGTTTTTCATTGTACTTTATATTAAACTTAACTTTTAAATTCGTATACGTAAAAACCGTTGGTAATCCTTACCCTCCTAACGATAAATTCAACTTTCTTCTAACTTATCATTTGAAATGACGCATTCTGGTATCTTATTAGTGAAACATGGTGTGATGGCCCATAATGGTTCAGTTTTGTCGACACTTTTTGAATAATATCATTCAGATATCAAAGGAGACAGAAGTATTGTGACTATACTGCGTGCATTTTATGTTTTATCGAAATATAATGACCGACCAAAATTACTCTCAGTAGCCTCTATCAGATCATACTCGGTGACTCATGAGTACCTCGGTGAACGTTTCTGTTGCGACAGTAGGGCCATTTATACGAGGAAAAATAAGACGCGTCTTACATAAGACGCGTCTTAAATAAGACGCGAACTGTACCATTTATACGAGCATGTCTTGTCTAATAAGACGAAATGTGCCGTTTATACGGAAAGTTCGCGTCTTATTTGAGACGCGTCTTATTTTTCCTCGTATAAATGGCCCTAGTAAGTTAGTGAGGCAGTAGGTTCAAATATCCTGCTACAACAGACAAACCTATTTTAAAGCCGGAACCAGCATCAAGCTGATCATGCCAGAATTTATTCCTCGTTTATGCATTTTAAGCTTTTAAGTTTTTCGTTCATGTTGACAGATGTATTCTTAACCTTACTCGGCAACGACCACAGCGTGTGCTTAGATATTTCATCATTAATGACAGTTATCTATATTTTGGGACTTTTTAAAATGTCATTTGGGCTCTAGTTGCTCAATATTTCAAACATTGAAACAACTAATGTTATCTGCCAAGCACCCTACGCAGTTAACCACGACATGGGAAAAAAAAAGGAAAAGACATTAAGGAGGTGAATTGCTATGAATAATGCAACTGCTGCTTCTTCTAATTGTAGTGTCATCGTTTTATGAACTGTATTGAATTCTCATTCTATTCAATAGTGAACTATCGATGTTTTTTTTTTGTTTAAATGACAGACACACTCTGCACTCTATTTTTTGATTCATCGTCATTCATCCATTTGAACTTGCTGGATGTTTTAATATTAATTACTACTGTCAATTAAATTGTGTATTTTTGTCAACTAGTGCAACGTAATGTTGTTCAGAGAGCACGTATACTTTCTTGCTGTCTTACCGCAACTTGACAACAAATAATCACCTAGTACCTAAAAAAAGTTACTAAGACGGGAACAAGGAAATGGGGAAAAAGGAACGAGCACAGAGAAGGACAAATAAAAAATAAGATGAAAAGTGAACAAAGCTAACTTGAAATCTAGTGCTATGAGTAAATTCTTATATTATGCTCTGTTTTGTTCCTATTTGTGATTTCCCGTTTCTAGAGTGACGTTCCCATCAAAACTTACAACTGCCAAATAAATATGTTCTTATGGTTTAGAAAGAACTATTTTCGAAACTGAGAATCGAACTGAATGAGTGCATGCAACCTCGCGTTTCCTGTTTTTATTTCTCCTATTGTATGGAATATGTGTGAAAATCTTAATTATGAATCGGTATGTTTTAAAGAGCTACACAAAGACCAAGAATACTATTGACGGACAATATGCAGAGCGGGGGCAGCTGTAGTGTCAACTATTACTAGTTATATCCCTTAGTAGTATTAACCAATTTAGTGAATAGCACTTTTCGCGCATTTTGATTGGCTCTCGTTACTCGGAATATCCTTGGCTATTCACTGTTTTTTGCGACCGGAGCCAAGAAGGCGCCTCGCATTGAGACATTTTGCAGAAGAAGAAATTTGAGCTATAAATAAGGCAGTCGTACCAACAAAGACTTTTTGAAATGCAAAGATGTACGTTAATATTGTAAGTAGCAGGAGATTTTGGTTTTTTTTAACTTCCCTTGTGGATATTTGCAGGATTGACTTTTGCCGACCAGCTTTGAAAAGTCATCAGAATGTTATTCATAGTCCTATGAAGATTGATACTGCTCCTTCAATCTCATCATTCCAACTGAGCTATCGGAGTTTGCCGCTCGCAAATTTTCAAAGTAAAAGCAATGTTGACCCTCTGTGTTGTAAACTTAGACCTCAAATCTTGAATAATTAGAAAAACCATACTTTCAAATAAAATTCATTAGTTGCGTATCAAAAAGTGCCCAGAAACGGAATCTAAAAGTAAAAATCCTATAAAATTCGCAGACATTCACAGAAGTGATGCATGTATTAATGTGAGAAGCATTAAATTCAACTTGCATGCGTTGTCTCAGGATCGTGTTTTGATCTAATGTAATCAATCAAAGAATACACAACAATAGACAGAGAAATTATTTCTCAAAAAATGTTTATTTAAAGGCCCATAAATTAATACTGAAAAGCAATTCTTGTAACAAAAATTTGGCTCGTGGATCCGTTCATGCACTGAGTAAAATCGGCTGAGCACATGGCAAAAATTTTTCAACACAAATCTCAAATCATGGCCCTCAAGCCGATCTCAAAATGTATAAAACGTCTAAGATAAAATATACACAAATACGTAATTTTCTCAACAAAATGTACCTGAAAATTCCTAAAAAACTTTGCTGCTTGATGGCGTTTCATATCAGGCCAAGCGCTCTGATCGGCCGTGATGAAAATTTCGTGTATTTTGAATTCCTCGAAGGACAATTTTCAAGAAGAAAAGCCTTCCTTTGACATCTTGAAGAAAACTAGGCATTCGTTTAAAGCTTCTTTTCCCATCTGTGTGTTTTAGCGGTGTATTTTAACCCTGAAATACGAACCACTGGTCTTGTTTACAATCGCCGCCTCATTGAACTCTCTCACTTTTGAGGATTTTTGTCTCGGTCTCACATTTTCGCTTGGACCACGTGACCCGACACGCTTTTTCCGCGCGGAATAATGAGGCCTAGGGACTAGGCAAATAGGACACAATGCTTTGTGTTTCCCGTGCGATGTAAACAAAAGAAAATTTTAATTAAGCGCGCCTGATGGCACCCTACTCTCACGCTAGCCTATTATTTCGCTCACTGCCTGTCCGTGTACTCACCTTTTTACCCAAAATCCTGTGGAGGTTCACAATTGCTCTTGCATTATTCAAAGGTGAAAAAATAGCAGAATAAAAAAGCTCTGAGAGGCTTTGCCTCTGGAAAATTCTGAAAGGTTTTGCCAAAGACTTTAGAGGAAGAAGAAACAAACAATCGGGTTAGGAAAGGGATGTGAATTTTTTGCCACAGCCAGTAACAACTTGCATTTACTCGAATAAGGTATGTTTTAGCGGCCTTTATGACTCTATCAGCTGCAGTGAACCATCTGTTTAACAATGAAATACATTTAACTGTGACTAACATTTTTTTGGTCAATTTCTGGTCCCTTTTTTACGTACACAATGTGAAATGTTTTGAAATTATCACAATTTTCACTGACTCATATGCGAAAGACGAGTAGGCTTTTCCACAGTTCAAACTGTTCTTTCCTCCAGTGAATGACCATATAGTTTGCATTTTCAGTTGTTGAAAACACACTCTCTGAAGTCTTGTGTACTTGAGTTTTTCATTGTACTTTATATTAAACTTAACTTTTAAATGCGTATACGTAAAAACCGTTGGTAATCCTTACCCTCCTGACGATAAATTCAACTTTCTTCTAACTTATAATTTGAAATGACGCATTCTGGTATCTTATTAGTGAAACATGGTGTGATGGCCCATAATGGTCCAGTTTTGTCGACACTTTTTGAATAATATCATTCAGATATCAAAGGAGACAGAAGTATTGTGACTATACTGCGTGCATTTTATGTTTTATCGAAATAAAATGACCGACCAAAATTACTCTCAGTAGCCTCTATCAGATCATATTCGGTGACTCATGAGTACCTCGGTGAACGTTTCTGTTGCGACAGTAGGGCCATTTATACGAGGAAAAATAAGACGCGTCTTAAATAAGACGCGAACTGTACCATTTATACGAGCATGTCTTGTCTAATAAGACGAAATGTGCCGTTTATACGGAAAGTTCGCGTCTTATTTAAGACGCGTCTTATGTAAGACGCGTCTTATTTTTCCTCGTATAAATGGCCCTAGTAAGTTAGTGAGGCAGTAGGTTCAAATATCCTGCTACAACAGACAAACCTATTTTAAAGCCGGAACCAGCATCAAGCTGATCATGCCAGAATTTATTCCTCGTTTATGCATTTGAAGCTTTTAAGTTTTTGGTTCATGTTGACAGATGTATTCTTAACCTTACTCGGCAACGACCACAGCGTGTGCTTAGATATTTCATCATTAATGACAGTTATCTATATTTTGGGACTTTTTAAAATGTCATTTGGGCTCTAGTTGCTCAATATTTCAAACATTGAAACAACTAATGTTATCTGTTAACCACCCTACGCAGTTAACCACGACATGGGTAAAAAAAAAGAAAAGACATTAAGGAGGTGAATTGCTATGAATAATGCAACTGATGCTTCTTCTAATTGTAGTGTCATCGTTTTATGAACTGTATTGAATTCTCATTCTATTCAATAGTGAACTATCGATGTTTTTTTTTTTGTTTAAATGACAGACACACTGTACACTCTATTTTTTGATTCATCGTCATTCATCCATTTGAACTTGCTGGATGTTTTAATATTAATTACTACTGTCAATTAAATTATGTATTTTTGTCAACTAGTGCAACGTAATGTTGTTCAGAGAGCACGTATACTTTCTTGCTGTCTTACCGCAACTTGACAACAAATAATCACCTAGTACCTAAAAAAAGTTACTAAGACGAGCACAAGGAAATGGGGAAAAAGGAACGAGCACAGAGAAGGACAAATGAAAAATAAGATGAAAAGTGAACAAAGCTAACTTGAAATCTAGTGCTATGAGTAAATTCTTATATTATGCTCTGTTTTGTTCCTATTTGTGATTTCCCGTTTCTAGAGTGACGTTCCCATCAAAACTTACAACTGCCAAATAAATATGTTCTTATGGTTTAGAAAAAACTATTTTCGAAACTGAGAATCGAACTGAATGAGTGCATGCAACCTCGCGTTTCCTGTTTTTATTTCTCCTATTGTATGGAATATGTGTGAAAATCTTAATTATGAATCGGTATGTTTTAAAGAGCTACACAAAGACCAAGAATACTATTGACGGACAATATGTAGAGCGGGGGCAGCTGTAGTGTCAACTATTACTAGTTATATCCCTTATTAGTATTAACCAATTTAGTGAATAGCACTTTTCGCGCATTTTGATTGGCTTCCGTTACTCGGAATATCCTTGGCTATTCACTGTTTTTTGCGACCGGAGCCAAGAAGGCGCCTCGCATTGAGACATTTTGCGGACGAAGAAATTTGAGCTATAAATGATTCAGTCGTACCAACAAATACCCAGAAAGCGACTTGCTGTAGCTTGTCGGTGTTTACTTGTAGGTAGAAAAATATTTTCATGCTGTATTTGCAACAAAATCGTAAAAATGCACTAGACAAAATTCCAGAAATGTTTGTACGTTTTTTCTTTTACAAAAAGTGTCTTTTTTCATCTAATGTCCAACTGATTTGGTAAATACTAAAACAACTATCCTCGTCAGGGTCGGAATTTTCCGATTTCCCTTTGTAACTCATTTTATGTCAGTTTCTTTGCGTAAATCGCGCTCGAGATTCGACTTTTTAGTTTGAAATGCAATAATTCCGCTAATGCGAGACATATGCAAATTTCCTCACACCTTTTTTAAAGGGAACTTGCACTCTTACTACAGAATAAGTTTAAATCGAATAAAATTATGTTGATAAACAAATTTGTTCGAAATTTGTCTTAAAAAAAGTGTTTATATCAGGAAAAGTGAATTTTAGAATCGCTTATTTTCACTTTCAAATTTCGCGGGCGCCGCCATCTTGAATAATTGTGACGTGTTACGGTTGCTCTATTGTTCTGACACAAAGAGCTTTTGTTTAATAACAATAGGGCAACCATTACACGTCACAATTATTCAAGATGGCGACGCCCGCAAAATTTGAAAACAAAAATAGGCGAATCTAAAAGTTATTTCTTCCGGATACAAACGCTTTCTTTAAAAATATTTTAGATTGACTTGACTGTAACAGTTATTTCCTGTGATTTAAAGTTATTTTTTTGTTGAAGTGGAGGTTCCCTTTAAAGGTCTTTTATCTGTCAATCAGATGGAATAAAAAGGAAGTGAATATTTAACAACGCGAAAGGGCTGGAGCTTCAGCAGTAAACTCGATACCTCTGAGTTCGAGAGCAAATCGTCGGTCTCAATCGTCGAAAGGTTTTAGCCCAGACAAACCTCTTGTTACCGATACCTCTATATTTATCAACAATTAACCTCATCCCGAAGGTGAAAAACTTCATACCATCGATCACCTTCTACTTATGACGTCTATCTATCACATAGTTAATTTTCTTTTAATTTTAAACCGTGACTTTAATGGTGAATCGTCAAAACTAAAAATTTGGTGTCAGAGCGCATTAGATATTTACATGTAAGGAGGTCTGTATCGGGTTTACTGAAAACTCGCCTAAAATTTAACTGACTCCTGGCATTTGCCTAGGTTTTACTTTTAGGCCCGCGAAGGATTTTTTAATGGCAAAACACGTGAACCCTATGGGATGAACAGAGGAGATGAAATTTAATCAACTGACATAAATTTTTATGTAATTTTTTTATACAAGTTTTTGTTTATTGTATTCCTCCACCAATCACATTTTATTTTTTTAGTTGTGTATTATTTTATATACTGTTTATTCTATTCTCTCTTAGCTTACCCAGCCCCTGATGAAGACTAGTTTTGTCTAGTCGAAATATTGGGCAAATAAATTTGTAAACTTTAGCCGTCAGATCAGCCTTGCCTTCAATTTTAAGTTTTACTGTCAAGTGACAAAGAACCTGATTGTCTTTAATTTTCTACAAAACTCTACTTTAAGGTCTTAAAATAGCATTGTTCCACTCTTTTCGCCAGGCAATTGTAATAACACAGCGAACCAAACGTTCAAGCGGTTACTGAACAGACACTTTAATATCTATCAAGTGCCCCCGAAGGTACAAACGAAACTGAATATATAATGAGTCTAGTAGCACGTGCAAATGAAATTCAACACAGGGCGTGAAAATTACAATATTATAACACCTTCCCTTTTATAGAGAAACGAGAAAACAACTTAACAACTTAACGAGAAAAAAAAAAACGTGAAACCAAAACAAACGACTAAGCACATATTAACGAAATTCAGTTCTTTGGAAAGAGTTCTTAGGCTGAAGTAAGCACCTAGTCCTGTAGACGCTTGGGCGGCTGACGGACGCGTGGACCTTCTCGGTGCCTGTAAAGGATTGGGCGACTTAGGTGCGTCCGGCACCGTAGACAACGGATCGCGCGGCTGGTCGAATGTTTCCACGCGTGTATCTGGAGGTGCCTGTTCGCGTGTATCTTCTCATGTCTCTGTGAATGACTGCTCGCGGGCCTCTATGACGTCGTCATCTTCAACTTTGATAGGCGCTTCATTGGACTTGCGTAGCTCAACACGATTTCGTCGAAGGAGTCCTTGAGGCAGCTCAACCTCGTAAGATCTTTTGTCAATGCGACTCTTTACGACACCCTTTTGCCACTCTTTTCTTCCCGCGTGCCAGGGCTCAACTCGCACGGTATCTCCGGGTTCTAAGAGCGGGGGGTCTCGTGCGCCTCTGTTGTAGTACTTGGCTTGTTGCTGTTGGCGGCGATGAAGCTTGGTGTGTGTCACGTCCTCGTCTGAAACAGATGGCTTTAATATTGCAGCAGTCATCGGGAGAAGACCTCTTGTCCTTCTGCTAAATAGCCGCTGTGTTAGGCTGATTTGCATACTGGAAGGCGGTGTGTTTCTGTGGTCCAGTAAAGCAAGAAACGCGTCTGAACCAGTCTTGCTGCACTTTAACGGCGCTCTCAGCCTTTCCATTCGACTGACTATGATGCGGACTGCGGGTTCTGTGCTCAAAATCCCACTCTTTAGAGAATTTCAGGAAATCGCGCGAGACGAACTGTGGCCCGTTATCAGTAACGAGTTGCTCGGGAATGCCATGTCTCGCGAAATGACCTTTAAGCTTCTTGATGACGTAGACAGAGGATGTACTTCTCAGATGGTCGAGCTCGAAGAAATCACTAAAATAGTCCACAGTCACAAGGTCACTTTTTCCATTTAACTCAAATAGGTCTGCTGCAACGAACTGCCACGGCCGACTAGGTGCTTCGTGGCTGGTGAGTGTTTCCTTCCTTTGACCCTGTTCGTACTCTCTGCAGACTCCACACATGTTGACACATAGTTCCTGATCTCTCCTGACATCCCAGGCCAATAAAGACACTCACGCGCTCTGTTAAGGCAGCCATTAACTCCAAGGTGCGAATTGTGAATACTTTTTAGGAGACCACTCCTAGCAGCCTTGGGTACCACTACCCCTTTCTCCCTTAAAAATCAGACCATCCTGAACGCAAAGCTCATCCCTCATATCGAAGTAAGGAGAGGCTAGAAGCGGCAGGGTACTCTTATTTTCAGGCCAGCCATGCTGAATCACTGCCTTTAGAACTTGAAGCGATTCATCCTGCTCTGTCTCCCGCTGAATTTGCAGTAGCCTGGCTTCAGATATTGGCAAGTATTTCATCATGTTGATTGTCTCAAACTCTGACTCAATCTGCGCACCCGAGGGAAGATAAGCTCTTGAGAGAGTGTCCGCTAAGAACGTTCTGCTTCCCCTCGCGTACTGTACCACCAAATCGTACTTTTGCAAGCGGATCAACATTCCTTGCAACCTCTTAGGAGCGCGATGAAGTGGTTTCGTGAAAATTGACTCAAGTGGCTTATGATCAGTATGGACAACAGTTCTTCTACCGAAGGTAAAGTCATCAAACTTCTCTACTGAAAACACGATTGCCAACATCTCCTTTTCAATCTGCGCATAGCAAGATTCCGTCTCTGTCAAGGCTCTACTAGCATACGCGATTGGGTGACCATTCTGCATTAAAGCGGCACCTAAACCACTCTGGCTGCTATCACACTGGATCTCAAGCACTTCAGTGGGTTTGTAGTAGGCTAGAACGGGTGCTGATGCAATCAAAGTCTTGACATCATTCCAAGCCTTCTCTTGAAAATCATCCCAACACCATGCTGCATCTTTATGGGTAAGATCTCGTAGAGGCTTCATCACATCAGTTAAGTGGGGTAGAAAACGGCTAAGATAATTGACCATTCCATTCAGGCGTAAAATATCATCTCGGTCCTTTGGGCGTGGCATCTCGACGACTGCTCTAACTTTCTCTGGATCTGGCTTTAGACCCTCCGTGGTTAGCAGGTGCCCATGAAATGGAACCTCTTTACACTTGTACTCTAACTTCTCTGCTTTGAGCTTGATACCTTTCTGCTGACATCTGCGCATGAATCCATCTAGATTACTGCCATGATCAGCCTCGCACGTGCCATGGATGAGAATCATCTGCAATACACTTTACACCCGGGAGACCTTGTAACTCTTGATGGAGACGTTTCTGAAAAATTTCACTCGAAACACTGAGACCAAACGGCAAAAGGAGCCAACGATATCGCCCACACGGCGTAGCAACTGTCGTGAGCATACTAAACTCGCGATATAACTCCAGATGCCAAAAAGCAGAGGCTAAATCAACCTTTGTAAACACACGCGCATCTGTCAAGTCGGGCAACAAATCATCAATGACGGGAATTTGATAACGTTCCCTCTTCAAGACGGTATTAAGTGGTCGCGGGTCAATACAAACACGCAGTTCGCTGGACTTCTTTACAGCTACAACAATCTGACTAACCCACTCGGTCGGTTCGTCAACAGGATTGATTACTTTAAGACGTTCCAACCTTTGGAGCTCTTCTTTGAACTTCTCCCGAACAGACACAGGGACTTTTCTTGCTGGAAGGACAACAGGTTTGCAATCTGGGTCAACTTGCAGGCGAACTTTTCCGAGACCTTTGTTAAAGACATCGCGTAATTACCTGTGAGATCATCATTTGCATTCTCCACGACATTAACTGTATTCAGACTGGGGGGGGGGGCTTTTCGAATCCCCCCTCCGGCAAAATCGTGATAACTCCTATACCGAATTGAAAGAGCTATGACGTTCAAATTTTCTGACTTTTCCCAAAATTTATCTAGGAACATTTTGGTATAATTACCATGTCCATCATGCCATGTTTTTTTTGGAAAGTTTAAAAAATGGTGATTTTTTTTGTTTTAAGATCGCGTTTTTACACTTATAGTTGTTAAAATGGTCTTTGCTTGGGACTAGTTTTTGAATTACATCAAAATGTTTCAACATCGAATATTTGGGGGGGAGGGGGGGGGGTAAAATTTGTCACTTTTTTGCTTTGACAAATATGCTGCTCTATTTTCCAAATAACACTTTTAAAGTCATTTGTTTGGGTAATAAACATTAGTTTGATACTTCTTTTATACATTCTGAGATTTTTCCCCTTTGAAAGTTGCCTTAAATTATAATTTTAACAAAAAAACGGAAATCCAAGATGGCGGATCCAAGATGGCGGACAACCATTTCAAAATTTAAATTTTATTGCTTCCTATTGCTTGTTCTCGCTGTACAAGTGTTTCCTTGTTACTAGTTCATAAGAAAGGATAACAAAGAGATGACTTTACCAATATTATTGATATTTGACGTATCTAAGTGGAAAAATAATAAGAAACATTGAAAAATAGAAATATGACGTCACTGTGACGTCATCATTGGGCGTGGCAAGTCAAAACTGGGTGTGGGGCTTCTTTGTACGGAGATGATCATTGTGTGTAAATTTCATGACCCTAGCATTATTGGTTCCAGAGATACAGAGGGGGGTCCGAGGAGCCCCCAGTCACAGATTGACCAAAAAAGCCCAGTCTGAATAGGGTTAATGAAGTTTTCCTTGTGTACAGTTAACAGCTTCATTTTTTTGCGTTGCATTTAAGCCAAGCAGAGGGGTCAAATCCTCTTTCACGACTAGAAACCGGACCTTGTACTTCTCATTAGTTTTCGGATTCACAACAGGCAACGCACCGGAACGGACAGGCGTCACTTTTGTTTCATTCCACATGACAAGCGTTTGCGAACACGAGTCGAGTTCCTCGCCCTCAGCATACTTCAGAGGTAAAATATTTTTTTGCACTTGCACCACAATCAACTTGAAATTGCACTGGTTGCTGCCTAACCAGCATTCTCGCATACACAGCTCTCCCTCTCAAAGCCTGTACTCTTACAACGCTGATCTCCTCTAACTCCTCTTCGCTCTCAATATTATGAACAGGAACTTTCTTACACTTCTTGGCAAAATGATTCTTTTACTTGCATCGCTTACACTTCTTTCCCCATGCAGGGCACATCTTCCTATCAGGTTGACGGTCATAGCCACAAAATTTGCATGAAATTTTCTTTGCCGACCGCCCGTCCACCGGCGTTGGAGCTCGAGGCTTTTAGAACTTGACTTTACTTGATTAATGTTATCCACCGGCCCAGATAACAACTTCATTTGCAACTCAGCAACTTCCTCGCTGCGACATACGTCGATGCAACGATTCAGAGTAAGATTTCTCATTCTCAGCAACTTCTTGGTCGTCTGCTCGTTTTTAATTCCAAGCACAATACGATCACGGATTAAACTATCCCGCAAACAATCGCAAAATGTTTTGGCCAGATTCCTCAACTCGGCAACAAAACTATCAACCGACTCCGTTGGAAGCTTGTCTCGCATATTAAAACAGTATCGTTCGTAAATTTCGTTGACTTCGCCGATGCAATGCTTCTCCATTTTTCCCATTACCACGCACCAATCATTCGAGTTCTCCCCCTCGGCGTAGTTGAATGTTTTGATGACTTTCAACGCATCATCTCCGATTGTATGTTTGAACATCGCCAACTGAAACTCCGGGGTTTCCCGATCCAAACGAGGAATGGCAAAATAATTGTTATATTTCTCCTTCCAAAGCTTCCAGTTTTCGGCAATTTCTCCACTATGTTTCAAGTCAAGGTACTTCGGCGGAGTAATCTGATGAAAAGTCGACGATGGCGGCGCTACCGCACCAGACTGTCCATTGGAGGTATCACCACCGGGCATGCTGTATAACGTAGACGGTTAAAAAAAAAAGACAAAAAAACGAAGCAGAAGCGGCCACCGCTGCCACCATGCGTGTAATAACACAGCGAACCACACGTTCAAGCGGTTACTGAACAGACATTTTAATATCTATCAAGTGCCCCTGAAGGTACAAACGAAACTGAATATATAATGAGTCTAGCAGCACGTGCAAATGAAGTTCAACTCAGGGCGTGAAAATTACAACAGTATAACAGCAATGTGATCAAATGTGCCTTTATAGTGGAGCTCCATGCACGTGTGGGCGGAGCCCCATAGCTAAGTAAATCTACCCATCCCGGAAAATTTGGTAATCACGTGACCTTAACCGACCGCCCGAATGCACCATAGGGAAACCAATGTTTAATCTCACAGTTTCTAACTAGTTTTGGAACCCAGGTGCAACCTGATGTTGTACATCCATGTTGTGATCAATTGACAGCTGTCAAAACAGGGCATCCGCTGACCAGTATCACCTGACCGTGGACTCCGGTGTCGACCCATCGAGGTCGAGTATTTTATTAAAGTTATCCGCTGACAAGTGACTAGTTTTCAAATAATTACAGGCTTAAGTCTTTTTTTGGAAAAAAACCATATGAAATATGTTGTGTTTATGTCACTATGGCTCCGTACTATTAAGAGGCTGATTTCAAACTGACCTCGGACGAGAAAATTCAGCCAGTAATTTAAAAATACAGGCAGGGAGAAGACCTTTTCTTACCATGGTGACGCGTTGGTCACGCTCTACGTCCAATTTTTATGCTCTGATTAGTCAAAATTTGACAGGTGAGTTTATGCGGATAACTTATACAGCATCTTGAGAATTGATGCGTCAGAGGGTTCAAAAGTCTCAAGCGATTCTAGCTTTAGTTGATAGCTTTCAGGTGCTGCATCTCGACTGGTAAGCCTGAGTAATTATTGTATTTGTGTTTGTTTTATTTATGTATCTAATTTCATGAAGTCGGGCGCAGTTTATGTGGCAAGTTTATGCACGTTTGTTAGAATTGAGACAATGATTTGACCGAGTATCAGGTTTGATATGAGCTTACAGAACTTTATAAAGCCTTTAAATATATTTTCTCACCGTAAATAAAGGAAAACGTTCCAAAGAGTATTTAGTTATAAATTTGGCTGTAGAAAGAAAGCTTTTAGCGATTTTCTTGCCTCGAGTTTATCTTTGAAAAATGCAAACACCGGGAAGCCGGCTGAACTGAAACATAAACTTAAGCTTTAAGCTTCAAGACTCAGGATTTTTTGACACTTTGAAATACTTGTCTTCGTGAATGAAATTTGTTGTCTCTGTAAAGATCTGCAAACATTTCACGAATTATATTTCTTTTATTGATTGTTAGTAGTCTCTCTTGCAATTTTAATCGCCGTTCCGTTTGTTTTCAGTCGTTCATGAACATCGCTTGCAGGAGTACTCAAAATGCGCGCGTATCAAACGCTTTTACGATTACACATCGTTATAAAACCACTAAATGAAAAACAAGCATAATAAGTTCTTTATAATGTTGAAGCGTAACTCTATTAATGTTCATTCAAACACTGTAACACAGATCGCACTGCAAATTTGGCGCTTGTCAAAAGTGAGAACCGCCTGGCCGCATACTGACCTATACTGGTCTATACTGGGTGATTTTGGACATTTTTGAACGGTTTCGCTTAAAGCCCACAATTGATCGTCCTGAAAAATTGTGAAATACTGCATTCTGTCCGAGGTTTGTATGATACATACAGCGCCTGTATAGTACTGTTTCACCTCAGATGTGATGTGTAAAACGTATAAAAGGTTGGTTTACACGCCCCCAGATTTGTTGGCAAGATTTTGTAAAGTAAACTTGTCGAACGCAGAAAATTCGACCTGATTTGTTTTCCAAGAATTTGTTTTCCAGGCCTAATCTACTGTGATCAAGAGCCATTATGGCTCTTGAATGTGATTGAAGATGATTGCTATTTTTTGGGTGTACACTAGTGATATAAGGCCATCAACTCGATGCAAGATGTTTCACTCTAAAATCACTTAGCTTTTCCCTCAAAAGTCACTTGAATGTGCCCTTAAGTTAACTGATTTGTGGACTATAAGTGTTTTGTTTGATTTAAAAAATAAATTTATTAACAAGAGCTTCGCTTTTAGCCCTGGCTAAATCTATATATTATGGACAATCTTAGTAGCAGGACGCTTAAGTGTCATATATATTCGTTAATGATTACTTTAAAACCCATGTATGTCATGTATCATCGGTTGTAAACGACCTATGATCTCAAGTTCAAACTCCTTTGAGAACGCGGCAGCATACAAGATGGCTGCTAATAAGGGCGTTATAAAAGCAATTGCAAGTTTAAACGAGATAATTCAGATACGGTCTTAATTTGTCTTTCTTACATACGCTTTACTGAGCATCCCCAAAGAGGGCTTTTCAGCGATCATTTTCTTACGATCTATGTCCCAATATTCTGAGGGTATAAATTTTGATTGTCTTTATAATTGTTAGAAATTTTCTATTCTGGCCAGCAAAAACGTTTGTATGGAGGAGAGTAAATCAGACTTGAGAAATGGAGGGCTCCACATGTTTAATTTACATATGCCTTTTTAGCTAGAATTCTTATCAAAAATAAACAAACACTACACTATCTAAAGCGGCAAAACAAAACTGCATTGACTAAAAAAACACTACTAGACGAAAAGAAAAAAAAAAGAAGAAAAACAAAAAAAAAAAAAGAAAAGAAGAGACAAAGAAAAAGAGGCGCATCCGACCGGAAACGAACTCACAGTCTCCTACGCGACGGGCCATATCGTTACTGATGCGCCAGGTGACATACTGTGATTGAGATGATATATCTCTTATTAGCCGAGTTTTCGGTCCGTACTGTAAATTACGGACCGAGTTTATGGCCCACGCGCAAAGCGTGTGGGACATAAATCGATGGAAAAAAACGAGGATCCGTAATTTACAGTACGGACCAAAAAAACGAGGCTAATAAGATGTTTATTATATGGCTTCTTTCAGTTTCGGGGACCGGAGACAAGTGCAGGACGCGCGATTTGACAATCATTTGACAGGCGTCAAGAAAGAAAGTTTTTATTGGCTCACGAAAACAATAACACAACAAAGGGTTTCCGGGAAAGTGAAAACAAATTCGCCGAGTTGAAAAAGTTTATTTGATCAAAACTAAGAGCGCTGTAAGTTTCAGCTCTTTAATGTAACACTGGATTAGTTTGGAAACCGGGCACTGTGTCTTCCTCGAAGTCGTTTCCGTCTTTCCTCCGTTCGTCCTTTTAAAAAAACACTGCAAAAGGCAAAGAAGCTTTTCAAGGTAAGTTTGTTGTCATTGTGGAAGGATTCGCTCGTTAATTTTTTTGGGCAAAACCTCTCGAATTTCTGCCAGGTCATTCTCGTCTTCAAACGTGATCTGCGTTAAAATTTTCAAACACAGACTATATTTTCTTCCACGGAAAGATTACAACTCATTTTCTACATCAGCTTCGTTCTTGTTCAAACAAACTTAGGTTAAAAACTGGAAAGGCTAAGTCAATATCCCAGTCCTCAGGGTTTACAGACATATTTTTAAGTACATTCGGTCAAAACTAAGAGCACTGTGAGTTTTCACTCGCCATTGTGACGCTGGAGTCTTTTGAAAACTGGACATTGTGTCTGGCTCGGAGTCGCTTCTATCTTTCTTTCGTTGGTCTTTGGAAAAACACTGCAAATGACAAAGAAGCTCGTCAAGATGATTGGGTGCAGGCATGTTTGTTATCATATTTGTCGAAGGAATTACTCATTTTCTTTGAGGCAAAACATCTCGAATCTCTGCCAGTCGATTTTCGTCTTCTTAACTGTGTACTACGATAAAATTTTCAAACACTGACTAGAATCCTCTTCGATAAGATTACGAGTTAGTTTCTTCATCGCCTTCGTTCACAAATAAACACAGTTTAAAATGTTGAACGACAAAGTCAAAATCTAAGTCCTCAAGGTTGATAGACGTCTTGTAACCTTTTCTCCGAGGTAAAAAAGGTTTAGAGCTCCGAAATGAGCATTTTCTTTGAAATTTTGGTCCGTATAGCAAGTTACGGACCGCAAATTGACCAATCGCATGGCGAAAACAGACTCAGCCATATAATAACCAGCCTTATTTTCCCTAGATCTTCAGTCAGCACATTCTGTTTAAGCTGATCAAGCCCCATTGCATTTCATCGCATTTAAAGAACAGATGCCCAACAAAGCTGATACTGTATAAACTCAAATGCGAGCAAAATATGTGTTTTGTTACATCGATTGATTTTCGCTCATATCTTAAGGCTAATGATCCAACTCTCTTCCATTTTCTCTTAAAAGTACTTTTACCTTTGAAATTCATCGTGAAAAGCACTTAAAGCACTTATCGACTCCCAAAACGGATGCTAAAAAAACCAACCCGATTGGAATATGGCCAAAGTAAGACGACACTCTTCGCAAAGCAAGCGGTTACCTGGAAACCAACAATGCGGTGACGTCAAGGCGGATACCGAATAAGAATAGGAAGAAACAAAACTAGATCTTTCTCATACTCAAGAGGTGTACGCCAAGGATGTATTTTAAGCCCCCTCTTATTTAACCTCTATATAAAAAATACGCCATATTTATTCGGAAACACACTAACATTTCAGACTTTAGGTATGTCTGTGGACACGACTTTGACGTGTTCAGCATTAAACGGCCAACAATATTTGCGCATAGACCGGTTCGCACGGTAAAAAAATTGATTTCTGTTCTAGTACTTGTACTTGTATTTACATTTGCGTCCTTGCAGAAATCTGGTTTGATTAATAATAATAATAATAATAATAATAATAATGATAATGACAATATAATAACAATAACAATAATAATAATAATCTTTATACAGGGAGTGCACTTCACAAAGAGTGATATTCATTGTGGACCTGTAAAACAATAAAAATAAATGATCTTAGATAAATGAATACGTAATAGTAATGATTAGTAAAACTAATGTAATCTACACGTTAAAAACGTTAAAATGTCAGATAGATTAAAATATTAAAAGCTATAAAATTTCTAAAATATATAGCTTTTAATACTTTGTTTGAAAAGATGAAGAGAGTTAATTTCTTTAAAAGATGCGTCTAAAAAGTTCCATTCCTTAGCTCATTGATAAAAAAGTCTCCGCTTTCCGTAATTCCTTTTAACCAGAGGAAGACGGAAATCGTTCCTTCTTCTAGTGTTATAACTATGGATGTTGGAGTTTCTGAAAATATTTAAATTGTGATCCAGGCCAAGAGTCCGTGGATGTACTTAAAGGTGGTAATGTATCAATGTACAAGGCGCTCTTGAGATAGGGTAGGCCATCCGAGTGTTTTGAGAGCGACTGTAGATGAAGCATAGTTGGGCCTATCAAGGATACCTTTGGCAGCCTTATTTTGTAAGACCTGTAAATCATGCATTAAAATGTGTATTATTGTCTCTGTCTCCCCAGATAGTATCAGCAAAGTCGAAGTGAGGTCTTATTAAAGCATTGTGCCATTCGGCGCCATCCAAAGGCAATAGGCCCTTTGCGTGACATTATCACGTGATCTACTTTCGGTAAACTCGAAAACTGTTCAATTTGTTTTAGCACAAGCGGGGGAGCATATTAAAATTAGGTAACCTGAGATTTTTCAGGCGTAGATCTCAAAAGTAGTGATTGCAACGGCCGCCGAAGGTTAGAAGCGTTGGTATACTTAACGAATGTTCCGGGGCAGTCAAAAGTCACGTGAAACTACACGTGAAATCTGACGCTCAGAAGGTGAATTGGCCTTGAAGTGAATTACTGTGTCGTCTGCATACATTACTACCTGGCAGTACTCTTAACAGTTGGGAAGGTCGCTAACGTGTATATTAGAATAAAAGGAGGCCCAAGGACGCCTCCTTGAGGTAATGGTCCAATAAGAACCTTTTGTTGAGGCGACTGGCAGTTTTCAACACATGTAACTTGATACCGACTTTCAAGGTATGAGGCAAATCACTTTACAACTTGAGAGCTAGCTACCGTGATCTTTAGTTTTTCGTCAAGAAGCACATGGTCCACTGCATCGAAAGCCTTGGAAAGATCTAATAAAACTACTCCAGTGAAGCCGCCTTTATGAAGACTCTGTATACTAAACTTGCTGCAAGTAGACCTGTTGGCGATCGGAGCTAGCTTTTTTAGGCCGACCGACCGACGAAGTCGCGAGAGGTCGGCCCTTCGGTGCGGGCCATACTAAATCCGACTAAGGACTTTTTTGAAAGTCTAGATTCTGTAGTATGTTGTCTGTAAAATGAGCAAGGGCATTACGGTTGAAAGTTTAGGGCGGAAATCAAATTGATTTGGAGTAAGTAACTTATTCTCTGATAAAACCTCGTACAGCTGTTGGTGCACAGCCCCCTCTAGGATCTTTATATGGTTGGCAGTACTGTGATTGGCCTGTAGTTGTTACAAACGGTACGATCGCCTGCTTTGCATAAAGCAGTCACCCTACGACATTTCCAAATCGATGAAAAAGTGACCGGTTAAAAAGTCTGGTCAGCCAAAAAATAGGTGCCATGTCTTTGGCTGCGTCCTTCAATAATCGTGCAATAATACGATCCAGTCCTATAGCTTCGTTAGTTCTCAGGGTTTCAAGTGCTTGAGGACAAAGGCTTCTGTGATACTACAAAAGGAAAAAGATTTATTATTCCCGTTACATCGCGAAAAGTCAGGTGGGAAAAACTTTGATTCAAACTAATTTGTTGTTTTTAACCGAACCATTTTAACCCGCTTGTAAAGCTGAGTATCAATAACACATTCATGGTTGTTATTAACAAAAATTTTGAGAAAGGTACTGTATTTGCTTCGAACTATAAGCCCATACCTTGTTAAAAAATAAGACTTCCAAACTTTGCCTCAACGACCACAAACCTTTGGATTTTTTTTTTGACAGATATAAGACCACTTGTCACTATGGGAAAAGGAATAACCATAGAGCTAGGATGGCTTTTCGTCATGATAATTGCTGCAACAAAAGGTAACTCTTGGGTCTAATACATGAATAAAAAAATTTTGGCTGTTTTGCATGAAAGTCATCGGACCAGAAAGAAGTGTTCAGTACTGCAAATGATCCCCAGACTGCATGCAAAAGATCCCCAAAAGATCGCAAATAGTCCTCGACCTTAAATGATCCCCAATATGTTCCGCATATGGCAAATGATCCCGTGAAATACTGAGGAATGGAATAGATCTTAGCTGGATATATATTATTAGGTGAAGAATGGGGTTGTTTACAACGTAACTTGCGAGGGGAAAAGGCACCTTTTTTTCTCGCCTTCTAAAGAAAAAGGAAGGGAGGACGCCAGATCACAGATTAATGTATAAAACGCGTAAAAATGGAAAATGGAATACATCTGAAAAGGATATGGTATAAAGTGTACTTCTTCCTTTGGCAATTGCTTCAAATTTCGTTTCGTCGCAGTAAAAATTTACGCCAGGAAGGACGTTACGCACAAGTAACTGTTATTTTAACGGCTAGAAGCCCAACTTGTCTTCTGAGGAATAGAAACCCGCCGGGCAAGAGCTTCGAAGCATGAGACCTGGACCAAGCACAAACTTCTGCGTTGAACAGTCAGATTTGTTTGTTTTGATGAATGAAAATTAATGCACCGAAACGGTAATTTACTGCCACTTTCCTGCAACTAGGTGCAAAGTATTCATATTACTAAATCCGGCAATTTCTGTACTTTTAAATTTTCTAATGTGTCTTTCTGCTTTAAGATAATTGGCTATGAAGCATAAAATTTCTAAGGTGTTGACAGTGACGTGTGTGGACGTGCTTGTACAGATCGAACAGTCAATAAAAAAGTTGTACAATTTAGCATAAAAACGGTCCATACGTTTTACACGTCCTTGCACCTCGGTACAAGCTTACTCGCCAAAACAAAGCCCAATAGTGTTTCTTCAGCTGCTAGATAAATTCTAGTGACTTGCACTAAACATAAAAAGTAAAAATTACCCACCATTTTAACATGTCTTCTTCTCGCAACCAGGGATCGCAACGACCATGTCGATTAATTAAACGGATCGAGCCGCTGTGTTTGTCTTACAGTACCGGGATGCATTATCCTCCAGACACGACATATCACTAAACATTTTGACCAACATAATTGTCGAGCCCTCACAGGGGCCACAAAACCACAACAATAACGCTACCGACTGACAAAAACCTGCCTGTTGTTCTCGACAACATGTCAAAGAGATTTTGCCTCTAAGCCAATGAAATTGACGGAAATCGATCACGTAATATTCCGCCATTACAGGCATGCGCTTTAAAGTGCAGAGGGCGATTCGACGACGAGGGAAAAACCAAGGCCAGAACTATACCCGTCTCTTCCTGAAAGGAAAGTAGACTGAAACGAGAATTAAATAAAGTGTGAAAATATCTACCTTTCCTTTAAATGGGAGAATCCACCTTAAAAATCGCCAAACTGTGAGGATGTTTGGAAAATCCTTTTGTAAACGATACTAGTTTAGTTCCCAGGCCTCTCCCGTCTCTGCACATGCGCCGACATTATTCAGCTCTGTCGGTAGTGAGAAAAAAATGGCGGAACAGTCGGCGGAACATTTTACTCGTTTCACGGCGAGCTATTGTCTAAAATTATGGCAAGAATAGGAAGAAGACAACTCGACAGTCGACATCTGCTATCCCTTTCCATGAGACTCCGCGTACGCCTCTCACCCCCAAAACACATAAATTGCGACTGGGTACGGGTCTGATTTGGAGTATGTTTGCAGACCTGAACGACCCTTTATCTTCTAAACTTTCCGATAAACATGCACTAACGAGGTGAACGTAATATCGACGCTGGTAAGCATGTTTTAGCTTGCTTTTAACTTGGAATTATGTTGAATGCATAATTAATAAATTATTGAATTTGGCTTTCGCAGGATATGAAGAATCTGCAGATTTCGGCCCTCGGTGGATAACGCCCTCCTCAATCTGCAGACTTCTTCATAGCGGGGATCCCGCGCGCGCGAAGTGCGCGTGGGACAGAGCCCCATACTCATGGAATATGGTCAACCTCTTTTCGTTTGGTTGTCACATGATTGACCGAGCGTACGTACGTACGTGCGCGTCTACAGATTGTACGGGTGGGGTAGGGGAGACTATCAAAAGGAAGGGAGGGGTGTCTCAGGCATGTCTTGGCAAGTCCACGTCTTTAATATAGGACATTAACATTATGGTCAATTGACAGCTGTCAAAACAGGATAGCCACTGAGCAGTATCCCATGACCATATCGCAGGCTCGTGTGTCAACTCATCGAGGTGACGTGATTTATTTGGAAGCTGTCCGCTGACCAGTCAATTGTTTTACTAGACCGCGAACAACGTTCAATCTCATACTTTTATTAGTTTGGGAGCACAGGAAAACTGATAATGCACACATATTGGACATCAATGTTTTGATCAATTGACAGCTGTCAAAACAGGGTACCCGCTGACCAGTATCACTTGACCGTATCGCGAGCTCAGGTGTCGACCCATCGAGGTCAAGTATTTTTTTGAAGTTATCCGCTGACAAGTAAACTAGTTTGCAAGTGATCGCAGGTTCAAGTTCAATTTTTTTCGAAATTCATATGAAATATGTTGTGTTTATGTGCTGCACAATAAAAATTTTGATTGCATACTGACCTCGGACGCGAAAATTCAGCCAGCTGTTACAGGCAGACAGTTGCTTTTGATTTTTCTCACCATGGTCACGCGTTGGTCACGCTCTACGTCCAATTTTTATGCTCTGATTGGTCAAAATTTGACAGGTGAGTTCATGCGCAAAATTAATGCAGCATCTTGAATCTTGCTTACATTGACAGCTGAAGCTGACAGAGTTTTGTGTCAACTTGTGATGTTTTTAACTGTCTTTTTCCACTGGATGTACAAAATGAAATTCAGCTGCTATCAGGAGTCTTCTGTTATTCATGGCTAGTTTGTTTATTGGGTTTTTGGTTGAGAAATACGTCGCTTGTCAAAGTCGGAAATCCGATTTCGGATGGCGTCGTTTTCGTTTTCACCTTGCTTGATGCGTAAGAGGATTGCAAAGTCTGAAGCGATATTGGCTTTACTTGATACCTATCAGGAGCTGCATCTCGAATGGTAAGACAGAGAAATTATTGTATTTGATGTTTGTTTTTTGTATCTAATTTAATGAAGTCGAGCGTAGTTTATGCGGGTATTTAGTTTATGCACGTTTGTAAGATTTGAGACAACGATCTCACCGAGTATCAGGTTTGATATAATCTTACAGAACTTTAAAAAGCCTTTAGACAGTTTCTCACCGCAAATAGAAAGAAAACGTTCCAAAGAATATTTAGTTATAATTCTGGCCGGAAAGGAAGGCTTTGAGCGATTTTCTTGCCTCGAGTTCGTCTTTGAAAAAAGCAAACACCGGGAAGCCGGTTTAAAACATAAACTTAAGCTTGAAGCTTGAAGACTCAGGATCTTTAGGGACACTTTAATACTTGTCTTCCTGAATGAAAATTGTTGTCTCTGTATATGTTTCACCGAATTATATTTCTTTTATTGATTGTTAGTAGTCTCTCTTGTAATTTTAATCGCTTGTCATCGTTCATGAACATCGCTTGCAGGAGTACTCAAAATGCCGCGCGTTAAACCATTAAATAAAAAAATAAACATAATAAATTCTTTATTATCTTGGAGCGTAACTCTGTTAATGTTCATTCAAACACTCGCCACAGCTCGCACTACAAAAGTGAGAACCGGATGGCCGTATAGGTGAATTTGGAAATTTTTTTAACAGTTTATGAATATTGAATGAGTGCAATTTGTATTGTGAAATACTGCTTTCTGTCCATGGTATAACAGGTTGGTTTACACGCACCCAGATTTGTTGGCAGGATTTTGCAAAGTAAACTTGTCGAACGCAAAAAAGTTGGCCTGATTTTTTTTCCAGGCCTAATTAATCTACGGTGATCAATAGCCATTACGGCTCTTAAATTTGATCGAAGACGATTACCAGTTTTTGGGTGTACATATGAGGCTATCGACTCGATGTAAGATTTGGTTCACTCTTGGGCTGTTTGCAAATTATTTTTCTCTAAAATCAGGTAGCCTTTCCTTCAAAAGTCACATAAATGTGCTCTAAAGTTCAACTGAATTGTGGAATTCGAATACAAGTTTATTGTTTAATTTAACTTATAAATTTACTAATGGGAGCCTCGCTTTTAGCCCTGGCTAAATCTACATATTATCAACTTGAGAAAATAATAATTTTTATTAAAATCAATGTAGCACTATTAGTTCCAGTTAAATTAACACCATTCAGTTTTTTTGTAATACTATGGTCCCGTTGTGCATTTCCGTTAACACGTCAAGTTCGCCGGTCAAATAGAAATTATTGAATGAGGCTGAGTAGGATAATATATAGATTTAGCCAGGGCTAAAAGCGAGGCTCCCATTAGTAAATGACTTTTGAGGGAAAGGCTACTCCAACTGTCTTCCCTGCCTGTAACAGCTGGCTGCATTTTCGCGTCCGAGGTCAGTATGCAATCAAAATTTTAATTGTGCAGCACATAAACTCAACATGTTTCATATGAGTTTCGAAAAAAAAATTGAACTTGAGCCTGCGATCACTTAAGAACTAGTTTACTTGTCAGCGGATAACTTCAAAAAATACTTGACCTCGATGGGTCGACACCTGAGCCCGCGATACGGTCAAGTGATACTGGTCAGCTGGTACCCTGTTTTGACAGCTGTCAATTGATCAAAACATTGATGTCCAATATCTGTACATTATCAGTTTTCCTGTGCTCCCAAACTAATAAAAGTATGAGATTGAACGTTGTTCGCGATCTAGTAAAACAATTAACTGGTCAGCGGACAGCTTCCAAATAAATCACGTCACCTCGATGAGTTGATACATGAGCCCGCGATATGGTCATGGGATACTGGTCAGTGGCTATCCTGTTTTGACAGCTGTCAATTGACCATATTGTTAATGTCCTATATTAAAGACGTGGACTTGCTAAGACATGCCTTAGACACCCCTCCCTTCCTTTTGATAGTCTCCCCTACCCCACCCGTACAATCTGTAGACGCGTACGTACGTACAACCAAACGAAAAGAGGTTGACCATATTCCATGAGTATGGGGCTCTGTCCCACGCGCGCTTCGCGCGCGCGAGAGCCCCGCTATTAAGGGTGTGTTCCTTTCGGTGAATCCAAAAACGGATTTTAGATCTAAGAACGGATTTCGCGTTCCTTTCGGCAAATCCAAATCCGGATTTTTGATCTGGTGAATCCTTTTTGAAAAAGGATTCACTGGATTTGAAATCCGAAGAATCCAAATCCAGATTAACAGATTAGTGGTTTACGCTGTTCCATTCACAGTAGATCCGAAATTAGTCAGATGATCCAGCGGTATTTCCAGTTGAAGTATTCCCATAGAGGCCGTAGAGTTTCCTCGTTGCTTCCATTTGCCGCAAAACATCTGAAAACACTAGAAGATTGTTCGTGGTACATTAAAATATCCATATACTAACCATTGGCCTAGATTGATTTTGATTGGCCTAGAGACCTCAGACCTCGGCCTTGATGAATTGACCTCTCGTTATCGCTCGGTCAATACATGGACGCCTCTGTCTGAGATTTCCTTTTAATGACCTCAATCTCGGTTGATAAGTGGTACGTTATTAATGATAACACTGAGAACAATTTTTGTTTCATATTTTGCTTCTCTCCTTTTGTAGGATTATCCGGGAACTTCACTTCTTCGTCTCTACCTAGGCCTCCTGGTAATGATTAGTTTTTTTCTGAGTTTATTCAATTAATTTCTTATTGACTGATTATATATATCTGTGTCCTTTCAACAATGCATTTTATCTCCTACTCATGTTACATAGCCATCTTTTATCGTTAGAATGGCGTCGAACAGCAGTGCGGAACAATAGCGAAAGTACAACGACGGCAACGTCAGGGAGAAAGGCAAAAAAGCAATAGGTGTATGTTTAAGGTTTTAACTTGCAACGCGCACTTTTGTGAAAATTTCTTTGCCGCCTACCGCACAACAACGACGTGAAAATGCCTATTTTCAAGTTTTATGGAGGATAACTTTCTTTTTCTTTTCCTGAACTAGACAAAAGTCTTTCAGTGTTCGCCCCTGAAACAAATGCCAGCATTTGACGAATTGAGCAAGTAAAACCCGATAGTTTTTAAAATCAGCGCAAATTCACTTCATAAGTGACGTTTTTGTAGCCGTAGTCGCCGTTGTTGCTGATCTTGACGTTCCTTATAATGCTACCATAGACGAGTCATTTTATAAGAAGGTCAGTGAATAAGACGTTCAGTGAGTGCAATACCGAATATGACTGTTTTTGACAGAGACTGATCTTTGTCACTTCTGCCTATTGAGTTTAATGTAATACCCGGCTTTGTCAATGCAGTTACATTGTCCAGACATTGTCAAGGATTTGATGGTAAATCTTACAACCTTGGCGATGTTTGGAAACCCACACCTAACAGCCAGTGTTCGTGCACTGCAGAATTACTAATCCAATGTTCCATATTGCCGCCTTTAGAACCAACCACCGTATTCAGAGTCTGTCAAGACAACGAGCAGCGTATTCGTAATCCTGGAGATGAATGGTTAATCGATCCAACGACAAAGTGCACCTGTTCTAGGGATAAATTCGTCCTTTGTGCCGTGCTAAAGGAGCCAGTTTGTATGGATAGAAGTGGTAAAATAAAAAAACACCAAGAGACGTGGTTTAAGAACGATTGCATCAAGTGCGCGTGTGTAAATGGCGGTGTTAACTGTACCAGATATGAAGTCAATGTCACTTATGGTTTGTTTGAAGTGAAGACGTATCCAATATGCGAGCGCTGTTGGCATACCTTTGAAAATGATTCATTTGAAGATTGTAAAGGTAAAGAAAGTAACGATCATGCGAAAGCGATTAGATAAGCAATTAAAAGGAAATCCCTAATGACGTGGAGGACGTGCCGATCACTTTTAATAGTTAATGAGCATTTTTATTAAATTTTATATCCTGTTCATACTATTTTTTCTTTACATTTTTCATCCCACTAGGGATGTCATATAATTAACTGAATGACGAGTACTACTGACGCCTTTAAAATCATTATACTGTCTTTTGACTACATATGTTAAAAAAATGAAGCTGGACTCCTTTCCTCGGTATAACTTTTAAGTTTTTCTCGACGTCTAGCTGAAACAAAGAAATTTTGAAAATAGATTATAATTTTGCAAATAATTCACACAGAATACCTACCTTGCTTCAGTAATTTGAAATGATATAATTTGGGATCCTTTCAGTCCGTTAACAGAATGTTTTTTCGTTTTAATTTTTCTTATTATGTTTTAAGCGTTAATATTTAACAATTATTGTATGAGGCTGAGTAGGATATGAAGAATTCTGTAGATCGAGGTAGATAACACCATCCGAGATCTGTATAATCCTCAATATCCTACGAATGCCGAACTTAATGATTGCTTTATTATTCATTCAAAACAATTCCATGTTTAAATACAAGCTAAAACGGGGGCACCCAACAACTGTTTCTATAAAATATCTGTCCAGAAAAGGGAATATTGCCTTGAATTTTCTATTTCTTGAGCTCGGCTAAAAATTTCTAGATAACCGTTCCATTCACGCACTATTTTCAAACCTTATCTAATAAATTCCCTACGATTTTCTTAGGTTTAATTTTCGCATTTCACTCTCCAGGTTAACCTATTTTTCGTAGAAAAAGAAAACCTAAAATTTTCGGATTTGAAAATGCGACGGAGTGAGGAATCAGAAAAATTCTGAGTTTCATATATCTGTAAATTGCACCTAACCTTCTCGGAAGAATAATACTGAAGCCCTTGTAATTTCGAAAAGACTCAAGTTGCCCTAGGATGACCGAACAGATACAAATTTTATAGCACCGCTTGGAATGCATATCTAGAGATCTAAAAGAACTCTGGATGACCTTAAATGTTTTTAATGTATTTAGAAGGAAGCTGTCGTTGGGTGCCCCTACTAAAACATGCTTACCTCCGTCGATGTTTATAGTGCATGTTTATCGGGAAATTTAGGAGATAAAAGGGCTGTTTAGGTCTTCAAATATACTCCAATTAACAGATGTAGTCCGTCGAGATGTCTTTTTGCTGTTCATGTTATGTTTTTTGACAACAGTTCGCCGTGAAAAGAGTTAGATTTTCCACCATTACTCACTTCGAAATCAACTCAAACTCGTCCCCAGGTCTTCTACGTTAACGGTTCAATAGTCTGCAACTTTGTTGCACTTTTGACGTCATCGGTTCAATATGGCAACGCTAGCTGGTTATGATGTGATTTTAGTCAATGAGAAACGGAGACATATTTTGAATGAATAATAATGTCTCTATGTTTGGTCAACTGGCTCAACTCCCCTCCTTTAACAAGGGCTTCTTCCCTTTTTTTTCTAAAGCTTTTTTGGGGACTGCCAGTCAACAAAGACCAGCGATGTTTAAATGCTTCACTGGAGATCATTTTATCTGGGACAGTCATAGGTGCAACGGAATCTTTGAATGTCCAGACGGATCTGACGAAACAGGCTGCGCAGATAGTAAGAGATTCTCAACCTTTTTAAAGAGATAGTAGTGTTATTGGACATACCTTTACCACCCTCAGAACTAGTTTTGCAAGTGATCAACTAAAACAAAAATAAATTGCCGCATTTAAATGTCATTTCAAAATTTGTCAATTGATTGTTCAATGTTTAAATAGAGGGGCCAGGAAAAGATGAATTCGGTTAGGAAGACGGTTGAACACATACACTATCCCCTCGAGATGTCTTTTTCCCCAAGGTTCTTCATTCTTGACTAATAAGCTTAGCCATTCAGTATAAATAATAATACTTGTTGGTCCGAATTCCTTTGTAATAAATAGCGTTCTTTTGCCATCCTTTGTCTCAGAAGTGTGTAAAGATGAAGAAGGGGGAACATATCTTATCAAAAACAGCAGATTTGGCTGGGTTGTCTCTCCCTGCTTACGTTGTCACTGTTCAAGAGGCTTGCTGAACTGCAAGAAAACTTTGACAGTGTACTTTCCAGGATACTACTACTACGGCATTTATATGATCCAGCAAGATTGCACACAACCTTCGTGCAAAGTTTCTCAGTTTCTACGAAACAAAAAGGACGAATGTAACGGTATTTTTAATTTAATTTAAAGCATTGAAAGAAATCCCTGTTGCAAGGTCATCTGCGCTTGCCTAAGATTTTGCACTAATTTCTTGATGCCAGTAATATGGGGGGCATTACAGAAGAATAAAAAACTTTCAGCAACGGCTTCCCCTCTCCTCAAGGACCAACATTTCCAACTTTTAAGACGAGGAACCAAGAACAACAAAGTGGATGTGGCTGTACTACCTCCAAATCATAGGGGTCATCCACTAGATTAGCCTTTTCTATTTGGATGATCCCAACTCGCTCTCTATTTTGTTGTTACATTTTTCTTTTATTCCTTAGTTATCAAGTCAAGTCAATTTTTATTTAAACTCACACAGAATAATAATTAATACAAATTAGTGCTTTAAAATATAAAATCGAGAGATTGTGAAGGAAAAGAAATTTTCAATTGTCGGTTCATTGTGCAGAGTTTGGGATACCTAAACAGTTCGTGGAACTAACCGAGTAGGTGACCCAAACAAGAATATGAGTAGAAGGAATATAGATACAAAATAGTTGTTTTGGGATCATCTAAATGGAAAAGGCTAATCTAGTTGTGTTTAGTTGCCTATGTAAATTTAACCTTTATGTCATGTAAAACTGAGCTGAGTTTAATAAATCATCATCTCACTATTAAATCGCTATTTATTTATTTATTTATTTATTTATTAGTTTTCTTTGTTCTTAAGTTTGTATCATTTAAGTACATGCCAAAGTAACATTAAGGCATTTTATGCTGTTTCATCTATTTAGCTTTTGACTGGGTCGTCGATGTCCTTTCTTACTATGGCTAATTACGCTACGATTATGTACGTGCCCTTTTAAAAAGTGCGTGGCTAGCTTTGGCCATACTTTGGCTCATCGAACGAAGTCAGTTTGGTTAAGATGTTCTTAACAAATTCTATGTTGAAGCAGGACTAAACAATATTGATGACTTCTGGTTTTCAGCTGTGGAAATTTTGCAAAACAACGGACTACTATTTGCGGGACAAACGTGGAACTTCAGCGGCTGCACCTTCTATTTTCCTGGACCCAACTATGGAAGGATCTGCCCGCCAATGGCCAGACCAGTATGTTATGTATACAAAGGAGCAGTTTGCTGTGCGTCATATTGTCCAGGTAGATATGTAAAACTGTTTGAAAAAACGTTGTCGCTTGAAAAGTATATAAACCACGAACGATGGGACATATGGATTTATGGGTAGAACTTTATTAGCATTGCAAATTTAAAGTTATTTCCAGAAAAATTTACATTATCGAAGCTTTTCACGATTTGATGCATCTCAAAAAAGGTCAAACGGTTTCCATTTTTATTGCCGATAAGCTCACAACTTCACCTATGCAGGGCACATCTGGGACCGGATCTCTCGGTACAGTTAAAAAGCTTAGCTATATTACTAACAGTACAGTACAGTACAGTTAAAATCCTCCAGACGGTAAACCTGTTACCATAGTGTTGCACTGGCGACTTCTTGTACACGGTCGACCAGTGCAGCAAAACCACTTGAAAATCTTCATATATGACCTAAAAGCTTTCTTGGAAGACTTAAAAGACAACGGCATGACAAAGTACTCTAGGGATTTGCTTCCGTACCAGCAGCTCGTGATAATGTTAACTTTTGTTGAAAGAACTTTGAATTTGTCTTGCTTTTAAATGAACGTATACCAATAAATCCTTGAAGCCTCATAGTTCACGGTTTATTCTTTACAAGTGACAACTTTTTTTCAATCAGGTATAAAGGTTTTGCAATTTTCTCTCGAAAGCCAACAGGACTGGTTTGCATAAGACATCTTCAGATTACAGGAATGCGTAAGCATTGTTTTAAAATAAGCTTTTTTTTTCCAGTACAATACCTAAGAGTTTTCTTATCTTGAGAAAGTTTTATGCAACCGGGCAACGTTAGTTCAGAGAATGCTGTGAGGTGTTTATAATGGTCATAACATCGGCACAACGTGTGTTGAGAGAATGTGGTGAGATGAAGATGAGTTAAAATATAAATATATGCCATCCTTTCTATATATGAATATGCCCGCTATTTTTTTCCACGAATGCAACTCCGATTGGCTGAGAGGAGCTGGCTAAATAGCTCCCCTGAGTTCCTCAACTTTGCCTGCAATAATTGGGCTCAACTCGCAATATTTTCCAGTCTCTGTTTTACTATAACTTGAAACCCATGAGCGATTGGTTCTGGGCCCAGTTGTTCGAAAGATACACAGCGCTATCTATTGGATAAATCTCTATCCAGTGGAAGGCGCAATTGGTTTTCCTATACTTATCCGCTGGATAGCGATTTATCCAGTACATAGCGTTATCCAGCGTTTGAACAACCAGGCATTCAGAACTCTTATTGATCTTGTCACGTATAGTGAGAAAATTTACTCAATTGCACACGGAGGGAATCGAATTACAATGTTGGACGTCTGTGCTTATCGATTCAACAAGATACGAGAGTTCTGTTTTATTATGTTAGTTTGATCGATGGCGCAACACGTATGTCCCCATCAACTCTCAGACAAAATTAATTAAGTACTGACAAGTCTTTGTTTGTTTAGTATTGGAGGAAGTTTCAAAGCAAATGAGGGGACATCTGTCATTTTGCCCAAATAGCCATCAGCTGGTATCCTCAGATATCGACGACGAATGTAAACTAACCTATTGCTTTCGTAATTATTCCATGATAAGCTGCAAAACAGGTACGAAATGTATGTAAAACACAGCGAAAAACTCTAAAATCGCCTTAATATCAGGATTGCACTTTGCAGGCTGTCATGAAGCTGGCTTGAATCTTAAGTCACTAAACACTAAATAGACAACAGCCTCTTCTACCCAAGGAAACGGATAGTCGGCATAGAGACGTGTTTCAAAATCTCTCATTCTTTAATTTATAAAGACCAAATAATAATAAAGGCATCAAAAATGGTGCTTGTAATCAGACTCTACCAGCCTGCCCGCAACACTTTAGTTGTAAATAATGGAAATAGGACTGAGTGGAGTCTAATCCCGTCTGTAATCCGCGAATATGATTACATAGACCGAGTTGGAAGACACAAAGTTCTGTCACTAATTCATCATAACTATGACAAAATCTGTGACATTTTAAGCCATAAAAATTAAAGCCCAAAAAATTGGAGAGTTTTTGCAAGCAGTGAAAAAAATCATTCAAGTGCGCATGCGATGGCGCGTACTGTCCAATTGCTTAGGCATGACGCGTACTGTTTTTTTACACTGTCCCATCAGTGCTGACAGGGACAGCTGGCAGCTAATAAGATTTCAGAATTTAATACTTTATGCATGCCTTCTTTGACAGAATCTTATGAACAATGTTAACTAGTTTGTGGTTTTGTGCCTTGCTACTCGCAAGTCCTGGTCTTTCTTGTGACTGATCACAAAACAATGAACATTCGTTAATTAGAGCGGTTTTCACTTGACTGTCGTAAAACCAAAACCAAAGTAAATACACTAGCCAACCAAAGGGCGTAGTAAAACCAAAACCAAAACCAAAACCAATCCCTTTCGACAGTCAAGTGAAAACCGCTCTATTTCATGTGATCATAGTTTTCTCAGTTTGCAAGCGTAAAAATAATTCAGAATTCGTTCGTTCACTTGTTTAATTTACGGGTCCTCTTTAAGCCATAACATGTCAAGATGAAGAGTTGAACAAGTATTTTGAAGGAGCCACTTGGTCTGTTGGTACCTGTATTCAGTGTTCCTGTCAAAGTGGCCTTATCAAATGCACGAGAACAATATCAGTATTATCGTCAAAGAATTCTGAAGGAAGGATAACCGAGCACTGTAACCAGACAGAGTGTAATGTGGCGCTTTATGTGCAAGAAAACAAAGCCAAATGCAGAGGTATAGCTACCCTCTAAAAATCTAATAATAATGAAAATGAGTATTGAGGCCGATTTCGATGTTGTTGCTGCTGATGATGATGATAACAATAAAAATGAAAATAATAATGATAATGATAACAGAGATGATTATGATAATAATAATAATAATGATGATCATGATTATGATGGTGATGGTGATGGAGATGATGATGATGATGATGATGATTGTGATGACGATGACCACGATGATGATAATAATAACAATATTAAATAAATAAACAAATATTTCAAGCGTGACTCTAAAATGGCGGGCTCCTAGGCAATACAAGACCATGTAAGTTGCATTTTACATCTTTTTAAGAATAGGAACCAAAAATCCCTACCAGACTAACCATGAACCAGAAACGTAAATTATTACCACAAACAACGCCTGCACTAATCAACTGTCATAAAGGATGCTCTTTTCTAGGTCCACTGAGTCTCATACCCTATCCTAAACTGCCGAAGTGCTTGAAAATTCAGGCCCCCTCTCGCCGAAGGGAGTACTGAAATGAGTTGCCCCATTTTTTGGGTACTCATATCAAAATTTGTTGTTTAAGTTCATCTTTCATTTTCTTTTCGCAGTTATAGTGAAGGTTGATGGGAGAAAGCCGAGTGATAATTTAACTTTTCATGCCAAGATCACGGAACAGTTTCTCACGAGTTAGTTAAGCAGTGATGGATTAGCGGTGGCTGGAATAATTGTTTATAAATAAACACATCTTTTTATAGCTTGTAGATGGAATGGTAAAGTCTTTGATGGTGACGATCACTGGAAAGATGACGGTGTAGACTTTTATTGTCTTCAAAACCCCTGGCTTCAAATGACTAGGCCTGGCTGCTATTTAGGGAAAAGAACGGTTTGCACAGGAGCTGTAAGAGGTTAGGAAAAAGCCCCAGCGTAAGGTATTTCATTTACCCATGTGTGAAAATTATTACATTTACGCTGTGCTGTCCGAAGCTGACTAAGAAAAAAAGGCAAGTCATCGAGGTTCAAGGAAGCCACGAGAGTTATATTATCCAGCAACTGGCTTAATTATGTTGCAAACATTACATGGAGCGACAAAGGCGAGACAGCTAATAATATATAGATTTAGCCGGGTCTAAAAGCGACGCCCCCGTTAATAAATTCATAATTTAAATCAAACAATAAACTTGTAATCCACAGATCAGGGCACATTTATTTGACTTTTGAGGCAAAGGCCAAGTGATTTTAGAGAAAAATAATTTGACAGTCCAAGAGTGAAACAAATTTTACATCGAGTTATTGAATAGTCTTATTTGAACACCCAAAAATAGCGATCGTGTTCGATCACAGTAGATTAGGCCTGGAAAACAAATAGACCTATTCGTGTATTGTATTTGCATTAGCTGTTGCATCATAATGTGGCATTCACCAGTCTCTCCTACATTGCTGCGTTAGAGAGACTATGGATAATTGGATAAGTTCGACAAGTTTAGTTTAGTAGTAAATCCAGCCTTTTAAACATACTTTTTTCTCATCACGTCTCAGGTAAACAGTACTCTGAGGCTCTTTTTTCATCATACAGTCCTCGCACAGAATTTGTTCTTTTTTGCCCTATTTAAACCTATAATTCTGCAGTTTTTCACAATTTTGCAAGAGAATTTGCAATCATTCAATATCCACGACGATCAAGGCACGCGCTTCCTTTGCACAACAAATTATAGCATTGAATTATAAAACGTTTTCATGAAGATAATTTTCAGATAATGCCGGGACTTTTCAGTTAGAAAAATCTGGTCCTATGTGATATGCAGGGTAATAATTACGGGCTTTAAATGAAAACGATAAAAAAAATTCCCCAAATCACTTTTCGGCCGGCCGGACGGGTTCTCTAACCTGAGCCCACGTTATTAGTTTTCTGATAGTGGTCTGCAAATGTCCCATTTTGACAGCTGTCAATTGACCTTAATTTGGCTTCCCAATATAACTTTAAACGACTGTCAGCCAACTGACAGCCCTGCTCGGCGTAGTTTCGTTTTTATGTTGAATTGGTAAATGTGACATCTTCTATCAGCTTACATGTAGGGGCAAAACGACTGGTCTTTCATCTGAGCCCTCGAGATGGTCATGTGATAATTGTCAGCGGATGTCTGATTTTGACAGCTGTCAATCTAAACGTACTCATACGGATGGCTTACATAACTAAGAGGCTAGTCAAGTTGTGCAAGATCTATTGTGACATTTGACATCGGCTTACATAAAGTGTGTGTACGGGTGGGAGGGCGGGCGTACGCTACGTCATAACCAAATTTTCTCGGTTGGATAGTTTACCAAATTTTCGTACCCACGGTGCTCCGCTGCCCGCGCGCTTTGCGCGCGCGAGAGCTCCGCTATAACCTTCAGTGACGTTAAATCTTTCAAGTCCGTTTTGATGATGTTTCATATCGTTGATTTTTCAGGTTTAAATAAACTCCATTCAATAACCAAAGGCGAGTTATTCCTGTGTGATAGCGGTGACGAGATATTATGGGGCGAAGAACGATGTGATCTAAGGAACGACTGCTATGATTTCTCTGATGAGAAGAACTGTTCTAACTGTAAGTTACGACTGTAAAATCCATTAAAGCAAGAACTTGATAACACTGCATGGTCAGCAAAAGTGGTTCGCTTAAACAAAAAAATCTGTTACAACAAAAATTATCCTTCTGGATCTAAGGGAATTACCACCGGGGTAATTTTAATCCTTTAATTTTAATCCTTGGGACCCTATCTTCTCTCTTCAACAACTTGGAAATGACAATTTATGGTTATACAAAGCAAAAAAGGCGCCAGATGCTCAGACGTGACTATTCCGAAAGACGGCCATCTTGGATTTTGGTGAAAAATATCATACACTGTAGGTTCATCAATATATGGAAGCAGGTCCGCTTTTTTCTTATTTTGCAAGTTGATAAACCTTTTTTCCGCAGTTTAAATATGTGAAATTTCATTTCTGCCGTAGTTAAGGTGTTTGCCCTCTTATAGAATGCTATTAATTCCATCAGACAGGGTCGACCAGGGGTGAGGTAGTTGAATACAAAAATACCCGAAATAAACCTTCCAATAAACCAAAACATAAGCTAAAACTCGAGTAAAATACCAAAATTAAGAAAACCACAGTATACTTTATACCCAAAATTTGTCGTGAGCGAAGTAAGGAGTACGAGACCTAGCCTTTAGCACTCCAACACCTGTGGTGCAAAGAGCCATGCCTTGGTGTTCGATACAATCAATAGGACTCATCAGTCACTCAGTGATAATTTAATTTAGGGACTGTGTAATAAGTACCAGGAGGGGAGGGGGGCTGGGAAATGGGTGAAATATGCCCCAAAACTAAGTCATACCCCCCTCTCATTGAGCAAAAATTAATTTTAACCTTCTCTCACATAATGATGATATTAAGGTCAACCCCCCCCCCCTCCCCCTGAAAAAAGTCTCCTCCCATTGATGCCCTCTTTCTTAGTTTACTTGTTGTTGGATTTCTTCCTCCGATACAAATATCACTTCAAATGACTCTTCGACGTATGTCGAAGAGTCCTTTGAAGAGTCATCAGAATCACTGGACTCTGAGCTTGTGTTGTCTTTGCATGAATTGGGAGATTTCTCATCTTCTACAGCATCTCTGGCAAAAAGGTTCCCGCGTGCGTGGGTGAGAACTCGATCAATCAACTCAGCTTTGCTTCCAATTATCTTAAGACCTTTTTGCTTTAGCAACATTTTCAGCAGCTTGTTGGTAGGCGCTTTTACATCTTTTTCAATTGTCCAAGAAATAAACAGAAGAGTGTTTTGAAGCTCAATTTAATCATACTGTTTTTATTTACCACTCTTTAAAATGAGATCTTTTGAATTTCAGAAGTTTTGTTGGAGAAGCTGAAAATATCATTAAGGACTTCCTGTCTGATTGAGCTTACTCTGGACTGTTTCAGTGAAGCTCAATTTAATCATACTGTTTGTATTTATCATACTTTAATATGAGATCTTTTGAATTCCACAAGCTCTGTTGGAGAAACTGAAAATATTATTTAGGAATTCCTGTCTGATTGAAGCTCAATTTAATCATACTGTGGTTTATTTACCATACTTTAAATTTGTATTGCTATCAAAATTGCAACAAGTGGGTTTTTCATTCTGCTAAATTATGATGCCATTTGTACTAATATTGGCATCTTTCTTTTTCATTGAATAACATCATAGTGCTACTTTTGCAACTTTTAATTAAAGTTTCCTGTGTTTTATTAAATCCTAATGCAAATAAAGTAGCACTGTTTTAACATATATAACAGAGGCATTCCTTTCCCACTGCATAACAGATAGGAAAACAACAGTTCATAGATCAGAACACCTTCGAGTTGATAAATTTGCCAGTTTTATTCCAATGTTAGTATTTATATTTGAACTCCCCCCTCCCTGTGTGTATTAAATTTTACATCCATCCCCCTCTCTCTTGTTGTCATTTTCTCCTATGCCCCCCTCTAATTTTCCAACCCCCCTCCCCCCCCCCTACTCCAGGTAATTATTGCACAGTCCCTTATGCAACTTTCATTTACATAGACATTTTTTTTACTTTCCTATCAATAAGATAATTACTGCTGGTTTCAGCTGATAATGGCTGTTATGAGAGAAATGACAGTCAGTTGATGCAGCCACGCAGCCACCCTTCTTCTTCTTTTTTGGGCCTACTAGCCTGTGTACAAACGCTCCCTCTCCTAGGGGGTAGAAAGATCCTTTGTTTTTGAATGAAGGGGACGGTTGTGCACTGGCTAGGTCCTACCGGACATGGCTTCTCGCTGCTCAGTGTAAGGGAGAACGATGTCCTTTGACGAATGCAAGCTGATGGATTAAAAATTTATGCTTGTAATTGTAGCAGTCACCCCATCAATCTTTGGAGACCAGTAAGTTCAGTTGTGACAGAAAAAAAAAAGGATCACAGGGTCCTGACTGAGCCATTTAGTTATAACAGTGGCAACATGGTCATCATCTTCCACCAGTTTGACTAGATAGAATGTACTTGCTCGTACATCTGTGGGTCTACGTCTTTGAGGAAATGTCCCTCATGTTCCTTTCGGATAAATGCTACTTTCTATGCTAGAACTTTCACTTTCCTTGTGATGGGCATCACCCATAATGAGCCAGTGGTGGCCCAGGGGGTCCTCGTCTTAGAAGAGGTCCTACAAATCTACATTTTTGAGAATTCATTTTGTGTATTTTATAATATTAGTCCATCAGCTAGGGGGGTCGTATGGCTCACTTAAGGGGGACAAACAAAACTTGTATAATCTTAATCTTTGACTAAAGAGAATCACAAAAATGCATGATAGCAAACTTTGCTGCATGATAGCAAGGCGGCAGCTTTCACTTCGTAAATCGAATTTTAAATTTGCCCCCATATCCTTCTTTTGGCCGCCATCTTGGATTCATAAACAAACCTTCGATTTCCTCTTAAAAACACACTATTTTCGTCATGACGTTTATTTCAAAAAATAGGTGCCAGAGATATTATGTTAGGATTGTTACAGTTAGTCAAGATAAGATGACGGCACATATGACGTCACAGTCACCGCCATTTTTCTTTTAGCATTAGTGTATTCAACTGCTATCTCAGTCATCTGAATAATAAAATTACTATTCAGGCCCTCTACATCACCATGCTAGATGAACGTGCTTAGGACTATCGTAACGTCATTTTCCACGTTATTTAAAACATATTTCTATCAAGAAGCTATATAAACCACAAATCGGACTAGATAACTTGCTCTTTTCTTCAGTCTAGAGGTTGTTTGAGAACACGGAAAAGCGTCATGATCGGGTTGATCGCATAACATAATTTGCAGAACATCATCCTTTTGGAAAATATAACATAAAAGTATATTTACATCCACCGCATTTGCGTCTTAACATCATAAGGTAAAAAAAGGGGGGGTTTAAGAAGGAGTTTCAGAAAGCGTTTTACAATGTAAAAAACATGTATTGTCAAGAAGGATATAAATACTAAATATCGAACCTGAAAAAAGAGACAATAAAAAAGATGACGAGGGTAGCAACCAGCCTTCTGTTCTACATATTAAGTATTCAACACCAGCAGAAGTACTTACCTGTATCAATATTTTACATTCTTAGAGTAGAAGACAATTATAATTTATGCTTTCTTGCACTCACAGGGGAGTACTTTTCTTCAGGAGCCGGCTTAGGTACAAGCTGCAAAAACGGCGCGACGTCAGAGCTATATGCATACTTCTCAACGTGCCAATGAGGGGAGCATACTGCGGCTTGATTATTACTTTTGCAATCTCGTAAAGATGACTCGCATGGGGGAAGATTCTCTAGCTTGACTTTCCTACCAGTCTACCGTGGTGGATCTCATATTCAGCACATCCACACTATGATACTTCTATCAGTATTGTTGCCACACTGCACGAGTGCTTCCGTATCTTTAGTTTAAAGGTCTCGGATACTCATCATAGCTCGGACGTACCCTTCATTGTGTTAGTAGTAGTGCTTTCCACTTCCCATTGCCAAAGAAGGCAGAGATGTCATCACAGCCTGTGATTGACGAGAGTTTACACTGATAAGGGCCCTTATGATGCAAGGGATGAAAATGCCTGGGCCGAGTTGCATAGACATTTTCTTAATATTCCGGTTTTCATGCCTCTTCCCTTTTTCACGTAGCACTTTTCAAAGTCAAGGTTTAGCTATGAGCAACCAGTAGGACAAAGATATCAGTGTCATCAGGATGCATCAAGCACGTGATTCCCGGGCGCGTGCCAAGCCAGTGAAGAACCATAAGCGTATCAGCCTCTCCGTGACTGAACTATACCTTTGGAACAGGATCTCGCTGTGTGGCTGCATCTAGTCGCCAGAGCTGGTTGTCACACGTACATGATCCGGTTGACGAGTCTGCTTCTAAAGATGCTTTTGTCTTGCACTGCAACAAGAGGAATGTGACGATTTCAGCCGGTTATTTTTGATGATACTGAGCATACAGCTTGTTCCGCCATGACTTCACCGTACAGACAAGGTGTTAATTCTTACATTGTACACTTTCATAGCCTGTTCCAGGCGTTTAGAACACTAAGAGAGTTAGACATTACGTACGGTCTTTTGAAACTTTTTATCAACACATCGCGATACACGGCGAACAATACCTACGCACCCTCTGCTGGTGCTCCTGACTATCTCAAACTCTCATCTTAAACGTCTGGAAGACCGGTGCCATCTCTTTGATTGGAATTGCTGGTTACGTTCTCTGGGTACTTCGAGGTGGTCGTGATGCGTCGCTCACGCTGTTGGGAGAGTCTGGCTTTGTTTGTCTTTCGCGTGAGTCCCTTAAGATCGTAAAAGACCAAGGAAGAGCTCGAGGACCTTTAAAGTTGTTTTCAATGTGAAAGCAACTTTAATGTCAATATGATAAAACTGTCCGAGAAGTGCAGTGCCATCCGAGCTACAAAATCGTGATCCACACGAAAAGGAGGCCGGGACTAGATCCTTGTTGCTAACCTAACGCAGAGCCTTCAGCGTAGCTTTCTTCACTGGGTAAAAGTAATCTTGAGTGCGATTGGATGAGCAGTGCCCCGTTACAAAGTCAATCGATGGCTTCCGTTTCACTTGCTCGTGGCCTCAATCAGTGATCATTTACTTCTGTGTAGGTAAGTTAAGCGACTCCGGAGTTGCAAATCTCAGTCTCTTCCAGTTTTCCATGCAGTGGTGAACTCGGTCCGGCAGTTTCATCGATTTTTGATGGGATGTGTGGGGAATTCACATTTACCTGAAACTGATTCTGGGTCACGAAAGCACGACATGAGGTTGTCCAGCAAGAAATACTTCTGCATTAGGGTAGCGTTGAATTGGAACAACCACATAAAATGCATTCCTCCGCCATTATGGTGCAGAGAGAGACTTTCGCACCCGGAGCGAAAACTCTGACTATGGCCTTGAGACCATGTGTTTTGTTATTTTCGAGGGGACTCTATTCAACACACTAGCAATATATACATTAATTGTCTACTTACTCTCTTTTCTGAAACAATTATGTAAACCTCCCATTTTTTTCCAGTGATAATGTTAAGTGCAAATTGCCGGTATTATTGTGACTCATTGACAGGCGATGTGTATCCACACGTGAAGTCAGGTAGATATAATTTAAGCACTAGAATAAACGAAAGTCATGTTTTTAGTTCCAATATGTTTTATATGTAAGTTTAAAACACGATTTGTTAACGTTAAAAGAATATAAGCACCTTTTCTAGCCTTCCCCGAAATCCAAGATGGCGGCCAAAAGGAGACTATAAGGGGCAAATTTAAATTTCGATTTTCAAAGTGAAAGTTACCGTTTTATACTTGCTATCATTTATTTTTGTGCAGCTCAATGGTCAGCTGTTCCCCTCGAGTGGGCGATAAACCCAAATTCTCCTCAGCTGATGGGCTATATAAGATATGGGCAGTTTCATCTTTCACGAAAAGTTCTCACACTCTGAGTAGTGTAGTACATAAAGATCAAACTAAATTCTAAAACCGTCATCCATAAAGGTGATTATAGTCGATTGCAAGAGGTGGTCATTTACGAAAAGTTCTAAGTGTATTACTTTTAGGAATCGCGCTTATCTGAGGTGGTCACTGACGTTGAAGGTGGTCGCACATGGAGGTTCGACTTTACTTTTATCTTTTACGGAAAATTCTGAGTTGTTTTCTGTAGTGCGCTCCTGCCAATGATTGACGCTTACTGTCAAAGAGGGGCCTGTTCTAGTGCTATGGTGCTAAGCAACCCGTACGAGGAGTTTGGAAGTATTGCCAATTTAGGAAACTTGATGGTAACGCCTTTTAAGTTTAGATGATTGCAGTTAGTAGCTGGCTTTAGGGTTCGTAAAACAGTTGAAACATCTATAATCTTCTAAGTTCCCTTTTACACACTACAAAACCCAACCTGAAATCCAGCATAGTTGGCGTTGCTGTATTCCCTGCTCGAGAGTCAGGGGCTGCAAACGTTAAGGTGGCTTATGTATTCCGGGTAGGCCATGTGGAAGAGAGAGTTCCTGATTTTAGGTTTGAGGAGTGGATCCCTTCACCTGATGAACACCACTGCTTGCTCATGAAGAAGCTCCGGTGTAAATACGCTTGAGTCAGGGCTAGTGTCATCAAGACCACTAGCATCATCTGTTGTCCATTGAATGCACTTAACAGCTTCCGCAGACTCTCCAGGAACGTCTTGAGTATAAGGCAAGCGTATGTTGTTATCATCTTCAATCTACCATTATTGGTATCTGTCATAATAAGTGTGTTGGTCGAACCCTCTTCACAGCAAACTACAGATGGTTTCCGGAAACTAGAACTTGATTTACTTAGGGCATGGCACACAAAGGCAGTCAAGGGAAAGTCTGGAAAGCTCCCCCAGATTTTAACCGAGACTTAATTTCCTATTGGACGATTTTGATCTTTTATAGCTAATATACTCTTTACCAGAATTCCAAACAGCGGAATACTTTATACCGAATTTTAAGCATAAAACTACTGTATACCTGAAATTGAATACCCCAAAATACTGTATACCCAAAACCCTAGCCGACCCTGATCAGATTCGGCCTTATCGTTCTAGATGAACGGTCTTGAAAGACCTGCGTGTAGGGAAAATCTTGCGACTAAAACTCGCTCTTTTACAGATGCGTATATTTTACCCGTTTCAGATTTCTGTCAGTCCGAGATAAAGTTTGGCGTGCATTGGCCTCGAACAAAGACCGGCGAGGAAGTGACAGTAGAATGCTCATTAGTTGATTCAAATTTAACAGGTATAATAGCTACATGTATTAATAGACCTTTGTCACTTTACCGTTGGCGCTATACTTGGTTTTTTACTTCTTGCATTGTCACCACCCATTTCGTAGGATTTATTCAAAGCCATATTACTTCTTTACACCGTACCATTCTATAAATTTTAATGTAGTTATTCATATAATCATTGTCTGATCTATCTTTTGTCCAACACGGCTGACAGTCAAGCTTAATGTCTATTATTTTTTCGGTTATTATATAGAGCAAAGAGATCAAATTTAGCCGTGTGGTTAGAACAAATAAGTGGGTATCGAGCGAGCGAGGTGGTCCTCTTCACTGATCCGTAACTGAACAGAAAAAAATAGAATGACATAAAATAGGATATACTTGTTGCATGTATGTACTAAAAACATAAACACACACAGGACATACGGAGTATCCACATTACAACTTGGTGACCGTAACGATACAGTCGCTAATCAATTAGCACTCAAACGTCCTTAATTTATAGGCACATTTAGTAGTAAGTGCGGAACTAATAGGACACGTGGGACAACTTGGTTTCACAAGATCACGTGTGGTTGTGAACGAAAAGCCTTGGTGGATTATTTTAGACAAAAGGTAGGACATTACTACAGTTGTTTTAGATAAGAGAATGGGTGTGTTCAATTACATTTATAAGGACTGAGAAATACCAGCTCCTCACAAATCAAAAACACCTGACGTTAATTTATTACACCATCCTGCTAATACACTGTACAAAACTCTTCAATGCAGGCGTCTGGTTCTTACCTTTCTCGAATTTGTAACAGAGGGCATTAAAGGCTTGGTTTGTGATTTTTGGCATACTTGATGACCGGGTTCTCCATCAATCGTATAGAGCCTTTTTGGGAAATAAAGGACAATTGGTTTGTGATTTCCGGTGTACTTTATGATCAGGTTCTCTACCAGTCGTATAAGGTCCATTTTGGGAGAGTTGAAAATAATGGACAATTATCAGGCTAATTTTAGGTGTTATAAAGCTAGAGCTGTCATCAGTAATGTTTCGGCAACTCAGTATCTTGACAAAGCCAGGCAACCAGATAACATTCTAGGGATATTTTCTTGCTTCCCATATTCGTACCTTAAAGGCATTTTAAAGAATCATCGTTTTTTTAGGTATTATTTTTGCATTCAGGAATGTTTTTTGAATTTTGCCTCTTGCTGGCTGTGGTATTTCAGTGCATCGCTGTGCGATACACGACCGTAGCTTTACGTTAACAGAACAGTATTCTTATTCAAAACTAACATGAAATCTACTTACTGAAAACTGATTTCCGCTATATAATTCTTTGCTCAATACCTGTCAATTATAGAACTGTATGCGCTTATTGCAAACAAAATAATTGCCCACGCAGGGATTTCGCCCAGAAGGCGAAATCCCGAGGAGGCACTCTAGTAACTCGCGCGTATATTAAGGGAAATACTTACAGCTGAAATATACAGTCATACAGTCAATATAGAAAAAATCTCGATTTGCTTGAACAGGGGCCGCGAGGAATCGGTAGGTAATGTGACGTTTCTATTGTTTGCGCCCACAAGTACGAAATGGTTAGGATGACGTAAAACCCAAAAAGCTTACAATAGGTAGATTTGTGACATTAATTGTGCAGTCATACTTCGATACTCTTTTGCCATCAAATTCTGTGCTGACTTATTCCCTGCTCACAGATGTCCTTCCGCTATAAAGTTTGAAATAAGACTAGAATGCGCGAGCGTAAATTGATCAAACGTATTTTTGATTTCTAAGGCTTACTTTCCGGTAAATGAAATGAACTAAATGTAAAACGTGAAATAGAAACAGCGAAAAATTAATGTCCTAATTAAATCTTTTCTTATGGTTTAGCATAAACTATTCTCGAAACTGAGAATGTTTTGATCAAAGCTGTGTAAATCGAACCCAATCTGTGCATGGAACCATGCGTCTATTTCCTGTATTTATCTCACCTATTGTATGGAATATGTGTGAACATCTTCATTATGAATCGGTATATTTCAAAGAGCTACTCAAGGAGCAAGAATACTATACACAGGGCGGGGGCAGCTGTAGTGTCAGCTATTAGTAGTAGTAGTGGAATTCTTTAAGTTTTGCAATTATTCCACATAAACAAGAAAAAACTTTCTCTTTATTCGACTTCCAAGCTCACAAGACAGCGTTGACTAATCGTCACAGGAGTACTGAGCAATGTGGGGTGACCTCTAAACAACCTGTCATTTTATTTCTTGCACTTTAAGATTTTAACTTTTTGCTTAACAGCCGTTTATTTCAGTATGGCTAGTTGATTGGCTGAGTCATTTTAGAGAACGGGGACGTTTACTATGGGCGCGTTTAATTCACCGTGTCCCAAAATAAGAGTAACGGTCAATAAAATCATTTGGTTAGAAATCTCGTTCAACATGTTATAATTAACCTTAACCAATGGGATGTTGAATTCACCTTAACACTGTAATTCCGCCAGATTTGGAGATGCAGCGATACAATGAAAGCCTGAATAAGGGATTTCTAGGACTTATTCCATTTATTTTTTGGGGGAAATACTGTTAAACAAACACGCCCGGCATTGGCTTTGTTTCAAAAGTTATTAATAATTGTCTTCTTTTGGTGCAATCTTTTTTTTTGTCACAGATTCAGAGAATTAATACCACAAATATATTGAATATATCCACGGAATTTGTGAATTCATATGACAGATTCAAGAACAAAGACGTTTTACTTGAGATGATAAATGATCTCTTTTCTTCTGTAAGACGAGTCATTTCTCCAATTACGGAACGTAGAGAAAGAGAAAGATAATCTTTATTTATTCACGGTACAAAATTCGTCAGCTTTAAAAATGCCTAATACTAATATAATAAAAATATTTAAATAAAAAAGCTGCTTTCCACGAATGCCGTGCCTTACAGTTCTTTGAGTAATCGTTTAAATTGCCCAAGGGACTCTGCTTCCCTTAAGTTACAAGGAAGACTGTTCCAGAGAATGGCGCCACTATAGCTGAAGCTGTTTTTGTAGTAGTTTGTGCGCGGTAATGGAATATTGAGTTTATTTTCAGAGTCCCTTAGGTTATATGCGACTTCTCGCCTTTCAAATTTAGAACTAAGATAGTTTGGAGCCAACCCGTGCAGAGACCTGTAAACCATCGTAGCTCTTTGAAATTGTTGCTGGCAAGCTAGGTTTTTCCACCCTAGAAGTTTGAAAAGGTGACCAGCATCTACGTCATAGCTTGAGTAGGTCAAAACACGGGCTGCTCTGTTTTGTAGCTTTTGAACCTTATTCCGTAAGGTTATCCCACGTAATTCGAAGAAGGTCGTACAACTTGGCGAGGTAAGAAGTAAGAGAAAACTTTAAGGGGCTGGAGCATAAGGTAATTATCTATACTTATAGAGTCAAAGACGGAGAAGACAGCAACAAACATTGAGGGAAAATTACTTGGAGAATTATTACAGCCAAAAACAGTACTAACAAAAAAACAACTTACAACAAAGCCACTGTGGTGAAGCTGTTGTATCTTGACTAAATTTAATTTTTTCTGAAGCAATTTATAGATAACTAAAGCAAAGAAAGATTGTTGAATTTATTGAAGTAAGAAACAGTTGCTTTAAGATCCCTTATTATTCATCTTTTTTTTGTTTTATTCAAAATTGTTATTATAATAATAAGCTATCGTTGTCCAAAAATCTACAGTTTTCCTTTCGGAAAAACAAACGTAAAAAGAATACCAGGATAAATTAACCTACTCGATTTGATCAATCTAGGAAAACCCGATGATCCTGTAATAAGTTAATAAATAATATTCTGATGGCAAATGATCTCACAATCACACGATCCAAAGTTAAACGAAAAGTTGGGATTTAGTCATATTCCATAAGATGGTCACCACCTAGGTGGCACTTATACCAACCAACCGTCCCTTAATTTTTGAAAAACATGTCTTAAAAAATAGGATGGACCAAAATTGGAGGAGAACATGTAAGTGGCCTCCGTCTCCCTGCCACAATATTTTATTTGGATTTTCTTTCTTTTCTCAGAATGTGTTAACTTCAGGGTAATTCTAGTCAAAGTATGTCCAAATTGTGAGCAATTACCCTTTTCTTTTACATGAAAGGTTCCCGCGACATGAAGACATAGATTTTAAGCAGATCGTAGACGAAAGCCCACATGAATTTTAGGATTTGAGGTGCAGCTTTTTCTCAATCAAAATTGTGCAACTAGAAAATATTCACGCCTCGCTCCTTCTTAACTTTCAGTTATGGCCAAATACAACCGCAAAGATAAAGCGCATTAGTCAAGTATGAATACTGAAATTTAAAGAAGTTTCTTTCACTTTTTAAACTCAGTCTGAATTCTTTATGGCTCTTATTTACTCGGCAGCAAATCATACAACTGTTGTATGACGATCTTGACCGGACCGCGTTTTGTCAGCAGCCTGATTTGGTAAGCGCTCTTTGTTTTCAATATGTTTTTTACCTTTATGTGTAAACTTAATAAAACATTGAAATTTTACGTTTTTTTTCACTTTTTAAGCTCTTCAGCGATGTCTTAATCAAAAGACTATCTCTTGTTTTCCCGCTAAAAATTAAACTTGTCGGAACGTTAGCCACAGTGAACTACATTCAGGACGATCAATCATATCTTACCTACTAATGAAATGCCTCTGAATCTAACCAATAACTATGAAATTGCTTTAATTATCGCTTATTCAATTATTCAGGCTCAAGCAAGGAATAACCTTATTAGCAGAGTTTTGGAATTTCTCCGCACAGCTGAAGCCTTTGTGTAAGTTTTACAAACAATAAGCTGACGAGAGATATAGTGCAATTTCCTGAAGAAAATAGGTGGCTAATAACGGAGCTCCACACGCGCTCGATCCGAGCCCCATAGCTAAGAAAATTTAGTTATCTATCCATCCGAGATATTGTGGTAGTCACGTGACCGTACGTCCGTCTGACTGACCGGGTAACCAATGCGAAATCTCACCTTTTTTGATTAGTGTGTTCAGTTGACAGCTGTCAAAACAGGGTATTCACTGACCAATATCACATGACCGTATCGCGGGCTCAGTTGTCGATCCATCGAGTTTGCGTGTTTTTTTGAAGTTATCTGCTGACAAGTTACTAGTTTCCAACTGATCGCAGGCTCAACTGTAAGTGAATTTCTTTACAATGGTTACATGTTTATTTTTTGAAGTAAATTATAAATCTATTAACCAGAGCTTCGCCTTTGCCTTGGCTAAATCTATATATTATCGTATCCAAGGAATATTGAATGCCTCTACACCTGCGCAGCTTTCAACTTTAACTTCAACTTCATTTGAATAGATAATTGTAAATATACAGATACTAAAGAGACTGGTCCGCAAGTAGCATTTGCTAATTTGGGCGGAAACAGTCACACAAAAACATTACAAGGAGAATATTAATCAATATTTACTAGAATTTCAAAAGGAGACATTATTACTTCGAGAAATTTTGGTCATAAATGAAGATACATTACAAGCTCTAGCAGTTTCTTTAAGTAAGTTTGAATGTAGCAAGTTAAGTTCTATTTATACGTATTCAGGGCAGAGGGGGGAAATATCAATTTAGTCATCATGCTTCATTAGGATATCAACAAGGAAAGAGTGGAGTTTCGTTTTAAAGCGTTTTTTGGGAGCTCTCTTAATGATAGTAATAATAATAAAAAATTTATAATGCACAAATTCCATAAAATGTTCAAATGCGCATGACAAGATTAAAAAACGAAATAAAAACGCTAAAAAGCTAAAATTACAATTAAAAGTAAAAGTAATAAAAACAACTATGATAACAATGAATGACGGAAAAGGTGAGTTTTTAGCTTGGCTTTAAAAATACTAACTGTGCTGGTGCTTCTTATGTCAAATGGTAACGCACTCCACAGTTTCGGTGCAGCACAGGTAAAAGAACGATCACCTAGTGTAGCTTTAGATTTAAAACGCGGATAACTAAGTAAAAGGTTATCACTAGAATTCCTTAGATTATATTTAGATGGGAGCCTAAGAAAAATGAGAGACGATAAATAAGTAGGCGCTAAAAAAGTAAGAATCTTAAAAGTAATTAAAAGTATTTTAAACTCGATTCTATATTTAATCGGTAACCAGTGTAATTCATAAATAAGAGGCGACAAAATTTCTGTTTTCTAAAAATCAGTATGGCGCAAGCGTTCTGTACTCGTTGCAGTTTTTCAACTAGCAGTCATAAAAGACCATGATGCTGCTATCTTATTCCAAATTTTAGCTCCTATTCTTGAAAAAGCTCTCTTTTGGGTATCTAGCCTGGATTTCTTAATATAGAAGTTATTTAACGAGGAAGACCGAGTGTTATAAGAATGAATACTAGTAGTATCGCTGAGCACACCGTGGCTGAAGCAGAACTGGTCAGCCACTCTTTTAAAACCCGCAATAGGCTCTCGATTTGAGATTTAGGATTTTAATACATAAGAAAATTGTCTCTATTTCAAGTTATTTACCTGGCCCCGGTTGCTTGAAAGCTGGTGATAATGCTATCCTGTGGATAAATCACTATCCAACGGAGAAGTATTAAGGAAACCAGTTGCGTGGCAAGTAAAATTAAAATATAGATTTATCCACTGGATATTGTTGGCCATGTTTTGAACAAGCTCCTGGCTTTAATATTTTTATTTTTGATTCCTCCACAACTGATAGAAGATTACAGGCCGACGTTTAGGCATTGCAGGCTACCGTCATGGTGACAAAAATGATAGGGTTAGAAGTTAGTCGTTATTTACAGTCCTCTGCAAATAATTTTGAGTCTATTTTCGCGTCTAAAGTTGTGGGATTTTAGCCCAAACAGAATCGTGCAAAAAACAAACAAAACCGGCAAACAAACAAAAAATACTCGCGCTTATTACGTAGGTATTTAAATGGCAGTTTAAAACATTATTGGAAATGAAAACTTTGATCCGGGCATTTTTGAAGCCGCATATTTTGCTACCTGGATTCGTGTGGACAGGACACTAATCTACTCTGGAGAGCGGTTTCAAAAAGATTCGGTTTCGGTGAGCGGATTCACCCGGTTTCGTGTAGAAAGAAGGTCGATTTATGTAAAAAAAGTAAACTATGTGGTTTAAAATATCCGGATTCGTGTGGGACGTGGCCTAAAGCTAACAATTTCCATGTTCAAGATCTTTAATAACTTGTCAGAAATTGTCAACTGATGGTTATCACACCGTATAAGCGTAGTCAGAGGATTGATACCACCTCTTTATGTCGAGTTGGAGCCATGACATGACAACTATAAATTAGTCAACTGAATACTCTGTTATTCTAGTAAATGTTCTGGGTCAGTAGAGAGAGGAAAATAAAGAATAAAACAAACAAACAAACAACAACAACAACAAAAAAAAAAACAAAACAAAAAAATGACCTCTGTCATTTTCCTATGGGAGGTCCCCCTGTGTACAATCGAATCGAAATAAATCACTCCTCACTCGTGGATTTTTAAATTTGTCATCTAACGTCACATGCACTTACTTGGAAGGTTGAGCATTAAGCAAAAACTTGTGAATAATACACAGGGAATCTTAAGTCAATGAAGCATTATACACTCATTAATTATTTAGCATGCACATTGGTTTGATTCAAAAGCTAGTCTTTGTGATGCGGTAATCTTATTTATTTAGCCACTAAAATTATAGCTAACGATATTCTTTTTATACTAATCGTACTTTTTTTGTTATATTTTTAAATACAGGGTGGGTGCTCTAACCGAAAATTTTGGAAAGAATAAACACGTTCAAGCCATAGTATTCATTGAAAGAACAGAGCTCATTAGGCAGTTAAATAGTGCGCCATTGATTACAGATGAGACTATTAAAGGTCCGTCTGAAAGGCCTTTAAACCCGACGCCAACTGTCGTTAACTTTTCGACTGAGATCTCTCAAAAGTACAACACTACAAGCAAGGAGGTAATAATAATTATCAAAAAGGCTTTAAAGGTTGGAATGCCTCTGCACTGCATCATTTCTAAGAACATGTCATTTAACTGGGTAGACCTTTTGCATGATGTTTACTACATTAAAGTACGGGTATTTGTATTTTATTTGCCACACATATCGCGATGACAATTACAAAAAGATACAAAAAATGTAGGAAGAAATGGCGAGGATGCCTAAAGGAAACTATAAACCTTATGTTAATTAGGCCTCCTCAATTACAATTTTTCAAAGATAGCATAAAAAGTACGGCGACGGATACAAAATATTATTAGATGGAAAATTAAAATAACAATCAATATTAAGGAAGTTTACAAATGTTGAATTAATTAATCAGTTTTTTTCCAAGATTTTTGTTGGATTAAACGAATAGTTACTACAAATAAATGCCTTAAGTGCTCTTTTAAAGGAAAAAGGGAAGGAAGCGTTGATGATGTGGGTGTTTAAGGTTTTATAAAATTTAAGTCCTTGATAAAATACCGAAAATTGTTTGATTTGAGTACGACAGAAAGGCAGACGAAATTTACAAGAGTTTCTTGTATTATACGAATGAATTTGACTTTTTAAGTTAAATTTACAATGAAATTTCAAAGGTGGAGTATGGTTTTGATAGAAGTACATGAATAAGTTTAGTTGTATTAAGTATATATCATGTTCGTGCATAGAAAGGGGTTTTAGCTGTAGTTCAGATCACTCGTTTCTGTAAAATCTCAAGACGAATAGGGTAATTAGTTCTGTAAGTAGAGGCCCAAACTTAGTTGTAGTAAAAAAGGTATGGATAGGCTAGAGAAAAATACAATGTTCGTAAAGTTTTCGTAGATAAATAGAAACTGGTTTATTTACGAATAATTCCTATTGATTTATAAACTTTATTAGCGAGATTATTGAGATTTCAGATTTCCAATTTAAATTTTCACCCATGATTACTCCGAAGAAAAATGTTTGTTTTACCTCGTAATCAATTTTTTGGCCATTAATTAAAAGCTGAATAGTTTGATTTGTACGTTTTTGGCATGGTTTAAATACAATAAATTTGTTTTTTTTCTCAAGTTTAATGAAAGCCTGTTAGGTCTAAACCAACTTAACAACTTATCTAGCTCAGCGTTCAGTGTATTAGTCAAGCAGTTTTTTATCCTTGTGATTTCTACTCTACATCGTTGATGTAGAGCAGAAAAAAACAAAGGCCCTAGTATTGAACCTTGGGGAACCACACTCATGATATTAGCACGAGAGGAAACATAACCATTGTATTCTACAAAATGAAGTCTGTTGGAAAAATAGCTCCTAATCCATTTCAGAGCCAAGCCACGTATACCACAGTGTTCAAGTTTATCAAATAAGGTGGAATGATTGACGGTATCGAAAGCTTTCGAGAGATCTAACAAGACACCAACCGCTAATTCAAATACACTAAATACAACTAGCAGTCAAAGCAGGACTTGAACCCGGGGCCCGCGAATTGCAAGTCCAACGCTCTAGCCACTCGGCCATGCACGCCGCCTGCTCCCAACATAGAGCTGAAACCTATTGTAGAAACACAAAGATAAACACCTGGTAACATTTGTGCCATTTGTTGAGTTGGGAATTTCCTCCCAAGTTTGAGCATTTACCACGTCGCATTAACAAAGCTATCGAGAAAAAGTTACCACAGCTGTATTATTTAAAGTTCCTGATTTGTTATGATTTATGTTTTATTCACATCTGCGTCATCATGGCAACGTAATGACGCCATTACGATTTTTTTCCTTGCTTTTGTATTTCTCGGTACTAGAATTGTTTTTCATAAATCTCTTAAGGGACCTTATATCCCTCTTCGCTGCCTCGATCAGGGCAAATTTAAACAATTTCTATGAGAGCGTTTTGGAAATATTTTGGAACGAAGTTTAAAGGGTCACAGAAAGAGTGAATAACCATACTATCAACATAATGGGTAATATCTAAAGAAAATGAAGCGGTCTGGAAAAACAGTTTCATCTCATAGTGGTTCGATTCCATTTGAAACTGTAAAAGAAAAAAGAGGGGTTCCTTTGGCCTATTTTGAGAAAGAAGAATTTGATTAGCGTGCCGCATTCAGTTGCGTTTGTTACCATTGTTGAATGCAATTTGGTTCACGTCTACAAATTTCACGGTAATTTAGAAACCGCTCGATAATTTTTTTAAACAACTTTACAATCCTGAGATTAATCTTTGATTTATATTGCCTCCAGGTTTCAAGGACATTAAAAACAACAATATCACAAATTTTCCCCAGATTTTGTGTTCACAAGTAAGCGTCCTCGACTCATTATTCACTAGCATTGTTTTCAAGTTTCATATACACGTGGGCAACTTAGGAAGACAAATAATTTGCATTCAAAAGGACCCTTCGTTTCAAAATGTTTCCAGAACGCTCGTCACAGAAATTCTTCCACCTTGCCACATGTGATCGAGGCAGTGAATGGAGGAATAAGCTCCCTTAAGCGATTTCCGAAAAACCAAAAAACATTCTGGTACAGAGAAATACAAAGGCAAGTAGTAATAATATTGTCACTCGACCGTTAAAGTGTATAACTCCTTAAAAATTGTTCTTAAACGGCAGAAATTTTAGCTCTAACAAGAGAAACTTTTAGAGATTTTTTCTTCCGGTAAGCAACAACTGGGGCATTAGGATATGTTTGCGCGAGCGTGTCGTTGCCTGTAATAAGGTGCCAGTGTTTCATTAGAATCTTTTTTTGAGATTGGAGTAGCAGGGTTGAAAGTCGTAACGAAAGGCAAAATCTTTTTTTAAGTTTTAGGTTTATCTAGTAAAGCCGTTTTGCGTTATTCGAAACAAACCTCGGCTAGGATTGTTTCGACGAGTTCCTAAGGGTAACCTCGTTCTATAACGGGAGTTAAGAATTATTTCTTCTTTAACGCGATGATTCCTTAACCGAGTTCGTTCGAAGTAAGCGTAAAGCTTCTCCTTTAACGCCCTTCTTAACACCGAGAGGGTGGCATGAGGAGAAATGCGTGTATTGGAATGTTTCTGTTGGCTTAAAATGTGTCTGAACATCAAGTATTTTACCTTGAATGAGTCATGGTCCTTCAAAACTTCAGTGTCAAGGAAAACAATATGTTTTGATGACATTTCGTGTGTAAATTTAATGTTTGCTTGGAAAGAGTTCGCGAAGTCAATACAATTTTTATTGATTTCGGTTTCCGAAGTAGTCCACACCGAGAATATGTTATCAATAAATCTTCTCCATAGGAATGGTTTGTAAGGACTTGCATTTAAAAGTTGTTTCTCAATGTGTGCCATGAAAATGACTGAGAAAGCAACCGCCATCTTGGTGCCCATTTCTATGCCGACTGTCTGTAGGTAGTGTTTGTCGTTGAATTTGAAAGAATTTTCTGCTAGAATCAGCCGCATTAAGTCTCCCAAAAATTAAGTAGGGATAGGTAGAACAGGCTGATAGTGTTCTTCGTAGAAGCGACAAACGATTTCGATTCCCTCTTCCTGGGGGATGTTAGTGTACAGAGGACACACATCCAGTGTAGCTAAAATAGCTGCCTCTGCCGTGGGAGTGGCGTGTTTTTTAATGAAGTTTATAAAGTGCGTAGTATCCTTGATGTAAGACGCTTGTTTTTGAGCGATCGGTTGTGGACGCGAATCCACAAAACTAGAAATGCGTTCTGTGGGACCACCACTACCAGCGACGATAGGTCTGCTGACGGGAATAGCTTTGTGTATCTTGGTCAGCGAGTAGAATTCCGGTATTCGTGGTGGATTTTGGCCTAAACTAAGCCACTTGTGAGTCATTTTGTCAATAAGCCCGTTTGTAAAAAGAGCGTTTATAATTGTTATGACTTTAGTGGCTGTTTCGGATACAACAGGTCGAGTAAGGGGTTTGTAGAAATTCTCGTTAGAGACTTGTAATAGCGTCATTGCGTTGCCAAGGAAGGTGACTTCGATGTTAATAAAACATATATAGATCGTAACAAACTTTCATCATTATACAATACAGCTGTAGTGATATTTTTCCGATATCTTTGCTTATGGTGACGTAGTAAATACTCAAACTAGGGAGTTATCCTCCCCAAAAAATCCAGTCTAGTCACCTTAACCGTTTCATTAACGGCATAAATCATTCAACAACAAGGGTATTTCGAAAGTCGTTTCTAATGTTTCAAATTTAACCCACATGCAAACGAACCAAAGGCCACGTAGCTCTTCGCTCTCATGAACTGTATCGTGGTATATCCTATATTGTTTGTTATTTCATACTGTAGAAGTTATTGTACTAAAATCTACTTTTTTAATGTCACTATCATTATAGCCGGCGGAGCCCTCTATTGAAAAAATAAAAGCTATCCTCACGGCCGACAACTGCGCTCATATATATTATGACCAGGTAATGTTTTTGAAGAAATCACGTACGAAATCTATTCACTTATCACCGAAAACAAGGCCAAATGTTCTACTGTACTTTAGTAAGAATCCAACAAGTGGTCTATTATCAATGCTGCGTTCTGGTTGGTTGAGTTACTACCAGGCTATATGTTATAGCCCACTAGTAGCGAAAAGCGCCGGCTTTGAAAACCAAAAGAGTGGCGGCTGAATAGCGTTTTGCTAGCTAAAGTTGTTTTGTCTCGATATTTTACTAAAACAATTATTCCTCTCGCCCTCATGGCCTCTGAGTCAATAGCCCGTTCGGCCTTCGGCTTTATGGGCTATTGACTCAGAGCCCATTCGGGCTCGGGGAATAATTGATAGTTATCGGAAGCAACTGTCTTTGGCCCTTGTGAAGTCCAAGGGAAATGGGGGTGTGCATTGGAAGGTTTTGTACCCCCTTTGTGATATCATGGATATTTTGAAACAGTGACGAGGAAAAAAAAAACATCTTAACATTTCTTGACCAAGACGCGGAACAGACTCGTGAAGAATTAGGGTCAAGAGTTATGAATGTATGAAAATCAAATATGTGAACTGCAAGGTGAAGAATTATATGAAAGATGATCACCGCAGTTAAAGAGGTCCTCTAACTCTTGAGTTAGGGTCAAATAACGTAGCGTTTTATGACCCAAAACAGTTTTTCAGATACTTCTTATGCCTCATGAAAAACTGAAAGATTTTGGTAGTTGTAGTAAAATAAAGTCATAATGAAATTGCAATTGTCGATTTATTGTTGTTTTTCAGGAAAAAGACGTCATTGAAATACAAATAGCTGCTGCCACTAACAAACACCACAAAGTCCAAACGGACCTAGAGTTGGTCCTTCTTGGAGTATCTGTTGTTGCAGTGATCCTGTCTCTCATAATACTTACCATTATAAGGTACTAACTTAACGGACTTAAACTGAAAAATGCGTCTCTTGTGTGTTTTTGTGATCTTCACTAAAGGTTACTTTACACTTGAAAGTTTTCAACTGATATCCTTACGAATAATGATTCTTAAAAATACGCAACCTTCTATAGCCAACGAAGACGGTCGCTTTTCATCGCTAAAAGGACGCAAGAGACGTCCATGCCAGCACGAAGAATCCGTTGAAAGCACTGTGAAAAAAATAGGGCTACTTACCATTTTTTTTATTCTTTCTATAGGGTTAAAAGCAGCGAGAGAATTTTCGTTCATAAGAATCTTCTCTTTTCTCTTGGACTTGGTAACCTCGTGTATATTTTGGATATCGCCTCATTTTCGTCACGGATGGATCATATTGTAAGCTGTCTTAAGTTTTTATGGTTTAAGTTCCTAAAGTCTACAAGCTATGTGTTAGATTAGTTGTCCCCTTTTGATCTTATCAGTAATGTAATGCATAGTAAAAATTCTTCACAACGGCATTCTGTCCATTGGAGACTAATTTGAGGTCTGCAGCTCGCAGTTATGCAGGTTTTGTGAAATGCAACTCTAACAATACGAGAGATGGGAAGAGAAAGTTCGTTAGAAAGCAAGTTAAAGGTGATTAACTCATAATCCTTACAAGATCTTATGATTCACAGCAAGAATATATTCAGAATTTTTAAGGGTTTATATTGAAAAATTAGCCTCCGTTGACATATTCAGCATTAAACAACTATAAAATCACACTGTTGGGAGAAAAAATCTGAAATATTTGGGAGGCCCACTATTTGTTTAATACTCTATCAATTTCGGGTATTTTACGCTGGCATCTCAACATTTTTGCATCATACAGGTTTCCTTGATCTCCAGTTGCAAAAAAGGACTAATTGGTGGTTCAATTGTTTGAGTTGGCAGGCATTTTTTTTGTTAGTACGCAAGACTGAGAAACCCCCACAAACCCTTGTTTTCACTAAAACCGCTGGAAAAAAAAACCTCCCCTGGTCCTGGTTACATTGTCACATTCTGGATAACCAGATTGGCACCAGGCCCCAGTTGTTCAAAAGCTGGATACCGCTATCCATCGGATATATCACTATCCAGTGGATAAGTATTTATAGGGAAACCAATTGCTCTATACGCCTTTTGAACAACTGGGGCCTGATCACAATCATAATGATTCCCAAAAAAATAATGACGAGTTTATTTCTGGTATAGGTGTCATTTTTAGCTTATAATGTTTATAAAAAAAATATTTAAGTAAATGGATAACAACCCTACGAATCAGATACTGGTCTTCTCAGTTTTTCTGTCAAGATTAACGTGCACGTGGGTGATGCTAGCTGTATAGAGCCTTTTCACATGACGTCACGTCCGCCATGAACAATCAAACGGCGTCCATGTGGGTGTCCCTACCATTCCTGTGGGAATTTAACTCTTTTCACATGTGACTGCTCTCTTGTGTCGCAATAGGCTGGGGTCATTTGCTTAACTGCTGGTCACGTGAGTGAAAACGCTCTATTTACATTACCAGGCCAGAAATTTAAACAATATTGACTCAATATTGAAATTTTGATCAGTATTAAGTAATGCATATCTCTTTGAGTTGCGACTGAATGAAAGTGTATTACTCGGTCCAATCGTCTCCCGAAAGAAAAACCATTTAATAACTAAATATTAATTTAATTAAAGAGGTGAAAAAAGAATAAATTTAAAGGAGGTTTTGTATTTTAGGTCCTTTGTTGCTTGGTTACCGTGATTCAGCACTATCTTCACACATCTCTGTTTACTTGGATGCTGGTGGAAGGAATCAATCTTTACATAGAGCTGGTTAAAGTCTTCTCAGTCAGAAAACAGTATCTGTCTTACCTGATGATGGGATGGGGTTCGTATCTTTATATTTTTACGATCAGACCAGATATGACATGTTCAGTTTGCTTGAATACGAGATCCTTTGATCAAGTGATTTTGATTAAGAGAATTATGTCATATTATATCGTCATAATATTATAACATACTTGATATTCAAGTGAAAGGTTAATCTAAAGAGATTAAGAAAATTACTGGGGAAGAACTAGGACTTTATATGTTTGCCACAAAACTTTATATCACGTGACCTAAGCCTACATGTGACTTCACGCGGTTCTGTCGGTTACAAAATACCACTGAAAGTATTTCAAAGAATTCATAAATGGAAGCAATTTATTGCAGGATTGTTTCACCAGTTATTAAAATTTAGATTTTAAGTGATATAGTTTGTAAAATGTTCCCAGTATAAAATATTGAATGAACAAGAACAAGAAGAAGAGTAATAAATAGGAAATACAAAGGTTTATAAGAGTTGATGAGTATCTCACTGTCAAGTATCTCACTGTCACTGTAAATGCGAATAATTCTCCCTTGGTTAATACATACATATGTATCTCGGATTTAATGAGTAGCAGTTATGATAAAAGAACGGATTTTTTAATCACAGTAGATGTTGAAAAGATTTTGTTTCACTCTTAATAGATGTAAGCAGCGAGGCTAATTATTATTATGTCAGTCTGAATGAAGACAGATAAATCAACGCAAAAACTATCTAAACTTGTTTGAAAAGGGAAGTTGTGTTAGTGACCATTAACATAAATCAGCTTTGGGATTTTCTTGTTTTTTTTTTCAAATTTGTAAAGAAATCAGTTATAATTCCATAAACTCGAAGTTGCTATGCAATGGAAAGCTTCTATCATACACAAGTCTAATTCTTTTCAAATATACCGTAGTTCATACCATAATACCACAATATAATAAATGCCCTTTCCCCTATAAAGACACATTGCTGTTCGTCTATTTGAGGGTAAAATTAACTGTACAGACCTTCAGTGTATATTAAACAGAAAGTGGTTTTATTGTCATAATTTAAGGAATACCAGCAGTCATCGTTGGCTTGGTGGCTGCTATTCGTCCTTCATCTTATGACATGGGGAAAAGTTTGTATAAGAACATTACATGCGGATCACGGAAAATTGCCACGAAGATCGAAAGAACCAGGTACACTGATATTACATTGACAACCTTACTGTTACTGTAGTTTAATGTCATTATAGTAATATATCATTTTTGGCCATCTCATTATTCTCAATTATCATCATTATCATGCTCATCATCATCGTCACCAACATCATCGACATCGTCATCAATATCATCAACAACTACAACTCAAACACGACATGATCGTTATCATCCGGCGAGCATCATCATTTTAAACGTTATTAGCTCGCTTTAAATTATTCCTGTGTTTACAGGTGCTGGATAAACGGAAGTCAGTGGATTTACCAAGGTCCAGTTTTAGCAATTCTCTTGGTGAGCACCAATGATTTCACATGGCATTCACGCAGCCGTTTCCCAAGGTTGAGGGTGAAATTTGCTTTACAAGCTAAGAATTAAACCCGTGGCCCTCCAACTAAACGGAAACACATTGTAGTTCAAATTGCAATTTGTGGGTTTTGGAAGACAGATAAGATTCGAAGTACCCGAAGGGAAACCTCTCGAAGAAAACAAAAAGAACAATGACAACAACAAAATCAACCTTCGTATGGTGTCCAACCGGGGGACTTAAAACCAGGCCTCATTGGTGGAAGGTGGGGACTCTCACAACTACACCAGCCCTAGTGCTCCTTTGGGCCATGAAGTCTAAGCTTACCACGTATATATGCAGCATACTCAGAAATGGATTGCCTAGACAGAGTTACGAAACCAGCTTTGGGTTCGAGGCCTGACAGCCACTACAATATGTAGTATAAGACGATGAATGTTAGAGTTTAAATTTTTTACCTCTCGCAGATAATCAACATGGATGAGGGTGCAATACAAACCGAGAAGTGTGTCACTTGAAAATTTTATTGCTCATTGATACAAAATTCATCTTTTGACTCACAGCAGTTTACCTTCAAGCTTACTCAGTGCTGTTTAATTACTGGTTACCTCCCTTCGGGATTTCATTTTATGCCCTTTCGCCGGCAGTTCAACGACATTATTTTTTACATTGCAGATAAACTTGATTCTGTTCGTGATCATTTTGAGAGTTGTATTTGGTAAAATATCCAGCAAATATGGCAAAAATAAAATAGACGCTGCAAGGTAAGTTTACTTGTACAACTATAAGAAGGCTCGATACTAAAATATTTCTAATATTCCTGTAGGTTAATTTACAACTACGGAAAATAGCTATTGAGAACACTTGATAGATTGCGCAATTTATAGTAACACGCTTTTGAAAAATCGTGAATGTCTCTTTATAGGAGAGGCATAAGAAGTACTCTTGCCCTGCTTCCCCTTCTTGGGGTCACGTGGTTGTTGGGATACTTTGTTGATTTCCACGATGCCTTGAAGTATGCTTTCATTTTGGTGAACTCTTTAATGGTAAGTACCGGTAAAGCTCCATGGGTAAGTTTAAATTATTGATGTATTTATCCCTAGAGTAGACCAAGTTCAGCTGCTCGTTAATTTGCAGTCTTTTTGTAGAGAAGTAGAAATATCATGACTTCTGCTAACCGATAAGACTCAGGCTGATGCTCAAGTGATAAAGAAATCAAGAAAGCTTCTTTTCCAAAAACTAGCGAGGCTGACAGAGAATTTTTGTTGAGAGTTTGAAAACAGAAGTCCCCTTGCCATACGTGCTGACTCAGTATTTGTTTTTGATCATAGGGACTTGTTTTTTGCATCTTCCATTGTGTTTTGGATGACCAGGTAAGAGGCATGGTGAATTCTCAGCCTTTTGCTAGTTTTCCTATTGAACAGGTGAGCGACAATCAGTTAATGACAGTTGAATTGCATGACCAACTACAGTGGAACCTTGATATAACGAACTCTACATATCGAAGTCCTCGGTATAACGAACAATTTTCTTTACTCCAGCAATAGTAACGTGTATGAAAAAGAACCTTGATATAACGAAACATCGATAAAGAGAACAAATTTTGCCAGTCTCCTGGCCCTTGGTTGAATCGAGGTTACACTGTAAATATGAATGTTCATCACTCAAATATTTCTACACCAGGTTAGAGAGGCTCTGCGAGCACGTAAAGCCCGTAGAAGAAAACAGTCAGACCAGAAAACAGGAACAACGCCCGCCTCCAATCCCACGACACCAACTGCCGACAAAAACAGTCGCATTGACAAGTTTGTATTTTCTGGTAAGGAAGAGAGTATAAGGAAGAAAAAAAAAAAAGAAAATGAAAGAAAGAGGAAAAAAATAAGACGAGAAAAAATTAGAGAAATCAGTTGAATGATTTCATTTTTTATTTTTCAATGCATTCTTACATGTAACGTTTTCTCTATAACTCGGTGAGTATAAACACACACGTAAAGAAGAAAGAGTTAGTTGAGGCCTTTATGACAACTACTGTTTCAAAAAGTTTCTTTAAAACATGCCTCAAAAGTGCCCAAAAATGAGGGAATACGTTTGAAAGAAACTGTGGCGCTACCTCGATCGTTGGGGAGTGGAACAAAAAAAAAATTAACTTAATCAAAAACTAATTCAATAAAACCCTTAAGAAAAAGATTCAAACGCTGAGATTCCGAGCTCTAGCATCTCAGCCGAGAGCAAACAGACTTGAGTCGAGAGAGTTCGCATGTAGATCTCCCTTGACAGAGAGACAACATACTAAAATTCGTTGCTTTTATTCTGCAGGAAAGAGTAACGGAAAAGAGGATGTGATTATGGTGATAAGCGAAGGACAAGATGAGTCCAGGATCTGAAATGTTTCATGCTGTTCAACTCTCGATAGTGACAAGATTACAAGTTTATTAACAGTTTTTGTTTTTGAATTTACAGCGAATTTCGTTGTATCACGCTGCCCTCACGCTGCCCTTTTTGCAAACTTCAAAGGGGTCTTGGGTTTTTCTGTTTCGTCAATCATTTTAGTTACGGCGGGGTTAATGCAAATCACAATGCAACGGGCTCGCTCAGCTTGGGTGAGATTCTGAGAATGACTCTAGATTGCACAAGAATAGCGAAGGATTTCATGATGGTGAGTGAATTTTTGTCGAACGAAGGAGGAACGCAGACGCTTGCAAGTGACAAGAATAAGAAAGATCATAAACATCTACGAAGCAAACGTTTAAAACCAGTGGTCGATTATTGCCAGAAACAGAACGATCACAAGCAACGAATCTTTAAACATAAAACAAAAAAAAAACGGACCGAAATCGTACAATCACGAATCACAGACTACGACCTTCTGAATTCCAGCAAGTAAACATGTGTTTCCTACGAGGTCTGCTAAGATGATTGACGGAACATAAAGCCCCAAAATTTGCAAAACGCACAGCGCGATACAACGAATTTCGCTGTAAGTAGCAGTATAGATGACGTTTTAGGTGTAGAATGGTAGACTGGACTACGATCTGTTAAATGGTTATCAAAATGTATTTCATATTAGGTTTGAGGAAGAAAAACTGATTTAGTATCTTTTTCAGGCAAACGGTTTGTGATTTAGGATTCTATTCATCTTAAAGCAGTGCTGAGTTTTTCCAGTTAATGCTAAAATTAATCACCAAAAACTACAGATTGGAGGCCTTCGTTATTTGTGGTGTACATCGAAAAGAGTATATATAGACGTTTTCTTGTCAACTTGCTTTTGCAGTGTACGTCTGCTGTTCTGAGGGCCTACAGGGGCCCGCCTGCGATTATTCATACACACTCCTTATATACTGTCCTTTTCGTGGAACTGCGAGCAGGGAGCCATTTCTTCTTGGCTACAAAACGCTTATGAAATGTACCTTGCTAAGGCAACAACAGCATGTGGAAGGAGATTATTGTATGAACAAGAATACATGCAATTGTTATTGCTATAGGCTATGCATATTAACAGACAGAACGAACACTTCAAAATACGTATTACAAACTTGCCTTGGCTTACCTAGAGCTGATACATAACCGCTATAATTAGTCGCTTTCTATGCTATCATGATCATATGTTAATTTGTAATAAAAGTAATGAAACTGTAGTGTAGAAATAAAAAATGAACAACTGAAGGGGTAAAACAAACAGGTGGCAATTTCCTTAGAAAAACATTAACACCAATGCACATGTCAAAATCAGACATTTTGTCTTAAGGACTTGAGTTTTACTAGAATCACTTTTGACTGGACCTCCCCTTGTCACTTGCTTATCACATGTCTCTTGTTTGCTGTCACTTAAACACAAGGCGTGGTCCATCACGTGGAAGATGTACTGCTGTTCCACAACACCATGAAATAAGTAGGCTCCAGGACCGTCCGCGTATATACCTGAAGTAGTGCAACGCAAAATTAGGTAAGACTTCAATGACCTGATGAAACAAAGAAAAGAGCTAACTAAAGAAAGAATTATAATTCTGCATTGTGCCCGCCATTTTTGTTCAAGCTTTAAAGGTCATGAAGACTTATTGTTTATTAACCATTGCGCCTCATGTAAGGGAATCCAAGACAGTCTTGGATTCTGGACTCCACGCCATGGATTCCAGATTCCAGATACTTGATTCCAGTCTTTGCGTTGGATTTTAATCGTTAGTAGGATTCCGGATACCTTGAACTGTGTTCTGGGGATGGGGAATACAACACTTGACGAAACAATACATGGTTGCCTGACTTAAAGTAACTTAAATTCAAGATCAAGAATCGAGTGGCAATAAATATTTCACAGCGACTCTTTTTGCCTAAAAACGGTACTGGCTGAACTCACGAAACAAACAAACAGCTTGTATAAACAAGGAAGTTTTAAAAAGATACAGCCCTATTTGTGGAAATGATTTTCAGGCACAAGGACAAAATACACGGCTGTCAAGTAAAGCGAATAACATGCCTTAAAAACTAGCGAATACACTGCAGAGGATTCAGATTTATTCCAGGTCCACCGGGCCACGTTCTAAATAAAGTATTCGTGTACAGACGTTTCCATCAGAAATTAAGGTAACGTCTTAATGTCCTCTTTGTTATGATTGCCAGCACTGTTTATACTAACAACGTGATTTACATGTAGCGAAGCCTAAGGGCGAAGCTCTCGTTTACACACTTATATTTACTTGAAAGGGTAAACCATTGCAAGGAAATTCATAAATCTAAGTCAAGATAGCAATGATGTTTTTCGAATTTGCCCAAGTCAAACTAATATATGAAGCCTTATTTGATCTATTTTTTTGCTCAGTTTCCTAGAAATTTAATAGGAGTTTAAGACCACTAAAACACTTACCTACGTCTTCAATTCCATGAGTTTCCTTGTACCGCATTACCGTCGCTTGTTGAAGGAAGTCTTTGTTAGTTGTATCAACCCCTGTGAGATTTTCTCTGCTACCATTAACCCCTCCAAGTCCGTTGGCATATCCTAGAGTGGTGTATGGTTTCTCATCACTGCCGAGGTGCGGTTTGTTATCGTAAATGTCCGTTACAAGACCAAAGATTGGATTTCCTCGTTTTGGGTAGCCACCAACAGTGAATACGTGTGAGTGGTCAGCGGTTGCAATGATGAGGGTGTCATCTGTGTGAGGGAAATGATCTAGTTTTAAAACTCGCCAACAACTAAAACGTACACGTTATTTCGTTAGGGAGAAGTAGACACCAGTTGCTATTTTTTTTGCGCAGGAATCTCATTAACTTCCTCAGGGATAAATAAACGCTGATGATTATAGCCGTAGGTCTATATCTCATAAGCAAAGTGCATTGGAACTTCATTAAGGTGAAGTCTTGTGCTATTTTAGGTGGTTTAAGCTGTTAAACCCGCCACGTACTATTTTGAGGCGGGTAAACTTGATGTATTCATGCGCAACTTAATGAGATCCCTGCGCAAAAAAGGAATAAACTATACTTCTTTAGAGACTAGCGAGCAAGTAGATAAACAACAATCAAAACATAACACAAAAATAACTCAATATGATCTGTATTGATAAATAAACTACCTAAAACAAAACAAAGTAAAGGTAGCTTTAAAAGAGTCGTGAGGTGAAAGAAATTCATGTTTCCATAACAACCTTGACAATAACCGATCAATTAAAAAATGGAAAGTTTGTTCACATTCGTGAATGCGCACGTTTTCATAAAGCAGTCGTAGAAGCAAAAAAAACATTGAATATGACCTTGAAGGTATCATGTCAACCTACCCTTACTGATCATACTGACGGCCTTCGCAACGGCTTTTGCCATGGCAACAGCGTCATTTATCGCACGTACTGCTTTTCCAGCGTGGTGACCGTGATCCACACGAGCAGCTAATGAGATAAACAGACAAATATATAACCAAATAAATAATAAACTGCATCGTTAACAGTAATCCCAGTCACGTTCTCTTAATATGAACGCAGGTAGATCACCACCGATCTGTTCGTTTAGCCGTTGTTGTTATTAAAATTTACGACTGAAATCTGAGCATCAAACTTTAGTATATGGATTGAAAAGAAAGACAGATGAACAGTACAAGCTAGTACATCGGCTACAATTTCGTCCAAATTACGTATGTGAACTTAATACTTCAACGAACGTTCACTGAAAGGAAATATTATTAATGTGATGTGCATGTTTTTCGTCATTTCGAGTTGTGTTAAAGCTTTCTTTTGCGAGACAACTACTTGACCGATGGCTAGAAGTAGTGAAGAAGAAAAGGGAAGTAGGCAAAAATGACAGGCATCCGAAAATCATCTTGCGAGCGCTTTAATAGAATATTCCAACAGTTAGAACTGTTGCTAAACTAGCCCAACACCTTTTCAATTTATGGGTTTATTTTTACTGTTTGTAACGTTTGATATAATACTTGCGAAGTATATCTGTTGTAGAAGAGTTTTAAGTTTGACGTTAACTTGTAGTTTTTACAGTAAGCAATTAAATTCCATGGTGAAAAGGAAGCGTAAAAGCCCCTTAGTGAAAAAACAGGAAGTTAAATTGCGAAAATAACTTACAATGAATACAATAACTTCTAGTCACCTTCAACGAGAAGAAAATACCCTCTAGGGTTTTTCCTAAGTATCTGTATGGCTTTCTCTGTCATTTCTGCAATGGATGGTTCTCCAGCAGTATCATTTTCACGATCGACCTCGTAATTCATGTGACTTGGCTCAAATAGACCTTAAAGGTAATAAGCAACATACAAATTGTAAGTTGTAGGTTTACCCATTTTCTCCCCCCCCCCCCCCCCCGCCCCCCAAAGGAAAAAAAAATTTCCAGATTACGATACGTATTGCAGCGTCATCATGTTTGAAAAACCATGCGAACTGGAGAAGGCAAAAATCAGAAACATAATGACCTCTCTTATGATTATTGATATAAAGTGTATGTACGTGCGGAAAGAGAGTAAAAAAACAAGGTTTCATCCACCGTTAACTGTTTATTTATTTATTTTTTTTTTTCTGCTTTTTCAACTTGCGCTTTGTCGGGTTTCTAGTTGAAGTTTTCTCCGGACCGAGTCGATGTTTTCCCTTTTCGGCGCTGACTCTCTTTCCAGGTCTGTTCAGTGCCCCTGACGAGAATGACAGACCTTCTGAGCAGACTAAAAATTTTTAAATTAACATCAGTCTATGTTCCTGTCTATATTAGTGAGCTCACTAGAACTTAATAACAGTGTAACATGGCTATTTATCTATTTAGTTCTCGTACCATAGCTAAATGAGTATTTACCACTTACTTAATGCAATACATTCTTATTAACAAGAACTAACGTATTTGTGGCTGTTTTCCCGCAGCTGCATGTAGTTTACGCTCAATGAACTGATGTGTGGTCATTGAACTACTGGTGTGGTTATTGATCTGTTATGTACTTATTGATCTGCTGTGTGGATATTGAACTAACAAAAACCGAAAAAAAAGGTGGTAAAGTTTTAAAATAAAATTTCCAGATTACGATACGTATTGCAGCGTCATTATGTTTGGAAAACCATGCGAACTGGGGAAGGCAGAAATCAGAAACATAATGACCGCTCTTAAGGTCTCGGTAAATGAAAATTTTAGTACATTGCTCGATTTTGTTTTTTTTGGATTTTTGGCATGAGTGGGTCCTAAATTTTATTTTGGCAGAAAAAGAAAATCAGAAAGTGCTTTTTAACCCTTCTAAAATGAGCCTTTTCTGAGCTAACCAGCCAAGCGTGGACTTCGCGCTAAATCTTTAGAGCTGATTTTCTCTCACTCTATTTTAGACGCAAAAAATCAAAATTCTCCGACCGTCGGGACAGGTTTTAAGCTATCGCTTTGAAACTTTCAGATATGATGGATAATGATATAGACTCAAAAAGGGTGTGAGGAATTGCGATTTTCCTTTGTAACTCATTTTATGTCAGTTTCTTTGCGTAAATCGTGCTCGAGATTCGACTTTTTAGTTTGAAATGCAATAATTCCGCTAATACGAGACATATACAAATTTCCTCACACCCTTTTTTAGGTCTTTTATCTGTCAATCAGATACAATAAAAAGGAAGTGAATATTTAACAACGCGAAAGGGCTGGAGCTTCAGCAGTAAACTCGATACCTCTGAGTTCGAGAACAAAATACTTAAGCCCCTTTTGAAATTCGATGAAATAAAATCTTTTATAAGGTAATTTAGTCTTTTAGCTTTAATTTGATATATAACTTGCCTTTGTAGCGAAAATACTCGCGCGACTAGAATTTTTTTCTTTGGGCACCTCGTTTTCCTTTACCGAGACCTTAAATGATTATTGATATACAGTGACGTAGAGAAACCTTACCCATCACATGATCAGTCTTTTCCACGTCAATCTGGTCAAATGCTGTCTTGTTCCAAACATAAAGGGAGTTAGAGTGCTTGTTGACCCATTCATTGATAAGATTTCTTCCATCTAATCTCTCTCCAGTTTCCTTCGGATATTCCGGGTCTGTGTCGTTTCGAGACATCATTTTCTCCCGTCCGCCCGCGAATACAACTTCCAGTCCATTGCCATGGGGGTAATCTACAAGTTGCTGGGCTGATTAAAGAAAAACAAAAACATAAAAGGATTAAAAAGAGCGCTTTGGAAAAAGAGGATGTTATAGATCAGCTGCAACGTCTTTTCTTGGCTTGTTTGTTGTTGTTGTTCTTTCATTTATAGTCTCTTTTTTTTTGTTCTGTGGTTGTCAGGTTTGGTTTAGCTTAACAGTTCTTTTTTCTTCCGTTTTAATATAACCTATATGATATATATGTGCTTGTAAGCCCGGTGAAGGTGCATTAAAACTTATGTCGGAGGGAAAAAGGTTCTCTTCATATCAAATATAGTCGGTTCAATTCTCCTAATCCAGCTTATGCTAGCCAAAAAAATCAATTTTACGCCAAACAACACTAAGATGAGATATTTGTTTCATGATGGGTTCATCTGCAGAATGACTACTTAAGTAAATGTATGTGGATATTCACTTTTTTCTGTAATGAATATCTACTATTCTGTTTTTTCTGTGCGGTTGTTAAAGTCCATTTTCTATCGTTTCGGTGAAGTTTCTTTAAAGGGAACCTCCACTTCAACAAAAAGATAACTTTAAATCACAGGAAATAACTGTTACAGTCAAGTCAATCTAAAATATTTTTAAAGAAAGCGTTTGTATCCTAAAGAAATAACTTTTAGATTCGCCTATTTTTGTTTTCAAATTTTGCGGGCGTCGCCATCTTGAATAATTGTGACGTGTTATGGTTGCCCTATTGTTATTAAACAAAAGCTCTTTGTGTCAGAACAATAGAGCAACCGTAACACGTCACAATTATTCAAGATGGCGGCGCCCGCGAAATTTGAAAGTGAAAATAAGCGATTTTAAAATTCACTTTTCCTGATATAAACACTTTTTTAAGGACAAATTTCGAACAAATTTGTTTATCAACATAATTTTATTCGATTTAAATTTATTCTGTAGTAAGAGTGGAGGTTCCCTTTAATATTTATTAGTGCTCTTCTTTGTAGAAAAAATATAAAGCAGCGATTTCTTTTTTTGCTGTCATGCCGATAAACCCATTTTAAAGTGCTACTACGACGAAAATTTTTGTTTTTGTTTCCGAGTCTTTTTAACATAAATCTTTTGTATATGTTCAAAATTATACAAATAGCGAAAAATTGGAACGATACTTGCGTACGGGGGCTGGAAATTTCCCACTGAAAAGTGCGTAAATACCGTCCGCCATTACAAAGTTTGCAAAGCAATAGCCCGCGAGATCTCCTCAAAGCGGTCGTGCGTTTGACCACGTGATTTATGCACTGTGACGTAGAAACATCAACCAATAGATTCGCATTTGTGAAAAGTTTGTGAGTTTAGAGCCTTTGAACAAGACGTTTAAGATGTCATCTCCGTCGGATTCCTCTTCCTGCACATCTGAAAATGATCTAGAAAGTTTTACAGTTGACGAAGTGATGGGGGAATTGTCTGAATTTGCGCCGTACGACGACAGTTGCGAACCCCTTGCTACCGAGGAAGAAGCCGCGGAGTACAACGAAAGAGTTCATCGCGAAGAAGAAGAGGAACAACAGTTTCAGCGAAGATATTCGGGAGAGGTGCCAGCGAATGAATGGTATGGTATTATCATGGAATGTAGATTTATATTTTCCAATTTCAACATACCCGTCGTTAAATCGTGCGCGTGAGGAACGCGACTGTGTGTTTTGTTTAAGTTTACAATTTCGTTGCTATGTGATTAACTGTAGTCCTGATTTTATGCGATAGTTTTATTGAAGAGGTCAGACAAGTAATAATTTTATACAGACGTATTTTTCTTGTGTTTGACGAATTTTTCACATTATTTTGCAGGTGTTCGTGCTCGAACTGCTCTGTCAGCCTTGTTACAAAAGCGCAGGAGTGCATTTGCTGCAAAGAGATCGATCGCTGCGAAGAGGTCATGGAAGAAGCCATTGGAGACCGAACCTTATGCATAACCCTCCATCCAGGGTTTGAAAGCGTCTGCTTAAACCGCCACGTATTAGGAGTGGCTGCACTGGGCCTAAAAACGCGAGCTGGAAAGTCGTACACAACTGTTCGTGGGCAAAGCAACAAAAGTGATAATGAGTAAGTTGGGGTATTGTTGACTTTGTATCAGAACGATCGAACCGTACGTAGCATTGAATAATTGATACATCTAAGCTTATCGCCGTGGACTGATCTCATAGAATCACATTTTTTATTTTCTAAATGGCTTTATTGCCCCTACTGCTTATTTTTAAAAGGAGTATTTATTTATCTCCATCCAATCCCTCCTTGAATTAACAGTGATCTCATTTCTTTAACTAGATTCCCGAGGTCTGTGGCCTATCGCCAATTTACAAGACTGCTGTGGAGTTATATTGGTAGTTCCAGGCGATACCCCTTGCCCTGTTGTGCCTACAATAAAATCAGGAAACAATTTCCGAGTCAAAATGGCCATTATCGTGGATTCGAAGATGAAGAAAATGAATAATAAATGCACTGTTTGTTCTTGAAGAGTGTCATGTATGCCATTGGGGCCAAGAAGGACCTACAGTAGTTGCGTGAATACTTGTCCGTAAACACTTAATTTTATGGGCCAAACTTCAGAATTCTCAGCCACTTACTCGCTTTTTGTTGAATGACAAACTTGCCCACTGTGTGAAGCCCTGTTCTTCTAGCGTTCAGTTAAACTCAAGTTTAGTGGCTGGGAATTCTGATGTTGCTCCAATTTTCATGTACACAAGTAATAAAAATTAAATCGAATTCAGCCTGAATTTAATAATTATTACAGTTTTAATGTATCGTTTCTTTCTTTTCACTCGGCTCACAGAGCACTGCAAAACTTAATAGCAGGTTACCTGCTGGAAACTTTCCTAGCAGGTCTGGTTGACTCTTCCAGACTTTTGTCTGGCTACAGTTTCTGCAGAAACTTTCTATGGTAAACAAGGTACCTGTCTGTGATACAGAAAGTTTGGGTTTTGAAAAGAAGCACAAGTGGCAGAACTGAAACAAAAGAAGAAGTTTGGAAAGGAAAACAATTCCCTTCGGTTCCTCTCGAATGTTTTTTCCTTGTAGATCCAACCTGTAAAAAATGATTGAAAGGAAATACTCATTTAATCATAGCATCTGAAATAATAAAATAACAATAAAAAAAAAAAATGATTATCATTTTTATTGTTTTTTCAGGGTGTTGCCAGTTTTTCAACTTGTTGTAAACCTGGCTAATCGTGGGTTGGGATTTTATTCTCACATACATCCTGAAAAATGCTTTTTATAATAATTCTGTTGATTGCACACATGACAACTTTGAGCCCTTAACCTATCTTGCCCACCCCAACGATGCATAATTTATTACAAGTGATTGAGTGGACAAACCAAACGTTTTAGGCCTGGGACTTCCAGTCTATGGGCTGGCTATGCCTCTTCTTTTTTTTTTTTTTTTTTTTTTTTTCTTATCTGAGTAAATTAAAAACAAATTTCATGTACTCTTGTTTCTAAATAGATCCTCTCATAATGGAAGTTAGTTTTAGGCCTTAATCACTTCCCAGAGGATACTTAGAGCTAAGATGTTAAAATGCAATAAATTTTGCATCTTTGTACCTTGGGTTCTGATGAGTCTTCACCGAGTCATCATCTTCCTTTAGTTTTTTATATGCATCTTCGATTTCTTCAGGACTCCATGTAGGGTCTTCATCACACTCAAACTCCTCATATGCGTCGTCCTGCATTTCCTGCTCATCTTCTGATTCATCCTCTAGCCCTAACTCTGTCTCATTTGTTACTGGCCATGGATCAGTTTGAATAGCTTAAACAAATGGAATTTAAAAAATTCTATTACCATTAAAATTTTAATTATTATTAAATAATCAAATATTGATAAAATGTAATAAAAATATAAAGATAGGCCGTTATGCCTATATGACTCATCAACATCAATAATTATTGTTGACTCACCAGCATTCACCATCAGCAACTGCTTCGGCTCTTGTATGCTCTTAAAGGTTTCAACCCACTGATCTTGACTGGAGATTAACTTACTCTTCAGTCTTGTGACTTTGCCCCTTAATTGAGTCACCTCACTCCTCAGGGTTTTGCATGTTGTGCAGTTCCCAGCATGTCCAGTTGGAGTATCCTACAAAAAACAAACTTTCAACATTAATACAGGCTGTAATAACAAGACTTCGGAATTTTTGTGTTTACGTAATGTTGTAAAATAACTGCACATGTAGTTTTCCATTGTTATGATAATACAAAGATGCAAATAAACATTAATTAGAGTTATGCGCCTACCATAGAAACCTGTTCAAGTTCAGGAATCGTTAATGATTCATCAATCTGCATAACTTCATCCATATCCTGCAGTTTTTCGATTCCCTGAGCCTCCAGGATCTGCATGGTCTCAGTAACCTCATCAGTGCCGGAAATCCCTTGGCTCTCGAGAGTTGTCTTATCACCAGGAGTACCTAGGACCTCTGAAGCCATCTCAGCATCAACACTTATCTCACCCGTCTCAGTCTCAGGGATGCAGCCCTCCTTTTCAGGATTTACCTCAAGCAAAGAACCCTGACTTGTGTTCAGAACACCCTCGACTTCTGGAGACTCCTCAGGGTTGAGATTGGGAGCCCCCATAGTGTCAGCACTCTCCTCAGGTGCAGAACTTCCTTTCAAAGAGATCACCTCTTCTTCAGGATTGTCTTCTTCCTCGGTATCCTCATTAGTAGTTTGACCAGCCAGAATTTCATTTAGTAGCTAAAAATGAAAATAGGTACGACCATTTTTTATATCTCCCCTTCAAAACAAGTTTAAATTTGAGCTTTATGTCGATGTTTTCAAAAGTAGAAATGGAAGCAAGGTTTAACCGCATCTTTGCCTTAAAATGTATGCATCATTTGCAGACAGTGAAAATAGAATTAAAATACAAACGAAAAAAACCCCGCAAACAGTAATTGAACTTATAGAATGTAGAAATCAGACTAAGTCCATTTTTGGTCGTTTTAAAAGACTCGCGTGTAACTCCTAATTTGCTGTAAGATTTCTTGGAGGGAAGTTTGGAGTACTGTCAAATCTCAAAGTAACAGCAAGATAATCTCTCAAAAAATAGAGAGCCGGATTTCTATGTAGCTTTACTGTTTCTAAATTTTACGCTTGAGTGGAAAGGTCTGGGAATTGGGGAATTGACTTCACGTCCACTCAGCGCAAATGCCCGTTTTACTATAACTATGAGAAGAAACCAGAAAAGTATGAAAACACATACAACAATATGGGAAGTCCAAATAGTCAGAGCATTCATTACACGAATATTGAACAACGATGCCAGAAAAAATCCCGTCACAGGTAAAAGGGGAAATAAATATAACGGTGATAAGCACAGCGCAAATACATTGTAATTTCACTCACCGATCGTCGACTCCGCTTTGATAGTGTTTGAGAGGATTTTTTCCAAATGGTTGGAAACGTCTCCTTCTTCAAATTCCTTTTCATGCCTTTCATCGGAAAAGCAAGCGTAAAACAATCCCTTGTAAAATGCTCCGAGCACACAGCAAATTTTCCCACTGTGTTGAAATCCTTCCGATGAATGGACACGAACCTTTTCCACTTTAATCTAACGCTGCCCGAATCAGGAGAATTCATCGTTCTTTACGTTTCCACAGTCCTGAACAACACAACATCTACCAGGCATACTTTCGCTTTAAGTCAAAAAAGCGAAGAAAGAACCTCCAAAAGCTTCCAAAAATATCTCGTCCTGCATGCGAAATTAGCCTCGTTTGTTTACCTTGTTTTGTCGCGTTGATTTTTCTACGTCACATCTCGCCCCAACTCCTTCAAATACTACTCCCGGTCATTTTTTGAATCGAGTAATGGCGGCAAGACATTTACGAAAATTGCCGTTCAAATAAACACACTTCCAGATCATATTTGGACTCCAAACTTGGCACGGTAAGTCACTTTTACATACATTTTCGAAATATGTAATCAAAAACAAATTCCCAAATTTGATCGTAGTAGCACTTTAAGGACGAAGAGAAGAAAAGAAAAGAGCATCAGAGCCAAAGCGAAAAGTTGATCATGCATTGATTTTATAGAATAGCTTCCATAAGGCCTAAATATAATCCATATTTGTTCCAACAGTTTAGTTTTGTCGCCCCAAGTAAGGGAATTGAAAACTGTCCGGGATTCTGGATTCCACGCCGTGTATTCCGTATTCCTGAGTCTTTGTCAGTGGAATTGGATTCTGGATTCCAATCATTAGTGAGATTCCGGATTCCTTGATCTGTATTCCGGATTTCAAAGCCCAGGATTCCGGATCCACGAGCAAAATATTTCCAATATCCCGGATTCCCTTGCTAAGTAGGAACTTTGGGATAATCGTGACGTTCAGCGTCACTCACTTCTTTGCATAAAATCGCCGGGGAAGTTTGATCTTCTTATGGGTGGGAGTTGTAAACGCTGGCATAACCTAACAGTTAGTCACGCCGTATCAAAGGCGTTCCACATGAACACCGCGTCCACCTGTGACGACTCGGACGATCAAAACGACCCAGAAGATTATGGAAACCAGGTAAGAAATTACTTTGTGTCCTCCTCAAGAATTGTTGCTGAAATTCTTAAATAATTAAAGAAGATCACTGGACAATTATAATAGGTCTTACCAATGTCCGGGCAGTTTGTAGCGCCGTCCTTTGCGTCATCTAACTTATCTTTGTCACTCTCCCAGTCTCCGCTGACAGAGTGTGAATAAAGGGGCGCTACAGTCCCATGTGTAAGACGAGCGGTTGTTACGAACCCTGTTGACATCTTAGCTTTTTCTGCTAGTGTGAGGATGGAAACTAGCTTTTTATTCTCTGTTAGGCCAGCACAGTCCTTCCACTTCCCTCTCTCATCGATACCAATCAATTCTGAAAATGAATTTTATTATTTTTTTAATTTTAAATTAAACAACAACAACAACAAAAAAAGCAAAACTGATTACCAACGGCTCTCCGCTGTTAGGATAGGCAGCCGAGTCGGGACGCACTTTTGAAGACTTCTTTTCAATAGTTTGTTAGTGATCTCTAACTAAAATATTCCGATTATGTTCATGAAAAGAGGAAAATGTTTTGTGAAAACGTAAAGGGTATAAGTTAGAGTTTATAATGGAAAGCTTTCTTGATTAAATATTTTCAGTTACGGATAGTAACAACTACATGCAGTAAGAGGGGTTATTAATATAAATACTTGGGTGCCTAATTTTACTGACGTGTACACCATAATAACGTTTCACCGAAATTGCGATAATCTAAAAGGAAATTTCACCATGAGGTAAGTTAAAATTGAAATTAGAAGAGTAGCATTTAGATCAAATAAGGCATGTCTGGATGCATGGTTTTGATAGACACGATTTGCTTTGTTGGTGCACTCCCATAAAGGATTTAAAGATTTTAAATCCTTTAAAGCTTTCTTGATTAAATATTTTCAGTTACGGATAGTAACAACTACATGCAGTAAGAGGGGTTATTAATATAAATACTTGGGTGCCTAATTTTACTGACGTGTATACCATAATAACGTTTCACCGAAATTGCGATAATCTAAAAGGAAATTTCACCATGAGGTAAGTTAAAATTGAAATTAGAAGAGTAGCATTTAGATCAAATAAGGCATGTCTGGATACATGGTTTTGATAGACACGATTTGCTTTGTTGGTGTACCCCCATGAGGCATTTAGTTTACGTCTTTATCTTATACATAGGTTGTCTCCCGCTTTTATATTAAGCAGCAAATTATGGCGCTTGTAAGCATTGCTAGAGGCTAGTTCACTCTTAGGTTGTCGATCTCGTCATCCCACCTTCCAAGTTCAATCCGAATTCTCAGTTCTCTCAGTTCTAAATAATAAGGAAAAAAGTCATTGGTACTCTGAACTACACTCACAGGGGAAGCCGGGGTGGGGGTACTGTGAATTACAAGTGACGTGGATGATCGAATGGCGGCAAAAATCAAAACCAGAAAAATCCCTGGACAACACGTTATCTCCAAAAAATTTCCATGCCAAATTTCCAAGCCCTAAAAAGTTCCACAAGGCATTAAATAATATAACACGAAACATAATAAAATTAAAAAAATTGAACTTGATTGTTTGCGTTTGTGTCTTCATCAATACTATCTGAAGTTGTCACGCGGGCCTTACCCTACTTAAATCAGGCCACCTGAAAAAATACTTGCCAGACTTTCCGACCCAAAAAAATCCTGGAATAGAAAATTTCAATCCCCCCAACTCCACTCCCCAACCCCCCCCCCCACAAAAAAAATCGTTCCATCGTCCCCGTCACTTAAAAGCCGGAGTTGCCCCGCCCTCCCGAGACTACAGTTGTATTTATGCTCACCTTGATTTGTCTTTACACCACACAAAAATGCAGTTGCGCAAGCACCCGAGTCAGCACTCTGTGAATTCACATTATAAGTCTTCGACTGGGCAGACCAAGGAAACTTCTCCCAGCTGAGCACGTGATCCTCTCCGTATCCGCGTTCCATCTGTCCTTCCAAGATACGTGCGGCTGTAATAGAGGTAATACCCATACCATCTCCGATAAAAAGTATCGTGAACACCGTCTTTGTACCACTTATTAGTTTGCTGATAATCGGCCTCTAAAGATAGAAATGTTCAACACACAGAAACAACTGATTTGGAGTGTCTGTTAGTGTTGCAGAAATGTACAAAAATGTGTGACGCACGTCCAAAGTCATTAGGGCCATTTATACGAGGAAAAATAAGACGTGTCTTACATAAGACGTGTCTTAAATAAGACGCGAACTGTACCATTTATACGAGCATGTCTTATCTAATAAGAAGCGTCTTAGCTAAGCCGCGTCTTATTTTAGACGAAATGTGCCGTTTATACAGAAAGTTCGCGTCTTATTTTTCCTCGTATAAATGGCCCTATTGTTTTACGTATTAAACCTATTGTTTTGTTTTGCTTTGTTTGTGTTTTGACGTTTTTCTCGTCGCCATCGCGTTGTTGGGTCTTTGAAGTCCCTAGCTAAGGGTGGATTTCTACTGTCGCGTAATTTTCACGTACGTACACAGGTAAATTCTACCCGCCTGAATAAAATAGAGGCAATGTTTGGAAGGTCGCGCGTTATCGTAAAAGTCGAATCTCGCCCAACTCACGTTTACGTAATTGAAGGTACAATTTGTACAATTAGGAGCTCGGGTAACTGGCAAAAGAAGGGATTGCGGTGTTGCTAGCGGCTAGGAGCGAGGAGAGACGCCGGTTCCATTCGTAATTAGTAATAGAAAAAAACTATACTACGAAATCTGATCTCGTTTGCTGTCCTTTGTTGAGTTAAAGAGCTCCCTTGGTCGGAGATCTGTGGGACCGGCACTATGCGTCCGTTCAAGAGACTTGATGACCGTTTATATAATAGGGAGGTTCAATTAACGGGATTAAAGGCAGGGAACAGTGGGCACCACCTTTACGTGTCCGTCTTATAAAGGTGTTCGTTAAGATAGAGTTGAGCGTATTGCATGTCTCTCTTGGTCTGAAATAGTCTATTGTCACCCTCTAGTATCGATAGGTAAACTTATGTTTTTGTACAAAATTGCTCGTTTTGGAACGAAGGCGTAACAGTTGGAGCATGAGATGAATAGAATAAATTTTTTTACGCTTTGCGGCTTCCTGCGGTTTCCTGGGTGGAAACAAAACTTGATCTTGATCGTTGTAAGCTCTCACTAACTATCCCCGCCCCTCGTTTTTGAGTCTCCTTTCGCGTGCCGCAGCCACAATATTTTAGTCGCGGGCAATTCAGCACGAGAACAACACAAACCGAAACCAGTAAATTGACAGAAGCAAATAAAGCTCTGCATCTCATCTCAGATGGCATGGGCAGCAATTAAAAGTTTTGATGATTCGTTTACGATTCGTTGACGCAGTTGACGAAAGGATTGAAACTGTCATTACCATGTTTGAAAATTCTGTAAAGATATCTAACTTTTGCACATGCCAGCTTGCTGTTTACGGCAACATAAACGCTTTCCACGCATTAATTGAACGGTCAATCAAAAATTCAAAATAATCGTGTTTTAATGGTTTTCTTTCTGATTTTTTGAGATCGCTTCGTGCCGGGTATATCTTGAAACAATTGTTATTTTCAATCCCGTTGAACGGTGGCCATAGCAATATTTGCCTCGATAATAAAGAATGACTGCTTATTACACTCATAGCAATGCGATACACTTTGATGTTCGAAGCCAACAGAACTAACCTCAAACAAATGAAGGAAAAAAAAATCTATTTCGTGGCGTATGCAAATCTTGCAACGATTCCAACGTACTTGGAACTCCACTGATTAAGGGCCAGCTCCGAAACGTTTGGAGAGGAATCAATATCACTAAGACGGCACTTCTGTTCATTATTATTTTTTGCACAACATTCCCTTACAGAATTAACCTCATTTTGCTTATGTTGATGGTAATTAAATACGTGACCCACAGCCTTGTCGTATTTGCTGAAACACTCATCACCTTACCCTCTCTTTGATATTGATATATGCGGATTCAAATATACTCATTTGAAAGTAAATGAAAGTCTTAACATTGAAGGGGAAGAGAGAGGAAAAGTCAATGGAGTTGCGTTAAATGGTATTGTGTTGGCAAATCAAGTTATTCTCAGGCTTTCTTCCACTGACTGTTTAACAAACTTGGTGACAAAACAGTGATTATGCACTGATAATGTTCGTCTTGCCTTCAAAAGACTGAAAAGGAAAAATCCGGTGATTTGTATGTACTTCTCAGAACCAAGATTCTCTTTTTTGCCTTTATTTGTTTAAGGTTTTTTAACCGATTACCAGATTGTAATTCCACTGATTGACTCAAATCCTTCAAATACTGATCATGCGTGACTCCCTGGATCAGCCATAAACAAAACAACCTTGCCGAATCATGCAAAGTCTAAAGTTCTGAAAATATTGAGTTATATCTGGAAAATGCCTCAGCCCTCGCCGTTACGGCCAAATTATGATTCCTATAGCTAGCCTAGCTTTTGATTTTAGTGATAGTTTAATGGAAGCGATCGTATCAACCTTGTTACTTAGTCTACAAATATACATATTGCCGCAACATCATTTTGTGAGAACAAATTATAAGCATAACATACCTGTACAAGCTGATTGCATCATGTAAAGGAGGCCAAGAGACTGAATGAAAAGTAGGAAGAACATTTTGTCTTTGTTGAACTCGGATTTCTGTTAGGGTGAGGTTGTTAAAAGGCTATAGTTGCGCTAATCGGTAATCACATCAGGCACAGATCAGATACCACTGTACTGGTTTTAATGACCTACCGTAAAGTCACCTCTTTTAGTATAGGGCGGAAGACCGGCAGTACAACATTATGTGATAGGTTGATTTTTGTCGACGTCATTAAATTTCCCATGAGGAAAAGGCATCACACGATTTGACGTCAAACAGTCCCAAAGGGACAGAACCAAGTGTCTGCTTTTCAGAGGTGTCCATATTATAGAGGTAGGGATTGTATGATTTTTGTCATTTCTGGGACCAAACGAACTGTCCGTAATAGAGAGGTGTCCGTATTTTAACGGGTTGCTATGTGCTAACACCTTTATGAGCCATGCAATGTTGAAAATATGTACAAAATTTTCAGTTCACAGGGTAAAAAAAACAAAAAAAGGAAAAAAACAGAGGTGCAAGCTGGCTCTTTATACGTACTCAGTGTAGTTAACTTTACAGTTTCCCTTGACGGTGAACTAGACTTGCATTCCAAAAGATACTGCGTGAGTTGTGGGGTAGGGAGGGTGGAGGGGAAAGGAGGGATGTGGAGTGGGGGCGAGGGCTAGTGGAGTTTGTACGCCTGACTTCATCATCTTCGTCATCTTTATTTAAAAACACGGTAAATACATCAGGCATTAACAATTTAATATAAAGCTACAACTTAAATACGAAACTATGTATACAGATTAATCTTCTATAATTTAAAATATTGCTAACTATTAAGGAAAAGTAAACTAAATTAAAGCCTGTTTTACATGAATGCCGTGTCTGAATTAATTAAGAATCGTCGGAAATCAGTCAGAGATGTTGCTTGCCTAGCAGCTGAGGTTAGACTGTTCCAGAGGACTGCACCACTATAGGCAAAGCTATTTTTGTAATGGTTAGTACGCTCTGTAAAGTATAAAGAGAGTATAGCAGAATAGTCACGCCAATTATACTCCTCAATTTGCATACATGCAATTGTTATTGCTATAGGCTATGCATATTAACAGACAGAACGTACACTTCAAAGTACGTATTACAAACTTGCCTTGGCTTACCTAGAGCTGATACGTAGCCGCTATAATTGGTCGCTTTCTATGCTATCATGATCATATGTTAATTTGTAATAAAAGTAATGAAACTGTAGTGTAGAAATAAAAAATGAGCAACTGAAGGGTTAAAACAAACAGGTGGCAATTTCCTTAGAAAAACATTAACACCAACGCAAATGTCAAAATCAGACATTTTGTCTTAAGGACTTGAGTTTTACTAGAATCACTTTTGACTGGACCTCCCCTTGTCACGTGCTTATCACATGTCTCTTTTTTGCTGTCACTTAAACACAAGGCGTGGTCCATCACGTGGAAGATGTACTGCTGTTCCACAACACCATGAAATAAGTAGGCTCCAGGACCGTCCGCGTATATACCTGAAGTAGCGCAACGGAAAATTAGGTAAGACTTCAATGACCAGATGAAACAAAGAAAACTGCTAACTAAAGAAAGAATTATAATTCTGCATTGTGCTCACCATTTCTCTTCAAGCTTTAAAGGTCATGAAGACTTATTGTTTATTAACCATTGCGCCTTATGTAAGGGAATCCAAGACAGTCTTGGACTCTGGACTCCACGCCATGGATTCCAGATTCCAGATACTTGATTCCAGTCTTTGCGTTGGATTTTAATCGTTAGTAGGATTCCGGATACCTTGAACTGTATTCCGGGGAAGGGGAATACAACACTTGACGAAGTAACTTAAATTCAAGATCAAGAATCGAGTGGCAATAAATATTTCGCATCGACTCTTTTTGCCTAAAAACGGTACTGGCTGAACTCACGAAACAAACAAACAGCTTGTATAAACAAGGAAGTTTTAAAAAGATATAGCCCTATTTGTGGAAATGATTTTCAGGTACAAGGACAAAATACACGGCTGTCAAGTAAAGCGAAAGTATTCGTGTACAGACGTTTCCAACAGAAATTAAGGTAACTTTTTAATGTCCTCTTTGTTATGATTGCCAGCACTGTTTATACTAAGAAAGTGATTTACATGTAGCGAAGCCTAAGAGCGAAGCTCTCGTTTAAACACTTATATTTACTTGAAAGGGTAAACCATTGCAAGGAAATTCATAAATCTAATTCAAGATAGCAATGATGTTTTTCGAATTTGCCCCTGTCAAACTAATATATGAAACGTTATTTGACCTTTTTTTTTTGCTCAGTTTCCTAGAAATTTAATAGGAGTTTAAGACCACTAAACTGACTTACCTACGTCTTCAGTTCCATGAGTTTCCTTGTACCTCATTACCGTCGCTTGTTGAAGGAAGTCTTTGTCAGTTGTATCAACCCCTGTGAGATTTTCTCTGCTACCATTAACCCCTCCAAGTCCGTTGGCATATCCTAGAGTGGTGTATGGTTTTTCATCACTGCCGAGGTGCGGTTTGTTATCGTAAATGTCCGTTACAAGACCAAAGATCGGATTTCCTCGTTTTGGGTAGCCACCAACAGTGAATACGTGTGAGTGGTCAGCGGTTGCAATGATGAGCGTGTCATCTGTGTGAGGGAAATGATCTAGTTTTAAAACTCGCCAACAACTAACACGTAGACGTTATTTGGTTAGGGACAAGTAGGAACCAGTTGTTATCTTTTTTGCGCAGGAATCTCATTAACCTCCTAAGGGATAAATAAACGCTGATGATTATAGTCGTAGGTCTATATCTCATAAGCAAAGTGCATTGGAACTTGATTAAGGTAAAGTCTTGTGCTTTTTTAGGTGGTTTAAGCTGTTTAACCCGCTACGTACTATTTTGAGGTGCGCGAGCTTGATGTATTCATGCCTAACTTAATGAGATCCCTGCGCAAAAAAGGAGTAAACTATACTTCTTTAGAGATTAGCGAGCAAGCAGATAAACAAGAATCAAAACATAACGCAAAAATAACTAATATGATCTGTATTGACAAATAAACTACCTAAAACAAAACAAAGTAAAAGTAGCTTTAAAAGAGTCGTGAAGTAAAAGAAATTCATGTTTCTATAACAACCTTGACAATAACCGACCGATTAATTAAAAAATGGAAAGTTTGTTCACATTCGTGAATGCTCACGTTTTCATAAAGCAGCCGTAGAAGCAAAACGACAAAACCAACATTAAATATGATCTTGAAGGTATCATGTCAACCTACCCTTACTGATCATACTGACGGCCTTCTCAACGGCTTTTGCCATGGCAACAGCGTCATTTATCGCACGTACTGCTTTTCCAGCGTGGTGACCGTGATCCACACGAGCAGCTGAAAAAAAATGAGATAAACAGACAATTATATAACCAAATAAACTAGGGGTACGTTCCGGCAGGTGACAACGAGGCGAATTCGTTTATCTTTTGTGGAATGTGCCTATTCAGATCTTTGCGATATATATATATATATATATATATATATATTTTTTTTTTTTTTTTTTTTTTTTTTTAAAATTTTAGAGGTTTACAATGGATTCCGCTATAGAAAAGGATGGCACCCAACTTCAAAACAACAACTTTGGCACACTCTAGGATTTCACTTTTATCAAACAATAACAACATAGCTTGAAGCTTTGTTGGTAAATATGAGCAAGTTAGCACTTATGTTTCAGGGAAAATAGACCATTTTACAGTTGTGGACTTAGTACCCTAGCCCTAGAGTGAACGTGAGGCTGACGGTGACCTTGTTTTGATACAAACCTCCCTTGCTTTGTTATGGAAATTGTCCCTGAAAAATACTAGTTAGCATAAGAATAACTTGATTTACATAATAAAGCAGGAAGGTTTGTACCAAAACAAGGTCACCGTCAGCCTCGCTTCCATCCATAACTGTAAAATGGCCTATTCCATTGTATCAAAACTATAAACGGTAGAAAGAAAAATATAGTTCAAATGAGGCCTTTGACTGCTGAAATCAAAAATAATAATTAAGTTCCGAGCAACAGCGTCATCAGGGATAATATGTGAAAAATATGTGAAAAGCGCAAGAATGGGGCGGAATGTATCACAGGTATAAAAATATAAACTCAAATAAAATACAAAGATCTAATGAGCGAGTGTCACAGGTCAAAGATTCTCTTGAAAGGCATAATGATAGTCTTCAAAACAAAAGGTCCGCAAATTCGTTGCATTCCTCATGGGAGTTTTGAGCTGTCTCAATGTAAATCAAAAAAACATGCTGGTTGACAAAATCTTAAGACATGAATAAATTCTAAAAAAGGTCCGCAAATACGTTGAGGACTGGCTCAATGTAAATCGATCTGTGAAGAACACGCTGGTTCTGATATAAGTTTTGAGAATATAACCCTATGCCTTGATCAACTACCGCTTAAAATTCAATTCACAAAGCAAAAGAGAACACGGAAAACCCTGGTTCTGAGTCGAGAAGCGAACACGCTACCTCATTGTAAATCGAGCTGCAAAGAATAAGCTGGTTCTGACAAAAATTTGAGCGTAAAACCCTATTCCTTGATCAGCTGCTACTTTAAACACAATTTATAAAGCAAACCAGAGCACTAATTGCCCATTCAAACTAGAAATCGTATTAGAACTTGCTCACCTGTTAGGTCCTCTTGAACAGACAGCAAACAGCTGCACACTGAATCACCCAATTTCGGACCACGAGTTATAAATACAAGACCATGACGTCACTACGCAAATATGGGGTCTTACTTACATCCAAATATGGTCAAAAACGCAAATTTTAGAGGGTTACGCAGAATTTGAGAGTTTTTGCCTACATCGTGCGGGATTATAAATCTGCCGCCGAGGCAACCTCGCTTCTTAGCTCGGTTGCCTCGTTGGCAATAAATAAACTGTATTGTTAACAGTAATTCCAGTCACGTTCTCTTAATATGAACGCAGGTAGATCACCCCCGATCTGTTCGTGTAGCCGTTGTTGTTATTGAAATCTATGACTGAAAGCTGAGCATCAAACTTTAGTATATGGATTGAAAAGAAATACAGATGAACAGTACAAGCTAGTACATCGGCTACAATTTCGTCCAAATTACGGATTTGAACTTAATACTGCAATGAACGTTCACCGAAAGGAAATAATATTAATGTGATGTGCATGTTTTCGTCAGTTCGAGTTGTGTTAAAGCTTTCTTTAGCGAGACAACTACTTGACCGGTGGCTAGAAGTAGTGAAGAAGAAAAAGGAAGTAGGCACAAATGACAGGCATCCGAAAATCATCTTGCTAGCGCTTTAATAGAATATTCTAACAGTTAGAACTGTTGCTAAACTAGCCCAACACCTTTTCAATTTATGGGTTTATTTTTACTGTTTGTAACGTTTGATATAATACTTGCTAAGTATATTTGTTGTAGAACAGTTTTAAGTTTGACGTTAACTTGTAATTTTTACAGTAAGCAATTAAATTCCATTGTGAAAAGGAAGCGTAAAAGCCCCTTAGTGAAAAAAACAAGAAGTTAAATTGCGAAAATAACTTACAATGAATACAATAACTTCTAGTCACCTTCAACGAGAAGAAAATATCCTCTAGGGTTTTTCCTAAGTATCTGAATCGCTTTCTCTGTCATTTCTGCAATGGATGGTTCTCCAGCAGTATCATTTTCGCGATCGACCTCGTAATTCATGTGACTTGGCTCAAATAGACCTTAAAGGTAATAAGCAACATAAAAATTGTAAATTGTGGGTTTACCCATTTTCTCCCCCCCCCCAAAAAAAAGGTGGTAAAGTTATAAAATAAAATTTCCAGATTACGACCGTATTGCAGCGTCATCATGCTTGGAAAACCATGCGAACTGGGGAAGGCAGAAATCAGAAACATAATGATCGCTCTTAAATGATTATTGATATACAGTGACGTAGAGAAACCTTACCCATCACATGGTCAATCTTTTCCACGTCAATCTGGTCAAATGCTGTCTTGTTCCAAATATAAAGGGAGTTAGAGTGCTTGTTGACCCATTCATTGATAAGATTTCTTCCATCTAATCTCTCTCCAGTTTCCTTCGGGTATTCAGGGTCTGTGTCGTTTCGAGACATCATTTTCTCCCGTCCGCCCGCGAATACAACTTCCAGTCCATTGCCATGGAGGTAATCTACAAGTTGCTGGGCTGATTAAAGAAAGACAAAAACATAAAAGGATTAAAAAGAGCGCTTTGGAAAAAGAGGATGTTATAGATCAGCTGCAACGTCTTTTCTTGGCTTGTTTGTTTGTTGTTGTTCTTTCTATAGTCTTTATTTTTTGTTCTGTGGTTGTCAGGTTTGGTTTAGCTTAACAGTTCTTTTTTCTTCCGTTTATAACCTATATGATATATATGTGCTTGCAAGCCCGGTGAAGGTGCATTAAACTTATGTCGGAGGGAAAAAGGTTCTCTTCACATCAAATATAGTTGGTGCAATTCTCCTAATCCAGCTTATGCTAGCCAAAAAAATCAATTTTACGCCAAACAACACTAAGATGAGATATTTGTTTCATAATGGGTTTACCTACAGAATGACTACGTAAGTAAATGTATGTCGATATTCACTTTTTTCTGAAATGATTATCTATTATTCAATTTTTTTGTACGATTGTTAAAGTCCATTTTCTTTCCTTTCGGCGGCTTACAGTTTCTTTTTGAATATTTATTATTGCTCGTATTTGTCGAAAAAATATAAAGCCGCGATTTTTTTTTGGTGTCATGCCGATAAACCATTTTAAGGACGAAGAGAAGATAAGAATTTTTGAAAAAATAAATGAATAAATTTCGGCTGTAGGGAAAAGAACATCAGGGTCAAAGCGAAAAGTTGATCATGGTATTGATTTTATAGAATGGCTTCCATATAGCCTAAATATAATTCATAGCTGTTCCAACAGTTTAGTTTTGTCGTTAGTTTTGGCGTTCCACATGAACACCGCGTCCACCTGGGACGACTCGCACGATCAAAACGACCCAGAAGATTATGGAAACCAGGTAAGAAATTACCTTGTGTTCTCCTCAAGAATTGTTACTGAAATTCTTAAATAATTAAAGAAGATCACTGGACAATTATTATAGTTCTTACCAATGTCCGGGCAGTTTGTAGCGCCGTCCTTTGCATCATCTAACTTATCTTTGTCACTCTCCCAGGCTCCGCTGACAGAGTGTGAATAAAGGGCCGCTACAGTCGAATGTGTAAGACGAGCGGTTGTTACGAACCCTGTTGACATCTTAGCTTTTTCTGCCAGTGTGAGGATGGAAACTAGCTTTTTATCCTCTGTTAGGCCGGCACAGTCTTTCCACTTTCCTCTCTCATCGATACCAATCAATTCTGAAAATGAATTTTATTATTTTTTTAAATTTTATGTTAAACAACAACAAAAAAAGAACTGATTACCAAGCGCTTTCCACTGTTAGGATAGGCAGCTGAATTGGGGCGCACTTTTGAAGACTTCTTTTCAATAGTTTGTTAGTGATCTCTAACTAAAATCAAATATTCCGATTATGTTCATGAAAAGACGATAATTTTTTGTGAAAACTTAAAGCGTATAAGTTAGAGTTTATAATGTAAAGCTTTCTTGATTAAATATTTTCAGTTACGGATAATAACAACTACATCCAGTAAGAGGGTTTAGTAATATAAATACTTTGCATAATTGCTTTCAATGAAATACTTTGGTCCCTAATTTTACTGACGTGTATACCTTAAAACGCTTCACCAAAATTGCGATAATCTAAAAGGAAATTTCACCATGAGGTAAATTAAAATTGAAATTAGAAGAGTAGCATTTAGCGTGATTTGGATCAAATAAGGCATGTCTGGATGCATGGGTGTGATAGACACGATTTGCTTTCAGTTGGTAACTCCCATGAGGCATTTAGTTTACGTCTTCATCTTATATTATAGGTTGTCTCCCGCTTTTATAAGCAGCATATTATGGCGCTTGTAAGCATTGCTAGAGCCTAGTTCACTCTTAGCTTGTCGATCTCGTCATTCCACCTTCAAAGGCCAATCCGAATTCTCAATTCTATCAATTCTGAATAATAACGAAAAAAGTCATTGGTATTCTGAACTACAGTCCCAGGGGAAGCCGGGGGGCGGATACTCTGGATTACAAGTGACGCGGATGATCGAATGGGGGCAAAAATCAAAACCAGAAAAATCCTTGGACAAAACATTATCTCCAAAAAATTTCCATGCCGAATTTTCGAGCCCTAAAAATTTCCACAGGGCATTAAATAATATAACACGAAACATAATAAAAATAGGTTGAGTTTGATCGTCCGGGTGAACGTAGTCCTGAATAGGACTGTTGTCGTTGACAGTGACTGGCGTTTCGATAACTTGTGCGGTAGTCATCTTTAGAGTCAAAGTCATGAAGATGACTACCGCACAGGTTGTCGAAACGTCAGTCACTGTCAACAACAACAGTCCTATTCAGGATCTACGTTCACCCGGACAATCAAACTCAACCTACTTTTGAAATGACTCCTGGGTTCAAACCTTTCACAGATAAAAATAAAAAAAAATTGGACTTGATTGTTTGCGTTTGTGTCTTCATCAATACTATCTGAAGTTGTCTCGCGGGCCTTACCCTACTTAAATCAGGCCACCGGAAAAAATACTTGCCAGACTTTCCTACCCAAAAAAATCCTGGAATAGAAAATTTCTTTCCCCCCCCCCCTCCCGCCAAAATCCCTCGATCGTCCCCGTAACTTAAAAGCAGGAGTTGCCCCGCCCTCCCGAGACTATAGTTGTATTTATGCTCACCTTGATTTGTCTTTACACCACACAAAAATGCAGTTGCGCAAGCACCCGAGTCAGCACTCTGTGAATTCACATTATAAGTCTTCGACTGGGCAGACCAAGGAAACTTCTCCCAGCTGAGCACGTGATCCTCTCCGTATCCGCGTTCCATCTGTCCTTCCAAGATACGTGCGGCTGTAATAGAGGTAATACCCATACCATCTCCGATAAAAAGTATCGTGTTTTTAGCTGTGGCCTTGTTTGGCTCCACTTTTAAATTGTTCTTTAGTAGCTGAACACCGTCTTTGTACCACTTATTAGTTTGCTGATAATCGGCCTCTAAAAATAGAAATGTTCAACACACAGAAACAACTGATTTGGAGTGTCTATTAGTGTTGCAGAAATGTACAAAAATGTGTGACCCACGTCCAAAGTCATTGTTTTACTTATTAAACCTATTGTTTTGTTTTGCTTTGTTTGTGTTTTGACGTTTTTCTCGTCGTCATCGGGTTGTTGGGTCTTTGAAGTCCCTAAGGGTGGATTTCTACTGTCGCGTAATTTTCACGTGCGTACACAGGTAAATTTTACCCGCCTGAATAAAATAGAGGCAATGTTTGGAAGGTCGAGCGTTATCGTAAAAGTTGAATCTCGCCCAACTCACGTTTACGTTCGACCTTTCATACATTGCCTCTATTATATATTCGCCCGTAAAATTTACGGCGTAAAATTTCGCGACAGTGGAAATCTACCCCAGCTGCCTAATTTCAAACCGAGAGGGGCTGGGCTGCGTCCATTTATTTTGGAATAAACCATACGAGACCCACCTAGTCGGAAAGAGCCATTCTGCTTAGAAGCATTCTCAAGTTCGGTGTTTATGGGGCCTATATTGAACGACATACACAGCCATTCAAAACCTTGAAAATTTAAAAAGAAATATATAAACATCCCAACGGTTTCTCCCATATATCTCTTAAAAAATTTTCAAGCTTTTAAATGGCTGTATCTTGTTCAGTATCAGCGCGATTGTTACCAGATTTAACAGTTTTCCAAACCTCAATATGCTCTTTCTGATTATGTGGGTCTTGTGTTGTTTATCCCATATTACTGACTCTTACCCAGCCATGAGCTCATTCTCTCTTGTCGCAAGGTACTGCCACGTGGGAACCGCCATTTTGAATTGGAAAAAAGCGGAGAAGTTGGGGAGTCAGTATGACCACTGGCACAAAACTTAATCAGAGAAAGAAGAAACTGAGCGAGAAAGAAAATCTCTCTTTCCTTCTGTGAGCGATAATTTTGTGCCGTCTGGTCGTAATTGACGGTACAATTAGGAGCTCGGGTAACTGGCAAAAGAAGGGATTGCGGTGTTGCTAGCGGCTAGGAGCGAGGAGAGACGCCGGTTCCATTCGTAATTAGTAATAGAAAAAAACTATACTACTAAATCTGATCTCGTTTGCTGTACTTTGTTGAGTTAAAGAGCTCCCTTGGTCGGAGATCTGTGGGACCGGCAATATGCGTCCGTTTAAGCGACTTGATGACCGTTTATATAATAGGGAGATTCAATTAACGGGATTAAAGGCAGGGAACAGTGGGCACCACCTTTACGTGTCCGTCTTATAGAGGTGTTCGTTAAGATAGAGTTGAGCGTATTGCATGTCTCTCTTGGTCTGAAATAGTCTATTGTCACCCTCTAGTATCGATAGGTAACCTTATGTTTTTGTACAAAATTGCTCTGTTTGGAACGAAGGCGTAACAGTTGGAGCATGAGATGAATAGAATAAATTTTTTTACGCTTTGCGGCTTCCTGCGGTTTCCTGGGTGGAAACAAAACTTGATCTTGATCGTTGCAAGCTCTCTATTCCCGCCCCTCGTTTTTACGTCTCCTTTCGCGTGCCGCAGCCACAATATTTTAGTCGCAGGCAATTCAGCACGAGAACAACACAAACCGAAACCAGTAAATTGACAGAAGCAAATAAAGCTCTGCATTTCACCTCAGATGGCATGGGCAGCAATTAAAAGTTTTGATGATTCGTTTACGATTCTTTGACGCAGTTGACGAAAGGATTGAAACTGTCATTACCATGTTTGAAAATTCTGTAAAGATATCTAACTTTTGCACATGCCAGCTTGCTGTTTACGGCAACATAAACGCTTTCCACGCATTAATTGAACGGTCAATCAAAAATTCAAAATAATCGTGTTTTAATGGTTTTCTTTCTGATTTTTTGAGATCACTTCGTGCCGGGTATATCTTGAAACAATTGTTATTTTCAATCTCGTCGAACGGTGGCCATAGCAATATTTGCCTCGATAATAAAGAATGACTGCTTATTACACTCATAGCAATGCGATACACTTTGATGTTCGAAGCCAACAGAACTAACCTCAAACAAATGAAGGAAAAAAAATCTATTTCGTGGCGTATGCAAATCTTGCAACGATTCCAACGTACTTGGAACTCCACTGATTAAGGGCCAGCTCCGAAACGTTTGGAGAGGAATCAATATCACTAAGACGGCACTTCTGTTCATTATTATTTTTTGCACAACATTCCCTTACAGAATTAACCTCATTTTGCTTATATTGATGGTAATTAAATACGTGACCCACAGCCTTGTCGTATTTGCTGAAACACTCATCACCTTACCCTCTCTTTGATATCGATATATGTGGATTCAAATATACTCATTTGAAAGTAAATGAAAGTCTTAACATTGAAGGGGAAGAGAGAGGAAAAGTCAATGGAGTTGCGTTAAATGGTATTATGTTGGTAAATCAAGTTATTCTCAGGCTTTCTTCTACTGACTGTTTAATAAACTTGGTGACAAAACAGTGATTATGCACCGATAATGTTCGTCTTGCCTTCAAAAGACTGAAAAGCAAAAATCCGATGATTTGTATGTACTTCTCAGTACCAAGATTCTCTTTTTTGCCTTTATTTGTTCAAAGTTTTTTAACCGATTACCAGATTGTAATTCCACTGATTGACTCAAATCCTTCAAATACTGATCATGCGTGACTCCCTAGATCAGCCATAAACAAAACAACCTTGCCGAATCATGCAAAGTCTAAAGTTCTGAAAATATTGAGTCATATCTGGAAAATGCCTCAGCCATCGCCGTTACGGCCAAATTATGATTCTTATAGCTAGCCTAGCTTTTAATTTTAGTGATAGTTTAATGGAAGCGATCGTATCAACCTTGTTACTTAGTCTACAAATATGCATATTGCCGCCACATCATTTTGTGAGACCAAATTATAAGCATAACATACCTGTACAAGGTGATTGCATCATGTAAAGGAGGCCAAGACACTGAATGAAAAGCAGGAAGAACATTTTGTCTTTGTTGAACTCGGATTTCTGCTAAGGTGAGCGTTGTTAAAAGGCTATAGCTGCGCTAATCGGTAATCACATCAGGCACAGATCAGATATACCACTGTACTGGTTTTAATGACCTACCGTGAAGTCACCTCTTTTAGTATAGGCCGGAAGACTGGCAGTACAACATTATGTGATAGGTTGATTTTTGTCGACGTCATTAAATTTCCCATGAGGAAAAGGCATCACACGATTTGACGTCAAACAGTCCCAAAGGGACAGAACCAAGTGTCTGCTTTTCAGAGGTGTCCATATTATAGAGGTAGGGATTGTATGATTTTTGTCATTTCTGGGACCAAACGAACTGTCCGTAATAGAGAGGTGTCCGTATTTTAAAGGGTTGCTATGTGCTAACACCATTATGAGCCATACAATGTTGCAAATATGTACAAAATTTTCAGTTCACAGGGTAAAAAAAACAAAAAAAGGAAAAAAACAGAGGTGCAAGCTGGCTCTTTATACGTACTCAGTGTAGTTAACTTTACAGTTTCCCTTGACGGTGAACTAGACTTGCATTCCAAAAGATACTGCGTGAGTTGTGGGGTAGGGAGGATGGAGGGGAAAGGAGGGTTGTGGAGTGGGGGCGAGGGCTAGTGGAGTTTGTACGCCTGACTTCATCATCTTCGTCATCTTTATTTAAAAACACGGTAAATACATCAGGCATTAACAATTTAATATAAAGCTACAACTTAAATACGAAACTATGTATACAGATTAATCTTCTATAATTTAAAATATTGCTAACTATTAAGGAAAAGTAAACTAAATTAAAGCCTGTTTTACATGAATGCCGTGTCGGAATTAATTAAGAATCGTCGGAAATCAGTCAGAGATGTTGCTTGCCTAGCAGCTGAGGTTAGACTGTTCCAGAGGACTGCACCACTATAGGCAAAGCTATTTTTGTAATGGTTAGTACGCTCTGTAAAGTATAAAGAGAGTATAGCAGAATAGTCACGCCAATTATACTTCTCAATTTGAGGCAAAACGTGGCAGGTCTTGGCGAGTCATTATACGTTACACTTGCGCAATGTTATTTGTTTATTTATTTTTTTGGAAAAAAAAATGACATAGCACTTTGAAAAAAATTAAAACGAAATAACTTTAAACAGTAAAAAATACGAGCATTACATACTTATATGTATCTTAATGAAAGAATGGAAAAGAAGTCATTGTATCCGGGTATATATGATATACCCCTTGAGGGGCATCATGTCGTACGAGACCTAAGTGTTCTCTGTGCGTTGTCTGAGAAAGTGTTCCAGGGGCCAAAACTTGCGGTCAACCGATTTGGCTGAAACTTGGCACAGAAGTTGGGTATGACGAGATATTTCAAAAGCCACTTTGGCTCACTTCTCTTACTTTTAGTTTTGGAGTTACAGGGGGGTCTCAGTTTTTGCCTTTTGAGCACCAAAATCCAGCCTTCCAGGGGCATTTTGAAAGTGTAATAAGATCCCACCGGTAAATTGTGCTGCCAAATGAATTTGACCATGAACTCTACTATAATAGAGCTTTCAGTTCATGCATGTAACTTTGCCCTCGAGGTATTGCACAGAGAGGAGCCTGGGGGTAGAGTTTGGTCAAAATTGATGTTAAAATTAAAACCCAAAATAGCCATTTTTCAAAATTTCACCATATTCACCTGCTTCTTGCATAACGTCCATACCTATTAATTCAACCGTCAAATACTTTCACTGACTCCAAAATTGAATCATAGTGGTAAAATAGAATTGCCGCTAGAACTAGGCTAGTTTCTAATTTTCAAGTAAAGTGAAGGAAAATAAAGTAATGTAAAGGACTTTTCAGATGAATTGGTATGTTTGAAGTTACAACTTTTACATCGATCAATGAAGAACTAATAGTTACCCAGGGTAGTGAAATTCACCTTTTTTGTTGGAGCCACTTGGCTCCTTAATACTGAGAAAGAGGTAGCCAATTCGCCAAAAAACTCCCCTATAACAAAGCGTAAAAAAAAACAAAACAAAACCAAAAATAAACAAGGAGAAAACGGTTTGCTAAATGTTATTTAAAAGCTGAAACGTTCCGAAATTACGAGGTTTTATACCCCAAATGATTAGAGTTAACAAAGAGGATTTCTTCAACGAACCAAGACGGCATTCAGAGACAGATTTTCCTATTGAATTTTGTGCCAATTTTGTTTGGCCATCAGATATTGAACGTGAGTCACAGGAGCTTATTTTGACCAAAATTCTTGTTAAGATCGGGCTTAATAGCTTTAATATAATGCAGCTACGCCCTAGGGGAAGGTTAGGAAAACTGGTATGCTGTATGCTAGCCGCGTGTACTTTTAATGGCTTTTAGTGAAAGGTTAAATCGTAAAAACGCTGGATAGTTCATGGAGTAAAATAACTTGATAAGCCTAAATGAAAAATGAAACTTCACCCTAGACTAAAGGCTATCTTAGACCCAATGTTTGATATTTAGACAGTATCACAACTACTGCTGCCATCCAATAGTTAATATTATCATTCATTACAAAGTTTTATTTCTTTTCATTGGCCGGGAGCTTACAACGTGACCTTCAAATAACTGCCTACAAATGATGGTTCGCGCATCGTCGTCCAACTTTGTTTGGCTGCAAATAATATTCTGCTCATGTGTAAATGAAACCACGCTTTTCTCCTTCTTGCGATCGCTCTTGCGTGAAAATGGCCGATCGCTTCGCTTCCCGAAGATACTCCTTAAAAAATAAACTCGGTGATCGAATGATAAAACAATTATTGAACTCGGTTATCGCAAAATATCGTGATTTGCCAGTGTCTCGCAGATCAATTATTTGCCTCAGCCTTCAGCTTCGGGCAAATAATTGATCTGTTCGCCACTAACAAATCACGATATTTTGCTCAACCCCTTCCAATAAATACACCTTATTCGATGGTTTAGCATTTAATACGTGCGGATATTTTGCAAGTAGCGTAGTAGTAGTAAATACGAGCAATGAGCCAAATATCCGCTCGTGTGGTATGCTAAACCATCCAATAAGAGGTTTATTATTCCACTACAAAAATTATTTTGCAATTGGCTTCTTTTTTTCTGGGAAGAGTATTTAGAAACATCCTGATTTCGTCTGTGAGGATGACGTTAACAATGAGCAAAATGTTCGCGCGTATTATATGCCAAACCATTGAATGAGACGTTAATTATTCTACTGCAAAAAAAAAAAAAATGTTATTTTGGCTTCTAGTTTCTAGTAAGAGTATACAAAACACCCTACAGTTCAGCCATAGTCGCTCCTTTTGCATCTGCCGGTATTCGCCCTGTTGTAAATCGGTTAAACCAGGACACTACGGTGTATTAAGACCTAGTATTTTGCGCGTTCTCTTGACCTTATATTATAAAATGACATAATAGTGCAGAATAATAATAGTCAATTATAGACTTTTCCAGCAAGACTTGTTTATCACTCAATTATTTATTTATCACTGTGATTCGCCTTTTAACATGCACTTTGATGCACGAGGAAAAGGCTAGAAAAATTTATTTCATACCTCTACAATGGAGAGTTATTTTTTTCTAAATATAACATAATACGATTAAAAACAGTGAATAAAAGGAGAGGAAGTATCGGCAAAACATGAAGCCATGGAGGCTTATAGGTTATACTTCCGTTGTACATCGAAATTTATAGTTACTTTAACCAACTTAGGAAAAGTAAACGTTCCTTATAAAGTACTTATATCCTCTTAGCATTTTATAATTGATTTTTATAAATTTCGGCTATATTGGAAACCGACATTTTATTTTGTACTTCATAAAGTCTTTAAGGTATCAGTAATCTAAGAGGTCTTTGTCGCAGGTCATTGAATTATGACGCATATATTGATTTTATGAGAAAGGTCTAAGTTTCATCTCGGCGAATTTCAGTGAACGATAACTCTTGAAGTGATACCACGTGACGCCCCTGCTATCATATTTATCTCCTAGGTATTTTCCATTTAGATTAGAGTGGTAGCAAGTGCCGTACCACCAGGCACCATTGTGTAACAAAGCACAATGATTACTGTCTCTGTCATTATCTCTATCTTTAGTGCTAAAAGCCATATTGTTATGGTCTGAAGTTAAGGAATCTCCGGCCGTCCCTGAATATGAACTCACTTGAAGTCGATACTTAGCCTGTTCATCACCAATGTTAAACTTGCCATATTTGGCATATGCTCTCACTCCGTTCCAGTCCTCAAGCTCCACTCGCAGAGAGCCTGGTCTAGCGGCCGTCAGCCTGTGGATCTTGTCGTTTCCTAACCAGAACTCAGCCGTCAGCTGACCAAATCCTGATTTGTATTCGCTCCATCCCCGATAGAAGTCCTCCGAGCCATCTTGTCTTCTCTGGAACACGGTCCATCCTCCACCATCGGTGCGCATGTCACAATAAACAGTGAAGAATCCTCTGCCGTCTGGGTTCACCGCGTACAATCCACTTTGAGTATGGCCTGTCTTTAGCAGAAGTAAACAGTCTTGACCTAAAAACCGTTAATCAAATAAAAATTTAAGAGAGAAAAACATTTTTTTTTACTTATTTCCTGGATCTTCGACCATTCTCTTAATTTCGGGATTGACAGTATAAGCCCCAGCCTGAATTTTGCGAAGACACTGATTTTTAAACTACAAAAAAAAAAGTCTTATAGAGACAAATAGACTAATTGAGTACAAACGTTCTTTAGTATTTTTTCTAACTGACCTCTTGGATAAACTTCAATGTGAGTCAAAGCTTCCACGTCAAACACTCCTGCGCTGGTTGCAGTACAAATGTAATGACCCGCATCTTTCTTTGTAATGTCTCTAATCACTAACGCACCATTAATCTGCTGGTTCCTTCCAACTGGCAAATGACCTCCTTGTTTCCTCCAGCTAATAACTGGTTGAGGGTCACCAGTTGCGCTACAATTAAGTGTCAAGGTGTCTCCAAGCGCTGCAAAAATTCTCACAGGTGGCTTAACAGTAAATTGAGGATGAGAAACGATCACAATGAGTGTTTTCTTATACAAATTTCCCAGCAGGTTTGTTGCTGAACAGATATACAAGTCGGAATCTTTTTTTTGAGCATTTAAAAGTTGTAAGCTACTGTTGTTGTACGTCATCCTCTCCTGGGGCAACTGACCGGATGCCTTTCTCCAAATGACCATTGGTGGCGGGTAACCAGTCGCGTGACAGGGGGGAAGAGTGAAGTTGCTGCCTTCAATAGCGTAATGAGGCCCCGGATGAAGGGAAAGTTGAGGATGAACTGCAAGAATGCAAAGAAATGAACAGTTGCTTCGTTACTGAACGCTCTTTTGTCAAGTTAAGTTGTTAGGAGAGTGTGACACGGTTAAACATATTTTCATAAAATATCTAATTTTGTTTGTCGAATTTTGAAGTATAGCCAAAGTGCTGCTTTACCTCCATTTTCTGAGTTTTCGGTAGCTCAGTGGTAGAGCATCTGGACTAGTCACACCCAGAGACAAGAAGGTCATAAGTTAGAATGTACTCTTGATATGATACTTCGGATTTCTTCTTTTCGAGTGGCGACTACTTTCGACTGACATATATGGCTTTCTTACTTTCCAAGGTTTTTGTGATAATTGTTGCCGTTTTGTTATTACCATTTGCCGCATGATCTGAAGAAGTTTGGAGCCGAAAGAAAAAAAGATGTACCCGCAGTCCGTTTTGCCGTGAAACTTTACTAAACAATATCCTGTATATATATATAAAAACCCACCATTTACAACAAGCTGTACCACTGTTTGCGCATGCCCTAAAATGTTTGTAGCTGAGCACTGATATTCACCCGAGTCACTATCATTTACATTCTTTAAAAGCAATCTCCCTCTCGAAACCGCTGACTTGCTTACTTCAGACAGGTAATCCCTTTTACTCCACACTATTGCAGGCTCAGGATTACCGCTCACCGAACACTGAAATGAAGCTGTTCCACTTTCGTTTACTGTCAGGTTTGCAGGAGAAACAGCAACAACAGGAGCTGAAATCGATTCACCGGGCTCTCCTTTGGTTCCCGGCATGCCAGCGGACCCTGTGTCTCCTTTTTGGCCTTTGAGTCCTACGACACCTTTTGGCCCTGCAGGTCCCATGATGCCTTGCTTACCGCTTTTTCCTAGTGATCCTCGAGTTCCCTTCTTCCCTTTTCGTCCCCGGTCTCCCTTTTCTCCTCTCGGCCCTGGTGGACCGGGAGGGCCTGGAGGACCTGAAAGACACGCGTTACTTGTTGACTTGCAAAGTCGCTGTCTCACCTCTAATAAAAGTTTCTGCATTTCTCTAATCATGGTGGCTGTTGTTTTAGCTTTGCTGGTATTATTAGCTGAATTCGCTTGTCTTCTGGCTCGATCATGTCCATAGGTGTAAAATTCTGCTAATAAAAATAAGAAATATTTCATCCAATTGTTTGCTCAGTATCAAGCTGTAAAATGAAGAAGAAAATTAAGCAAAAATTATGTAATTTTCAAGACCATGGTAATTTCTTTTTCCAGTTATTGATCAAGCATGGAAAAATCAGTCAAAAAGGAATCGAATTAACCTTGGTGTAACCTTTAGTTTCTTTGCCAACAGGAAACACCGGTAGCCCGTGTAAGCTAATTTTGTGTTGCTTAAGGCTCTGATAGTAAGCTTGGGTGACCTATGCAGGAACTCTCAACCTTAGCAGCAATCGCGAGCCAGGTTAAATGCAAATTAATCATCGTAGAATGTTCTTTTTAAGAATGGTAGGTGACATTTCAGAATTCATGAAATTCTAATCTATGTTAAAATGCTGCATAAAACAAGAAAAACAAACTGTTTACATACCGAGAGCATCCTTGACGATTTTGAAGTTGTTTGAATCACTTGACGGCGGTTTTGTCTCCGGGTTGTTTTCAAGCGCGTTGAATCTTTTCTTCTGATTGTTCAACTCTAATTCAACTCTTAGAAACCCAATGCAATACAGAAGAATGCCTAACGCAGAGATGGTGGTAGCAAAAGAAGGAAGGTGTTGTTTTTGACTCGTCATTTTCGTGCGAGTTTCTTTGAGTCTTATTCATCTGAGGACTTGGTACGTGAGCCTGATACTTGATACTGTTAATTCCTCGTCACATTTGGAAGGCAAAGATCAAATAGTTTTCGGCTATTGTTTGTCAGTTGTAAGTTGAGCTTTACTTCGGGTTTGTTTTCTTACGTTAGAGGGGTCATAAGGCTGGATCCACTACTTTAAAATAGCTCTACAAAGAGTTATCAGGATTATTGAAACCACACGCAATTCTGACATTCCCTCAAAGCTGGCACTCAAAGTGGACGTATGAAGGTGCCACGAGCGAAGCCGACATTTTAGAAATAGGAAGTAGAGTGAGGAAAAAACTCTCAAACTTGTTTGTTTTTTTTCTTGGAGGGGGAGGGGTGAGGAGGGAGGTGCTAGTACTATACCTATACATTTAGATTTGACAAAGCCTAAGAGCGAACCGTTTGTATACTGCTCAACTATAAAATTTTCACCAAATAAACTTTTAGGCCATCTCAAAGAAGTTCACAAATCTACACTTGACTTTGAGAGTGAAGGGGGGAGTGATATCCGGGAAAAAATGTTCAGACGAAAAGAAAAGACATTTTTAGAAAAAAACATTATAAGGGAATACTGTAGACTGACTTGATCTTGTCATTGCCCCTGAAGGTACTCAACAGTGCGTTTTTATAACTGGAGCTGCTTCAGCCACTCGGCAGAGGAATAAAATAACATTTCTTTATTTTGGATCAAAATAATTTAAATATTTAACTACCGCAGATATGTATGAATATAGTAACACACGCCATCCCAACATTAAGTTTACAATGGAAGCAGAGATAATTATGGACATTATGGTCAGTTGCCGTTTTTGGATGTATTGTTAGTAAACAAAATAGTGGTGGTAATCTATGCCCCTGTATTACTTCTGTTTTTCGGAAAAAGACTTACACTGGTTTACTAACTAATTATTTTAGTTTTACTCCCTTTCAATACAAATTGGGGTTAATTAAAACTCTCATAAACGGAGCCTACAAAATTAACAAGATTACCTAGGGTTTTCAAAATGATGTAAATAACCTTGCCACTATTTGACTCTTTTAGTGTTATGTTTTGCAAAATATCGTTACATAGCAATCCCCACCCAAAGGGGGTTAAGACTGCTTTCTGTAGGGATTTACCTCCGGTAAATGATGAATGCAGACGCCTGGCAGTAAAAAGCCCAGGAGGGTGGATTTAATAGATAGGAGGCGTTTGAAAGAGAAAGGCGTCGTTTTACTGTGACAAACTCTACCAAATTAATATGCTTGCGGTGAATATAGCATCAACACAGTTTATAAATAGCAGACTATCCAGTCCAGTCCACTGATATGTTTATAGTCCTGTTTTATCCTCTTAATACATAAATTAGAGGATTGCTAGTCGTGAAATTACAACTTCAAGCATATGAAAGAAAGCAGACAACTACCGTTTTCAGTATCCTTACTTTGAACTTGACAATGATCAAGATGCATTGTGGAATGTGCCTACTCTATAAATATCAATCAAGCACGAAGCTAAATGCATTGAATGATTTTACTGTATTTCACTATTTTGACCGAGTCTGATATTGACCATTCAGGACAGGGTCTTGGGTTTTACATATCTACTGGATAATGAACTGAGCAGGGGCACCTGGCGCAACGACGGTTTATTTTCCTCCTAAATACATTGAAAATACATTTTAGGCAATCCAGAGTACTTTTGAATCTCTTTAAATGCATTCTGAGGGTTGCTAAAAAGGCCTAGAGGGACTTCAGTCTTTATTACAAGGGCTTAGATACAGTTTAATATAAGTGAGAATTTTTCTGATATGTACTTATACCTTTCTACGAATCAAACAGAAAATCGCAGGGAATTTATTGAATATTGTACTTGAACTGAATGAAATTGTCAACTATAAATTTTTACCAATTAACCCAATAAAGCCCAAGTTCCAACTCCGCGGTATGATCAGTACCCTAACACATGCGCACACTATCACCTCGGCAGTAATAATAATAATAACAATAATAATAATTAAAATTTGTATTATAGCGCCCATCCAATCCTGCTCTAAGCGCGCCCTTTACACAACATTCGAAACAATTAAGTAAAAATTAACATTCCAAAACAATTAAATAAATAATAAAATAGTAAATGAATTAAGACTGATCATGAGATAAAAATGGCCATACTAACAATACTGATAAGCTTCACTAAAAAGATAAGCCTTAAGGAGAGATTTAAAAGCACTTAAATTATCACATGAAATGGTGTCGTCAGGTAGACCGTTCTATAGGTAGCGACGGCTTTAGACCCATAGACGACTTCACTGATTAAAGATAACAGGATTCAGGCGAAGTGAGCTGGACGACCGGAAAGTTCTAGGCTGTGAGTAGCGAATTACCAAATCTTGATTGTAGATGGGTACTTGTTGGCGTAGAACCTTGAAGGTGAGCAGCAAGATCTTGAATTTAATACGCAACTCATTTACAGGAAGCCAGTATAGATCGAGGAGAACTGGAGTGATGTGGTCGTATTTGCGGGAGCAAGTAATGAGGCGGACGGCAGCGTTCTGTATTGATTGAAGCTTTTTCAAAATATACTTCGGCACATTATACAAAAGATAATTGCAGTAGTCAAGCTTGAAGGATACAAAAGCATGGACGAGAATCTCGTTAGTCTTTAAAGAGAAATTTTCTTATGCAGGAAATGTTAGGCAGATGGTAGAAGGCTGATTTACAGAGAGAATTGACACGAGAGAGGGCATAGAGATAGTGCTGTCAAAAATGACACCGACTGATTTCTGGCTGAGTCGGATGGATGAATTGTATCACTTCCAAAACGAAGTGGTGGTACAGACGTACAGAACAGTGCTTAGAGTAGAGGTAGAGTAGTTCAGTTTTGTCCTTGTTTAGTTTCAGTTTATTAAGAGACATTCACCTATCAAGATCAGACGAGCAATCCTGGATTTTGGCAATGGTACTGGCTAATTCTAGGCTGTTGTTTGGTGAAAAAGAGATGTATAATTGAATATCATCAGCGAAGAAATGAAACGTCAGCTAGTGGTGCTGTATAATGTAGGTACAGTATGGTTCCAAGGACAGAGCCTTGAGGCACGCCACATTTGAGTTCGCGAGGTTGTGATTTTTTTCCGTTGATTAAGGCGAATTGTGTGCGGTTGTAAGGTACGACCGAAACCAGTCAAGAGCAGTACCACGAACTGAGAACCAAGAGTCAAGTCTTTTAAGTAGAATATCGTGGTCGACTTTGTCAAAAGCAGCAGACAGGTCAAGCAGGCAGAAGCAATTTAACACAGTGACGATTATCAGTTTCAAGCAGAATGTCATTGTCAGGGGCACCCAACGAGAATATAGTTCAAAACCACTTAAACATAGCATTGTTAAACGTATTTTATTATTTAAACGGTAGATATAGGCATATTTTTATCCCGTAGAAATTTTCCATCTGTTCGGATTTCCTAGCTGGAAGTCTAGTGATCCGAAAATTATAAGGATCAAAACTTACCTTTTCGAAAATTTCAGCCAGAAAAAAGGCTCCCGAAAATTC